GTAACGTCATTTGGTAGCAAAGAAAAAACAGTATCAGGGTTATTTTATAATTTTCACCCTGTTATGTTTTTTATCTTGATGCTTTGGTGCTTATAAAAAACTTAACATCAGGCTTGATGCTTTAGCAGAACTCAAGCAGGAGAATGCTTAAGCTTCTAAGTTCTGGATGCAATTACAAATAGTTATAATACTCATGCTCTTTTAAAAAGTTCTGGCTGTTTATGAACCTATAAAAGCAACAATGATGTTGTAATTACATTAACTTTATGTACCATATTCCATTCCATCTAGTTGGAGAGTGGTCTTTCGGTTGCTCTTAGATTACTTTGTAAAGAAACTTTAATCATATTGGCATTTTGATTTTCATCACCTGAAGCCTGGGCGTTGTCTGTCAGTAAAATTTGATAGATACGTTCTGTACTATTAATCATGCATTATTTGTTTTATATATGTTCATTCTTCATCTTGAAAACTGAGAATATAAATATTTGGAGAATAATAACACATTGGAAAAAAATGGTGCTCTGATTTCGCCCCTAATTCAAACGCCAGCAAGCTGCATCAATTCTACTTCAAGTATTGAAATACTTCAAGTAAAACAAAGCTAAATACTAGGTATATGTCCCGGTTTTATGTCATTAGAAATTTGTCTGAAAATTGCTGACTAAATAGGGTATTTTCGAACAAATTTGTTGCATAACGTAACTTTTGCATTAAAATGTGCACAACATTTTTACTTGATAAGACAATTTCAAAGTAAATGAAATGGCCTTAAATTCTCAGAAACATTAACATTTTTAACCTTGCTATCGATGACGTTTCAACAACAAAAATGCATTTAATTTTTGTTTATTTTTTGCAAGTTTTAGCATTGGTAAATTTAATTGATTATTTGTTAGGAGAGCGGTAATTTCCTTTTAAATAATTTGGAATCACTGAAATACAAGTGCAAATGTATTTTTAATAGAAGGTTTAATACAGGTCTTTTCCAGTTTACTAGAACTCACGTTCTTTGTAGAGAGTTTTGAATTTCGTGTGCAATCCTGTGAAAATCCAAGTAAAATTGTAAAATCTTCTTAAAGTTATACGTTTTTCGAAGTGAATTCATTGTGAACTCATTTTATTCTACAATTTAGCTACTACAATTGATCTGATAAACGCATTTACAAACATATTGATTACCAAACAATAAAGATATTTGACTGAGTTTTACTTTGCAAAAGCAGATCTTTTGTTGTACTTAGATTTTGTCTCTCTTGATACAGCGATAGTTTACTTTTACATTTTACTGTTTCCTTATTAACTTAATGAAGAATTCTACAGTGTTTCCAGCCTCAGAAAAGTGGGGAAGAAAAAGGCAATACAAACTCTCAGTTAACGTACCATTTTATCCAACACGTGTCAACCTGACATACCAAAAATCCTAGAATTTTTCTCAATGCCCGCAAATTCTATCAGAAAAAATTTAATAAAAGACGCGTCCCGTATCCTAGGACCGTTTCTGCCTCTCCGAGTAAAAGAAGTGATAGCAATTTCTCCTGGGAAACTCATTCAAATATTTTATCAAACATCTATAGGCGGGTGATTCAGCCGATCATAACTTCGTATCTATATCATCCAATTATTGCATTGTTAAATATTCTCTTTGAATGGTCAGGTTTCCGTCTATATTCAGGCTCAAACTAATTCTAGTGAAGAATAGTTATCTTCATAGCACAGAGACGTAATTTCTAGCACGGTTGCTTATTGAGCGTTGTGCGAAATCTTTTTACGTGAACCTGCCACTTTTCTTATACATGTATATGGTATATTAAATGGCATTAAGATGCATTCCGGTATACGATTTCAGTTACTATACAACAATACAAAGAAGATACCACGAGGAGGGGGCAGAGACTACCCTATGGCCAAAGCATGGAAAGTAAAATAACTTGATTGAATAAACTAGTTAAAAATGAAAGAACAAAAAGTAGGTGCAAATTTACGGGGGTTAGCAGCAATAGAACAATTAGTAGCGTTCTGCAGCATGAATTAATTTGAGGGGTGCCTTGAGTTGCATCATTCGTCATCATAGACAAAGATTTTTTTATCATTTGTTTCTATCTAGCATCTGTAATCTTTTAGAAACTGAGAAGCTTTTTCTTATTGATCAGTGTACTGTTCCTTCCTCTCGATATTACACCCAGTAGTGTAAAGAGGGGGCCTAGTTTTTTCCTTATATTGTATACAAAATGAACGTTTCAATTGTTTTCGTTTGCATACTTTCTAAATATCAATTTCTTTACCTTTCCATATTTTCTAGAGTTAAAACATCTTCCAATGTCCACTTGTTACCTGAGTAGAAAAATCTTAAAAATGTAGTAAAATTTTGCCAGCATTTATTGATTTTTCAGTTATCGAGAGGGCTATTGAGGTCACACATGAATGAAAATGTCAAATAGTAACATTGGTCAAATGAAAGGTTTGATCCTGGCAGAAATCAGCAATGATCTTTTAGCCCTGACTACACCTCATGATTTCTACGCTTGGAATTACAGAGAGCTGGAGACCCCTCTCTCTCTGGGTTAGTTTTTGGTCACGTCAGGGACTCCAATCCCAGACTCTTTAATCTGTATTCCGCAACCCTAACCGCTAGACCATCCTCACTCTTGAATATATGAATTTGAGCAAAACTTCATTTGAAAGAAAGGAAAACCTATTGCTGGTACGAGACATCAATATAAAGTCCTTAAGTTTTGGCTGTCTGCATTTAGTTTGTAAGCATTTTAGTTGTAATACAAATTTAAGTTCACGTTTCGAAAATTTCAATGTATAATCTTTTGACTGGTTATATTAATAATTTAGTTTCAAAAACGAGATAGATTTTTGAAACTAAGGCAAGATATAAAGAGATAGTTCGAAAAAATATCAATCTGATTCTAATACAATCGAGTCATTTTTGACATTAAGTCTCAACAACCTGCCATTCCGAAAAAGTATCGAGAATCGAATAGATTAGATAGATTTTTGATTTATTCAATATTGAAAATTTACAAAAACCTGCTAGACGAAAAAGATAAGAAACTTTTTTTAGATTTTTTAGGACGTCAATTCAAGCCACAATTATAAACTTTACAGGTGACATATATTGTATTTCGTTGTTGCCAACGGATATCAATTTGAATAAGTTAGCCAACATTGTGATAGTATGAAAAACTGAACTCTATTGGTTTGCTTAAGAAACCTAAAAGCCGCTTCACGTACCTGGAAATTAGAATGGTTCTTTGTCGTTGCTGCTGTGGGTTCTGCTAAGAAAGCGGCAGGACAATTGTGGTATTATTTTAAACATGTGTCTACAAGTGGCAACTTTCTACTTTAGCACTGAGTCACCTACTCAAACAACTGGATAAAATTTACTGTTTATGCCACGAAAAAAGGTTCTACTACAAAGTAAAAAGTGACTCCGGTGTTTCTTTATTCGGCAGGTGTTTGGTGAATATGTATGGCTGAAAGTTAAAACCAGTAGTTTCAATTCATGCTTTCTTTTTAAGAACAACCCCTATAAGAAACAACAGACTGAGATTTGCCAAGAAATTCAGAACAACATAAGAAACAAGTAGCAAATAAGAAACACCGCAATGCGACGAGAATGAACAACAATAAATACACGTAAATAAATAAAGACTAATATTTCTCCCCGGCATACGGGGCTTCATCAGAGCAAAAGTAAACGGACTAAAAATCAATGATCTTACAATAACACCATTACTGCAACTCAACGAGAAACGAGAGAGTGCTCGACGAGCCAAAGAGCAATACCTCATTGGCCTGGCAAACACTCTCCAGCGAACGGCACGAACAGAACCACGGACCATTAAAGGCATTGAGTCATGATAAATAGACTGGGTATACCCTAAGTGCCAAAATCCGCTGAGTCATGATTTCCACGATGAGTCATGATTGACTGCGATGCTATTGGTTGACATTGAACTGGTCACATGAACTCACCTCGTACTGGTTAACATAACAGCTTCCATCAATAGCAAGTTGTCAACAACGGATGCCAATATCACATGAAACAGCAGCGATCACGCCGAAACCAAATGACCCCCTATAGAGAAAGCCTATTTACCATGACTCAATGCCTTAAACCTTACAGCAACATTATCATTATTTCATATTATAGTACTTCATCCTCATTACATTTACATTCAACCATCACCACTCACGCTCCCTCATTCGCCATCCTTCCCTCCTTCACCCTGCGCTGCATTCACACCATTCCACATCAGCCAATCCGACAACACCATCGCATCTTTTTAATGTGTACATTTTTAGTCCGTTAACTTTTCCTCTGATTAAGCCCCGTATGCCGGGGCAAAATACTAGCCTTCACTAATTTACGTATATTTATTTTTGTTTATGCTTGGCGCATTGCGGTGTTTCTTATTTGTTACATTTTCATCGATTTTTCGCAGCAAGAACTCCTTGGAGTCCGTCGAGCAGCCTGCTATCGTGACCTTTTCTTTATTCACACATAAGAATCAAGGCAGGTTGTATTCAACAAAACTCACGAGATAAAGTACTGGCAAAAACTGAAAATTGAAAGAATAGCAACTGAAAAACAGAAAGCGAGTCACCAAAATAAGAAACAAAATAAAGAAACACGCGAGGACGAAGTTATGCGACAAAACAAACACCAGACTGAAACTGGAGCGAAGTGCTCTTAGAAAAAAGCGTGTAGATTATTAAGCTGTCCTTCCTTTTTTAGTACTGCAAACGCATTCTCCTTAATTAAAACTACACTCTTCATCACATTCAATTTCCTTTTTATTTCAGTGCTAAAAGTTTTCTAAAGGTCTCTTAAATGCCATCTGCTAAAGAGCTATTTTTTATTAACAGAAAAACGTACCATAAGATAACATCAATGTCAACGACACACGAAGTTTCTTTGGGTGAAGTTTTTCAATGGAAATAGCCCTGTTGGAATTTGAACGTTTCTACGTTTTTGGCCTATTGATATGATATATATGAAATTGATAGTGGTGGGTGTTCGTTGCAATTCTTGATATTCAATTAAAGGTTACTACCAAAATTCGTGGAATCTTTGAAACAGCTTATCAATTTTGAAATAGAAAGAGGGAATGTGGTCACAAAGATAATTTGATTTTTTAAAATGTTTATTCAATCACAGCTCTTCAGAAATAGTTTTTCGCTAAGCCAAGACTGCAGCTGAATGTGAAGTTTCCCCTATCATTTGCGTGACAAACCCATGTTCCTAGACCTAAAAGGACTATAAGAACATTTGAATATTCTAATTGGTTCAAATTGATCCAAAATATTTATGCCAAATCAGTTGGTTAGAATCCAACTTAAAAAGGGTGAGGGAAAGTGCAATTGTCTTCTGTCTTCGTTGCTATTGAAGAAGCTATCTGGAACTCCTAACGCCCAACAGGAAACAAATGAACTGACACAGCAAAGCTATTGTCTTTTTCTAGAATGCCAGCATTCTTAACACTCTGCCTTTGCTAATGCACTACCCGTCGAGCTGTTTGTAGGGTATACAGATATGTAATGCTACCAGCAATAACATGCCGCGTTTAGATGTCAAGCAGTGACATTTTGCTTGGAATTAATCAAATGTGCTGATTCACAAGTGATTCACCAATGTTATGTGCTCTTTCCGTAAACAATCCTCTTATGAGTCGAAGCATATTGAACAGGGAAGTAAAGCTTGATAGATGTATAGCATGTTTCAAGAGTTCCAAAAGTAGCAGTGGAAAATCATTAATTACATGCGCTGTTGCCTCATCTATGGTTATCAATTTGTCAGTAAGATGCCAGAACAGGTGGCTACGTGAAGACGGGGGCCTTTCCAATGGAAACCATTTACGAGGTTCGGCATTCATTGAGAATTATCTTTTACCTGATAGCATTCGTGCGTCGTTACTTTAAAATATGATATTACTTCTATCTTTGCGAGAGGAAAAGTCCGTCAATTCTTCTATTGCGTTTGGCCGAATGCTGCATTTACCAAGCATCAATGTGATTTAGGTTAGATTTTCATCCCAGAGAAGCCTGTTGATAACGAAGAGATTTATATATACTTAGACATGTTTAATTTCTGTTAAAATAGATGCAACAAGATAGTTGATTTAGCTGTCAGAAGAGCAAACCTATCTTTAGGTGTATTTCAGAAGAAACTCTAGTTCTTTCTTGAAAGTGTAGAAAAAAATGAAATTTGACTTTGTTAGAAGAAGAACCCCTTGTGCAATGTTTGCTGTCAGATCTCATTAAGCAGGCAGTGTATCAAATAGATTCGACATATAAGTTTTAAGAATTAGGTTTTCCGGAAGCAAGAAGCAATGAAGCAAGATGCTCTTATACTTGAAATACTGTACCGAGGTTGTGTTTCATCTATTTTACCATCAATAATGAGTTGTTAAGGAGTTTCTTTGAAGCAAATCAGTTGATTAGCCACCAGTATCAATCTCGGATTGTCAGTGTTAGGTTAAGTCTCCTTAATGCATATTGTGATGATAACAGCAAAGGCTTTAGCGGTACTCTGTGTATGCAGCCTAATGTTTCATAATTCCGACAAACCTAATGTTGTGTAATTCGAAATTAACCATTCGATTTATGTATGCGGTTAGTACCAGTAGATTTCTTGACTCGTATAGCTCAAAATGACAATCAAAATTCATATAATTGTTGTGTTACTCAAATCGAGTAAATGTTCTTCTCTATGCGGTTAGCACTAGTAGGTATCCTGATTTGACGTGGCTTGAAATGGCTATTGTTGATTGATAAACCGTCCCATTTTCTTCCCTAACAAGCAAAACCGCCTACTACCCGTCTTGCTATTATAAAAAGTACACGACAACAATTCTTAACACATGTGCAAATATCACTATTTTTGAAGCTGATATCAAATCGCACAGGAATCTTGTCTTCAATACTTTCTCGATGATGTTTTTTATGAAGCTAATGCTGTCATTCAAAAACAAAAATAATTTAGTAGCAAGGCCTTATTAAAATGTTTTAAATTTCATGAGGATTCTAACTAACTTCGTGAAGAAGCTTTTCAATTATATTTAAACCTGCACAAACAAGTTCATAATCAGTTCTAAGAACTGAGAAATAATATCAAAGCCAATTATAAGAAAGAAGTAATATTTTGAAAAACAAGTAGATTTTACATGAAATATAGCACAAAATTTGAGACTGAGAAAAGCTAAGAAACTTAAAAGAGTTTTTAAGCTTAGTGGTTATCCAACTCTTTAGGTTACACACTTCAAGATTGACTTCTCAAGAAACACACTAAGAACGTACACCCTGAATTTGTCCTTCTTTGAAGCAAAGTTATGTATCAGCCTTCTAGACATGTCGTACCAAATCCCTTTTGTTAGACAGCCCTTTTTGCAATCAAGTTTTTTTATCGCTTTTTGGAGATCAAACCTTTGGATAAATTGTTGTTATTCACAGTCCTTGAAAAGCACTTCGTGGATTTTCCACTGCTTGTGTGTCTAAGCTCTTTTCTTCAAATAGCAGATTTTTTAGTCAGTTTTTATTATTTTGATTTTTAAAATCCTTATTTGACGTTTGTAAATAATTTTTTTGATAAACTACAAAGCCTACAAAATTTTTGAAACAATATCCAATGTGGTATTGAACCGTCTCTTTTTTGAAGTACTAAAAGAATAGATATTTGGCTAGGAAACGTTGCTATTTGTTGCTGGTATGATATTTTGATAGCATTGTTTTGGGGAACAAAACGAGGAAGTGAATGTGTGACAATTTGCTAAGAAGTTAGAAATACAAACAAAACTCGATTGCTTTGTGCTCCAAAACTATAACCTCATTTTTTATAGGAAACTCGCTGTAAGAAAGAAGTACTTGGCAATCAGAAAAAAAATCAAGAAACGTCCGTTCTCGAAGCAAACAGATTGAGAGACGATTGAATGAAAAAATGTCCACACCTCAGAAAATTCGTAATAATCCATCAACATGATTGTTTAGTTAGCATTAAATGTTATAAGCATTTGGAAAAAATAGAAACATTGGCGGTTTTAGTGAGGAAATTCCTTCAAACAGTTTTCTGTTGGGAAATTTATTAACGTGAAAAATTAAAAATTGAAGAGTCCAGGTTCGCCTATTTTTACGGCTATCATTATATCCAATTAAAAGGGCCTCTTATGCGCATGTGCATTAGGGCGAAATTTGTTGGGTAAGATTTACCTCTCATGGCGCTGCACAGCATTTAGTCAATGCTAATATATCATAGTTGCATCATAATTTTCTCTAGCTGTTATTCGTTATTTGATTCAAGACTGGCTTATTCCCATAGAAACCAGAAATGCTTCTACCACAGAATTTATTATGCGATTTGAAAATAACGTCATCGATTTCAACTGCGCATGTGCATATGATGTAAAATTTTGATCGCCAACAGACCTTACTGGCGTATGCTGAGCGAATGCTGTTTAGTCTCCTTCGAGAAAACTGATACCCAAAAGGGGAATTGAGCATCATGCAAAGACTGGTGTCCTGTAGATTTCTATACTGCTTGCTCAATGGGTTTTTTATGAGAACGAATACTTGAAAAAATACTTCTGAAATGTTCTTTAAAACTGTTTCTTTATCATAAAGATTGATTACAATTTTTTCATCATTTATAGCATAAAACGTCCATTATAGGGACCAGTTATTCTCCTTACAGAAGGTGCTCCTAGTTTTTCGTCCTTGCAGTACACCCGTAAATCAGTGTATCATTTTAATCTCTTCCCTTCGGTCACTGTAGGCCACAAAACAATGCATACTCTGCCTCTAATAATCCTCTTTAGACGTCTTTAATCTTGTACAGCAAGCTCTTAGTATTTACATTTATTAACCTTACACCTTTGAATGCGTGTGAGAGTCTTTCCGGCTTTGAATTTTCAAATTCCAAAATCACACATGCACCTGTGCTTCAATTCTTTCTATTCTGAATCATTATTCAGTGAGATAAACACAATTTTGTCGTGATCCTACAAACAACACCGGAATATTACTGTTCATGAAACTTATTTTCAAAGACGCCATAATCTTATTAGATGTGCACTTGGTTGTATTTGTATTTTAATTATGTTTCAGATAACCTATGATATTATTATTAAGATGCTAGGAGTTTCATATAACAATTAGGCATAAAACTATTACTACCTTTTTTTGTAAATGAACGATGTGTTTTTACCTTTAAACGAGGCCTTTTTTCTACACCTTTTTTCTACAAGCAAGGATGTCGCGAAATTTCATGTTAATCTGCTTTGTTCAACTTCAGCTTGCTTTACAGTGTCCTATCGATGTTGCATCTTGTGTCGATTTTATGGTTTTGTCTTTATGTTTTTAACTTCATTTTTTTGTATTTATGTTTTTGCCATATTCCGTCTTGCCTGTTACATCTAGTATCATGCTATACTGAAACATGATAAACTTCCCCGTACCTAGTATTGTTCGATATATTTATTCCACTAATGAGGCAAAGAAAGGTCTTGTCCATCCTTTCTTCTTGCTGGGCCTCTTAAACATTCTATCAAGTCTAATTTTAGATTTCAAGCAGATCTCCATTCTGAAAATGAACGGCTGCTTGTCGAGAAAGATTTAATTACTACTTCTGTCATCACATTGCGAAATTGAGAGAGTCGATTAGGCACCTGAATACTATTGAAAACTATTTACATCTGTCGATAGTTATTTTTTTGTGTTTTGAAATCATTCAGTCATCATAGAATTGTCTCAAATAAACGTTTTCAATTCAACGTGTAGATTCGAGCATTGAATTTCCAACTGGCAAGACATGCTTTTAAAAGGCTTCTACCTTGACGACTTTGTTATGCTACCGCTTACACAATCGATTTAAAGCTGGTCAGTTTCAGCTCGTTTACACCCCCGGCTTAGTTTGGGCTTTCCAGTTGAATGACTAGCGCGACTCTCTCTGTGGCCAATTTTGATTAAGTCTACAAGTTTCGGCATTTTATCAACAGAGATTTTTGTGTTTTACTGTTACGGGGCTGTGATAGAGTCAAGATGAAGATGTTTGAAATGGAAAGCTCTTTAGCGTCAGAGATTATGGTTGATCAGGTATATTTGTTCATTATGAATCTTAATGAAATTGCATTATTTGCTTGTTGCATAGCTGGTACATTCAAAGATGCTCAAGAGCATGTTTGTTAAAAACAAACTGATCAGAGAAATCTCCCGTTCCAAGGCATAGCTTCTGTAAACAACAGACCTAGCGGCTGTTTGCAGAATGCATTCAAAGCAGGAATTATTTTTATCAACCAACACTCACATTTGCGCATGAACTGCGAGACGTCAGATCAGACGTGTAGCCAGTCATTTCTAGTGCATCTTTCCTCTAGTTTGTCTGACTTGATCATCAGTAATATCGTTGCATGGGCAGGTTTTCTCCATTTTTGAGACTCTTCCTCAAATTGATTTTCTGAATGTTTCTTCAACATTTGTTTACATTTTCTAAAGGAACAATCTTCTAGCTCATCTCGATCATATCTTTGAAGAAGGAACCTTACAGCTGGCGACTTACAGATAATGTCTTGTAACAAGTCTTTTTAAAAAGACCATTAGCTATCGATTATTGCCCGTCATTTGATCAATATTGTTTCCGTTTGTTATTTTTCCAAGGCAAATTTTTTTTCATAGAATAGTTTAATAAGTCTTGATATGCTACTATAAGAAATGGCCAAAAAATCTATAATTTTCTTGAAAATTATACGATGTTGGCTGCTATTTAGATAAGAGATTTCTTTGAAGACCACAATGAGGCCCAAAAGTTAGCGTTTTATGTATTGCTTTTATTTAAGGTAATTACAACGGTTTTTCGTCATGCTGGTGCCAAACAGGTGTAATTCTGCTTGAAAACCACACACAGTAAGAGCATCCTTCTTAGACGGATAAAAAATCTGCTCCGTTTACCTGCTGATCTGTCATTTCAAAGTTGCTCTCCTAGCAACATACGTTGCTCGCATTCTTTGCTGTTATTCATGTTGTGGTTTTTTCATCAAAGAGCTTTAGATTGATTCAATGACACACGCTGCTTTTAACACCATTCCCTGAAAATGTTTCCTATGTCTTGTTATTCATTTTATGTACGCAGACACCAATGCAAAAGTATATCGTTTACAGGAATCAATCCATAACTAGTAAAAAGTTGCTTTCTAATTTTGATGCAGTCCTCTTGGTTTGTGCCTTCAAAGTTTTATGGAGCCACTATTCTTGTATTCTTACGCTAGAGACATCTTTCGCTCTTCAGTAAGATGCGTTCACAATTCTTCTTCACAGACATTGACAAATCTGTGACTAAATGGCAGTATGAAAGGCTTACACTGTAATTACTACCTTAAATAAGAGATACATCTTATAAGCATGCATATTATGTTTTCTCCCTTATTAGCAACCTCGATCTGGCCATTATATAGCTTCTGACGTACAATTTATAGGAACAGTGGAGCCTCCATATCACGAACACTTGGCCACTGTTATTATCCGTTGCATAGAGGTGTCTGTTGTATACAGGTTCCCTTAAGAGCTTTTTTACCATTGGGGCCCAAATTATCTTTCCGTTGTTGAGAGATATCCGTTGCAAAGACGTGTCTGTTTATGGAGATTCTACTGTATGTCATCCTCATTGCATCAGCTATATCTTTCTTTCGTTGGAATTTGAATTTGCAAAATTCCCTTTAACAGTAAGTTAACCAATGTAGACGACTTTCTTTAGGCAATGCATTGACGGGGCATTTTCAGCATTATGTTTGTAGATATATGAATGTATTAGGACACAATGAGGGGATACAGCCAACAGATTCTCTTTTGGTTGAGTTTGAGGCAATTCAAACAGAATTCATGATATCTACACTTATGTGCCCAAATAAGTTGTTCACTCTAACTCAACAAAACTCAACCATATCTACGATAATATGCCCAAATAGGTTGCTCACTCAGTGATGTTTAATGACATCTAAGAGTGACTGATGCAATTCTCAAGGTGTATTAGAAATATAAATGCTACAGTTGTTATTCGGTATCGCTACATTGTTTCATCAATTATCTACCTTGTCAAATGATTTTCTTACTCAGCATCGACTGTTTGCTACAAAAACAAATTATACATGCTTGATTGTTACTGAGTACTATAACTTTTGCGATATTAACTATATATTAATAAGATTTGCTGATGGACACATGGAAAAATTTCTAGGTAGAGCTATCGAAGCCATGGTACCGGTTTGTTCCTAATGGTGCCAAATCAGAAAAGGTTTGGTTTGATACTGAAACAGTAAGAATGAAAGAAATTAGAAGTTCTAAAGAAGATATTTGCTTATCTTATAGTCATCATCCGCAAGTAATCAGTCAAAGAAGGACAAAAAGTGTGCCTGTATCATTCCACACAACAGCAATTTGAAAATCCTTTGGGACTGGTTTGTTCTCATACTGGTTTTGTACACTGCAGTGCAGATACCATACCAAGCTGCATTCCCTTCAAAGCACAACTCACGAAGGAGAGGCATGTTCCATTCACATAGCAGCCCAACGTCAATACTAGGATATGTTGTCGACGCTATGTTCCTGCTTGACATATTTATAAACTTTTTTACTACTTTTCCTGAATCGGAAACCGAGGAGATTATAACAGATCACCGGAGAATAGCTGTCCATTATTTGAAGACCTGGTTTGCCATTGACTTCATTGCAGTTATTCCATTTGACTGGTTTGTGGATGAACTACGCCCTGATTCAGAAGATGTAAGTACCTCTGCAATCCTAAGACAATAACTTGCTTCACGAAGATAAGACAATGAATGTCTTTGGTAATGATATTCTCGGAAATAGCAAAGAGCAAACAAATATAGGCTGAAAACTTTCCTTAAACGTTAAATTAATATTACAATTTGCTTCCTTTCATTTTGTTTAAATATCAATAGAGGTTCTTTAGTAAAACAGTTTGCTATAAAACATTAGATAATATAGTTTACCATTAAATAAGATAATGTTTTTTGCATAATAGCATAAATAAAATTACAAATTATACATTCTTTATTAAGCAATGCAGTAGGTTCAGATAAGGACAAACCCCAAACATTATCTTTGAAAATTTTTAAAAAATGAAGAGTATTTTTGAAAATTTCTTGAAAAGTCAAGTTGAATACGAGAAAATTTGTATCTCATTGTTTGACATATAAAGAGAAATAGATGGTGTTTATTTATATTCAGAAGCACCAAACTTTTGTTAAACTATCAAATACAATAAACCATTATAGTTGCTTTTCTCTTGCAGACAGCAACTTTATTCGGACTGTTGAAAAGTGCTCGCCTTCTAAGGTTGTTCCGCGTTGCCAGGAAACTGGATCGGTATTCCGAATATGGCGTAGCAGTGTTGTTCTTATTAATGTCACTTTTTACACTGCTCGCTCATTGGTTGGCTTGCATCTGGCACGTGATTGGTGATAAACAGCCTCCAGTACCTTCAGGCTGGCTTCAAGTTCAGGCCACAGACCTCGGGGTATCCAGCGTGAACGGGACAAAAACAATTGAAGCAAGCGTGAAGTACATTGCATCGCTGTATTTTATATTGTCATCACTGACCAGTGTTGGCTTTGGAAATGTTTCTGCCAATACAAAATACGAACAGATTTTCATGATTATCGTGATGCTACTGGGAGGTAGGTCTGAGCTCTTCTGTGTTTATCCTATGAATCATAACAGGTAAACCAAAGGTATACATCCCGTCTGACAGGTCCCGTGCTTAAACACAATTTGAATTTACAAGAAGTATAAGCAAGCATTTTTTAAAGCAAAAAATATGCATATTTCCAGACAAGATGACTCAGACAAGTGCTTATTACATCATCAAGCATGTTCAGTGGCGCATTTACCCATGGGCCCACTGGGCCCGGGCCTAGGGGCCCCCTGAAATTCTTCGGTTTAGGGAATCCCGTGCAAAAATTTTAAAAGCCTTTAAAGTGCTCTTGATTTGAATCTTGTATTTGAATGGAGCTAGGGGACCTCGTAAAGTAATGACTTCCATTTTAAGAATGGAATAAAGGGCGTGGTCACAAGAATTTTCATCTCCCCCTCTCGCAGGGGGCCTCATATTTTGTTTTCATCCCATGGCTTTTGGAACTTTCGCTTGTCCTGGTTGCATTTTCCCCCAATGCAATGACTGCACTCAGTTTGTTGCTCAATTTGCCATACAGAGGTTTCCCCGGTGAAAGATGTTTCACTATGCTGAAACGAGTACATAAAAAGAGAGTGAACTAAGTGTTGTTTAAATGCTATTTTCATATACTGAGAACAAACGTCGTCTTGACCGTTTCTAATACATTCTCTTCTAGCACTGATGTATGCCACTGTCTTTGGTAATATGGTAGCAATCGTCCAGAGATTGTACTCAAAGGCATCACGGTTCCACAATGAAATGAATATCATAAAGGAGTTTTTGAGATTTTACAAAATACCTGAAGATCTGCGAAGATCAATTCAGACATACGTAAGACAGGAATGGACGTTTACAGAAGGAGTCGATGTTCAGAAGGTAATTATTTGAGGAAAGACATACAACAGTTCCTTTCTTTCTTTGCAACTTGAAACGTTACTTTTCAGTATCGATATGCCTATTGACTTAAAGAGCTCTGGGGTGATGATGTCACAGATTTGTAATCTTTCAACTTTGACCACATAACTAGCAAGATAATTACGTTACTTAGTGGCTGCAATATGGCTACACGAGCCCAGGTTCCTCCTTTATCAAAGGACAGTAATTTGGTTTTAGTTCATGATTTATTAAATCGAAAAACCGTAATCTGTTAAAAAAACCTTTTATTAGTCACATCTCACCCAATTCTTGACATATTCAACTGACTGTGAACATTCAGAAGTATTTTACGATGCTCTTAGAGTTATGTGGCTAAAATTGTAGTATTCTAGAGATGATGACGTAACACTTTGGCACTCTACTTTTTTCAATTTCATAGCAACATCTGCAAGACATCATTGCTGACATAGAAAGAGTTATAGTGTCTACTAACACCAGATGTGCTTTTTCAAGATAGACTAAATTCTACTTACATGTTTTGGTACTTTCTTGTAATCTTGTTGATAAGAAAAAGAGCGACTGGAAATGATGATAAAAAGAATAACTCATTGTCTTTAGAGACATAACCAAGAATTGCAATGACCAAAATTTAATTGTCATAGTTCATTTACTAGCCTAAATATATGCTTTTTTACAAAGGCATCATTATAATTATATGTAATTTGGTGTTGCCGAGAAACTAATTTGGCGATTAATGTCTCCCTATAAAATTTTTTCAATCAAGGCTGTCTTCTTTGAATTGAAAGATAGAATTTCTTGCTATTTTGTAGAGATTAACATCAAGTAAAGTGGTCATCATTATTTGCAAATTGGCTTCAGTTAGACATTAAGTTGCGCAAAGATAAAGCAACAAAGACAACGCCAATGATCTAGCGTGATAGTTCAATAAGATATTTCTATTAAATCTAAAAAATCAGGAGACTATTAAATTTAAACTGGCTAATAAGAAATGAAAACAAAATTTGAAAATTTAGTAATGATAGAAGTAGTGATGATAATGCAGCAAAAAGATAGTAACTATTATTGGCGCTACAGAATTTCAAAATAGCCTGCAATGTCTTTGTTGCCCTTAAAAAATCTTTTTGTTGAATTTGGTAAAAAATGATCTAGTGTGATAGTTTATTAAGATACTGCTTGGTTTGTTGGTATCTATTGATTAAAACAAACCGTTCGAATACAAGATACACATCTAAAATGTTATTGATAAAGAAATATCCCGATAACTGCTACTATTACTGATAAAGCAATGCTATAATATTCTTAAAAAGAATACATGACACAAAGCTTTTGATATTATAGCATCCAGCAAATATTTTAATCACCAATAATAGAGACATCGTAATATATTTCATGGAAGATGTTCATGATTTATTCTCTAAACTGCCCGTTTCTGTATTTTTATCAAAAACAGGTGCTGAAACAATTCCCAATGAGCTTGCAGATGGATATATGCTATGAACTGTATCAAGGATTGTTTTCTGAAGTAAGAGCTTTGCAAGGCGCTACTGTAAGCTGCATGAGAACAATGGGAAGGAAATTCCGTACTCTACACCTACAGGTTGGCCATTATGTGTTGAAACAGGGAGACCAGGTGGAACATTTGTTTGTTATTGGAAGAGGAGCAATGGAGGTTATCAAAGACGGAGAGCTGTCACGCTTCTAGGTGAGTTGAGTATCTTCAGGGAATCTTTATTGGTAGGGCAGGGTGGATAGATGCTCAATAGGGAGATGAGGTATTTCCATTGGTGGACTGGGATATTTAAATTGGTATGATCATCTACAATGCGTCATCTAATCAACTAATTTTAGAAAACAGAAAATGCTTCGTCTTTCAAAGAGAAGAGTTCACATTTGAGTAGCTATGGCGAGCTCTGATGGTGTTCTATGAATCTCCCTGTGACATCAAGGTCACTGTGCTGAGCACAGTTTATTACGTTCTGATATGAGATATCAGCCAGCTTATCGATCTGTTTTATTTCTCATTCAATGAAATACTTGCATTCTCCTTAGCAATTCACTTTTGTTATCTTTTATGCAGCCAAACACACAGCAATTGGCTATGACTTTATCAACAAGCCTTCATATCCAAAGGCAAATGCAGATATAAGGGCCTCAACATCTTTAGAGCTGCATTACATCCACAAAGACGACTTAAAAGATATCATGAAAGCATATCCAAAGTTTGGAATCTTTTTCATGGAAAACTTCCAACCAACCTACAGCATTTGTGATGAATCTGAGGTACATTTTTCAATATTGAACTTGTTGATATAACAAACTCAAATAAAATAATTTTCTTAAATCAGTTTTTAGAAACAATGTCAGTGACAGGACATGTTTTCTAAATAAGTTGCCTTTCATCATTTAGGAAGGACTAGCACGACCATCAAGAACGAAACCAAAGTTGCATCTTGGTGCTATTGCTAAAACTGCGTTGAGATTTTCCTTCTTGCGATTCAAAGCCAAAAGTAGCCTCCAGATGGAGGCGGACAACGAGGAAGGAGAAAGTGCTCCGGAGGAGCATGACAATAATCTGCTAAATGTAACAATTCCAAATGGACATGCAATTAAGCAAGAAGCCAGCAATGAGCCCCAAAGGAGTGACAAGAGGCTTGTTACATCTGTAAGTCCACAAACTAACCCGACAATAAAAATCGAAAATCATAGTCCGTCAGGAGACTTGCGAAATGAAGAAATAGATGAAAGATTGCAAGGACTTGAGAAAAGAATATGCAAAATTGAGAACCAAGTTTTACTTTTCAGAGACTCATTTGACACTCAAATGAATTCAATTCTGAACGTATTGACTGATCTGAAAACCAGTATTGATAGTAAAGAAGTAGTTACAAGGGTTGACAATTGTCGAAGTAGTTTCCAGATTGAGGATCCAGCGTCAAACACTTGCTCTACAACATCGACTTTTTAACATTGCTATCAATATTGCATCAAACATGCAAAAATTTATTCTCAGATTAAATTTAGAGTCGATCGTGCTGGCACTCTTATGAAGCTGTCGTGTCTGGTGCATACCATTAAAGAGACCAGCTCTTCAGCTAGAAGGTAGGGGCTGGAGATTTATCCCTTACGTAAGAGGGCAGCCTCGGAACGATATAGCCTCGGGTCCTGTTCCATGACGTCAGAGGTAGAGCTAAGCTTTTGGCAATTCATTTGATTCCTATGGAAATTTTTGGATGATGCAATTATTTTGTTCATTGGACAGGAGATAAAAACAGTAAAATTTAGACAAACTGACGTTGCTCACAGTAGACTTAAAGTCAGCGCAATGTTCCATAAGAAGATCCTTTATCTTTTGTAACAAAACATTGTGTAAAATACTCTTCGTAGTTTTAAAAAAATCTTAGTTAGTAATTGCAAAATCTTACATGAAAATAATATGCAAGTATGATTTCCTACATAACTTAAAACATGGCTGTACAGTAGAGAATCTGTTTAATTTTTGCAACTTTTCGAGTATTATCGAGTTGTCTTAATAAAACAACATTGATTGTTTAAACATTTTTACGTTTTTTTAAGATTTCTTTTGCTAAGCGACAAAAAATCACTTGGATTCAAAACTTATTGTTGTCCACGAGCTTTCTTTGTCTTTGTCTGATGGAAGCTTTAAAATGTGGGCAAGTAGAAATTTTAAAGAATTATATTAAGTTTTGCACACAGTTAAAACATCGTACCTGTTTGTCCCAAGGTTGTTTGTTCCCTGGGTACCAGAGCCATTTAATTTGATCGCGGAAAATCTAGATAGGAGTGAAGAAGTGGAGCTGCTTCTATCTAAGAAAAACTCTTCCATCTTATTAGCTCCTCCGCTTTTGCGCTTGGTCTTGGTTAAGCGGATTTCAATTTCGGCAGTCAAAACTTTGTGGCTCTGATTTCCAAGGTACCCTACCCTGTTTGTTATAACAAGGCACTGCTCTATAAGATTTACCTAGAAATCATTCATATGCTCTTTGAGTTACCCACAATCTTCAGTAAAAATTATATTTTGTAACGAAGTTCATAGATAATCAATATTTTGTCTTAATATTTATCTATTTTAACCCAAAATTTTTCTTTCTCTTGCAAAAAGTCTAGCCCAATGGCTGTCGATATCTTCCTACGCATTACTGCTTGCTGATTCATGAAAGACCATATAGCAAGATGTACTCAGAGATAATAAAACAAAATGGTAGCTTGATAAGTGATAGTGAAAATACTTTCAATATAGGGAAGCAAATCACATTGATTCAAATCTTTTAAAAAACAATTATTCAAGTTTTTTCGAAGAATCAGAAGCTTATCATCTTTTTATATCAATTAATTTGCCTAAGGCGTATAAGATCATATGAAAAAATCAATGAAAAAGTATTTTATTTCAACACTCTTGTATCAACACTCTTGTTAAAGCGGTTTGTCTTTGATAGGCCAAGGATGTAAACAAATGTTATTTTACAAACAAGACTTAAGCCGTTTTGATCTAAGATTTATTGACAAGTTACAAAGCATGTCATGCTGTCTTCTTTTTCTTATTTCCTTTAATAAAGAGTCGGCTTAAAAGCCCATCCCTTTTCATACATATTCGTCCAGCATCCATTTAAAACGATTATTTTTTAGCAAAAAACTAGATCTTACAATCAATAAATCTGACCGAGGTATTTTTGATATCTCATAAACTGTGCAGGACACCTGGAAAACTTAAAGAATGCGTCAATTTAATGTTAACTGAAGGAATCAAGATGCTTATGCCTTCAAGTTACAGCTGTTCTTGGAAGGAACCCTGTCATAACTGCTATGACTAAAGTTTTGCTAATAAGAGTGGGGCGATTCTAGGAGAAAATGGTCACTTATAGGTTTTTGTATGTATGGATAATTCGCTATAATAATTTTTTTGCAAGTTTTAAAAGGTTAAAATACAATCATATAAGTTACAAACAAAGATAATACCCCTAATTTTAGTGGCAGGGATAGCATTAAAAGGTCAAGCTGGCTTTGTTTTCATAATGGTCTCCTTAGAAATGCTGGTTTAATAGAAAAAGAATGAGAAAAAACCGATGAGACTTAGCAGAAGACATGAATATGCCATCTTCATATATACATGCCTTTTTTCTAAATTTTTAGAAAAGTTCTCTTTGATCTTACGCTTGAAATTGTTCAATATGGATGTTGATTTTAGGGCAGTTGAAAGATTATTCCATATTTTAGGCCCTAGGTAGGATAGGTACGGTTGTCCGGTGTTGCTTTTGCGAATTTGTAGGTCTAGTTTAAACTTTGATCTTTGCGTTGTTTGGTCTTGGTTGACCGGTCTCATATCTCAAAATATCTCATAAAATAACTCAGCACTGCACGCTTGGGCCGTTTTTTTTTGAAAAATCTCATAATGTTGACACTAACACATTGGTCTATTTTGTTCTTTGTTTGGACCTAATTTATAACTTTGAATTCCGTGACCCCAATATGTGCTGTGTTTTTTAGATTGAGCTAAATGCGAACGCATTTGTTTTGTGCTGCCTGGGTCTCTTTAGAGAGCCTCTTATTCAACCCTGCGTACAAGGAAGAGCAGGCATCGAAATTTGGTTGAATAAGAACATTTAAAAGCAACCTACGTGGGCACTTTTGCTTCTTGTACAGAAATTTTAGCTTGCCATTTATTTTGCGAAGCATCCCAATTGCTATTGATGCCCCCAGAAAGGTTTACATCCAGAACACATCATAGATAATATGCGAGCCTTAAGTGTTGCTTAATCTCTATATCGCCTCTTCTTATGTCAAATATATTTAGGGTTTCACAATATTTTCGACTAAAGAGAATGGACTTTGTTTTGTCTTCCCAAAAATGATTGCTGAGTTTGAATTCTACAAGACAATCACTGAGTGTATTGAAATTTCTATTCAAGTTGCTATCTATTTTCTAGATGCTTTTGTCTCTAAAAATTAAGCAAAAATCATCTGCATATTGAAGCAGGTCGTAATTGACTGCCCGTACCATGTCATTTACATAAAGCAGGAATAGGAGGGAACCAAGAATAGAGCCCTGAGGGACCCCGCTAGCAGATTACTTGATTTGAGTGCTCCTTCCCTATATTGACTGTAAATAATCGACCCTGGAGGTAAGACTAAAAACTCTAGATGGCAGATATACTAAAGCCAAGGTATGGCAATTTGTCCAGGAAAGTGCTATGGACAATTTTATAAAATAATTTGGTCTTGTCATGGACTCGGTTGGTTGTATGATGGAGGCTGTAAAGCGAAATGAAACACTCACATATAAAAAAGCTACATAAATGAATAAGTTATATGCGTGGGTTTTAAAGTTCTGTTGCACAGTTATATCAGGTCTGGTCATATGACCAAGGTGATAAAGTCACATGGGCAAGACTTCGCTGAATATTTTGCTTAGTTGTCAAATCATTATAACTAGGATTTTCCTTTAAGTGTTGTAAGATTATCTACAACGACATTGGCTATGTTGAGGGCAAACGTGCTTAAAAATTGCCACTTATTTGGATTCAATAGTAGATTCTTTTAAGGTAGTAGGTTCTTTTAACACGTGTTAAAGGAATTTGAATCACTTAAAAGCAGGTCATATCTATCTGAAAGAGTAATATAAACATGTTTGAATCCCCTGTAGAAACTGCGCAAAGACGCAAGGATGGCTCAGTAATTAGTCTCCTTGACTACAGATCGAAGGATCCGTGGCTCGGGTCCATGATATGAACCAACTTTCACCTAGTGCAGGGGACTCGCCAGCTCTTTGTAATTCCTGGCCTAGGAATCACGAGGCATGGGCACACCAGGTCAGCACAAGCTTCTGAAAGTCCTAAATCTACCTGCGGATGCTAGGTAGAAACAAATACAAATGCAACGAATCGTTAATCCAAATCTTATCCTATAAATCTTCTTTAATGTTGCTAACAAAAAACATTGAGAAAGAGCCTGAATCTCTTAAAAATTTTTCTTTGCTGCTAGTAATTAAGCCTTTTAAGGGCAGGTGAAAAGTACTTGTGAATCTAACAGGTTGTTGCCTTTTGAATAGAATGCCAGATGTATACTCTCAAAGCAAAACTTATCTTTGCATCGCAGAATAACAGGATGTCAATGAGACCAGCTGATCCTAGTAAGACATGGTTGATTGTTACTAGAAATCGTTTACAGGTCAGACAGATCGAGCCCTTCTGCTGAAATTTTGTATGCCGCCCGCAAACCACCAAATAATGTCCTTTTTAAAAGGTCTACTTGGCCCATTAAGTTCAGTTTTTTTCAAGCATCTGCTTTAATTGCGCTTATGCAACTCTCCTCTCTTATTCAACCGTCTCAATCTGTAAACCCTAAATTTAAGCCTAGATCAAGAATCTAATGTTCCTAAAATCCACGAATCACCTTAAAAAACAATGCGTTTAGTAGAAGTTGGAAACCCAATTCCCAAAAAAATGTTTTTGACAAATACTAATTCCGATTTTAAGCTTTATGGTCAACTTAGAACGATGCATAGCGACGAAACTTTGTAGAGGAAATATGGCAAATATTCTTTAGAGCAAGACTTTTTGTGATAAGCCTCTGGTAATAGATTAAAGAGACAAACAAGTGACCGTAGAAGATAAGACATAAGAAAACTATGGAGAGCTGTACTGTTTAGTATAAAATTAACTTAAATTTACTTCTTTTACACAAGAAGATAATTAAATTATTATGTCTGTGCGAAATAAAATGTATAAATGACATTCGGTGGGCAGAGTATACGTAAAAAGCTACAAAGTGATGGCTATACACCATTTTCGTTGGAAGTCTACTCTCTACCCCTATTTTCTCTTGATTTATTTAATTGTTCCATTCATTTAATAGCTTTGCTAAACCTAAACAGAAGATTCCAACATTTGTATTTTCCTTGAAACAAAAGAGAACCTCTAGAACATTCTTTTTTAGTCAAATTGTTTCTGCTTTCTACTTTCTCGTAATTCCAAATTTCTTTCTACTACTGACAATTTCAACCTTTTTTTTCATTTAGAAAATCAGATCGCACAACTATGTAGGCTCACAATTTTTAGATCACTATGCTATACTATGATCAAATAAACTTACAAAAAATGACTATCTTCTTTATCAGAGTGGTAGAGGATAGAAAGGGATTTAAATTTATAAAAATCGCTTATCAATACAGGAATGAGTTCAGACCTTGTTTAGAGCAATGTCATAGACACATTATCGTGTACGTCGTAGGCATTAGTAAATCCTCACTGAAATATCATATTAAGTCTTTAGAAAAGAAGAACTTGAAACTTTTCCTTCCAATTTATTTCTTAGATTATTATTTTGTCTTTGCTATAACTTACCCTCTTTGAAATGCTTTCACAGTATGTAGCCGTAGGCACCAACTACAAAAGGATAAAGGGCTCGAGCTCCCCTTGCATTTCGTTAAAGAGTGCTCTGACGACCTTGACAGATCTTTATGCAGAACAAATTTTAGAGGAACAGTATATATACCGTGTGCATTTTCTCTATTTATGGTAAAGCATCGCTAAAAGGGGCTTTTAGGAGTCAAAATCCTCTGTGAATAGGACTTTTTACGCGTTTAGTTGTTAGTTGCTGATACTAAAATAAAACATTAACACCTTGCAAATAATACAAGCCCCTTCAAGCCCCTATAGCAGTATTCTCATTTCCAGTACCGAGTTGCCCCTGGGAAAACTAAAGTCAACATGGATGTAGCCACCTGCAACAACCAACACAGATTTAATTCAAAGTCTTAAAAAGGCTTTTATGTCTTTAAATCCTTTGCTTTTGATATGCCATATACACACCCTTTATAAGAATACTATAAGTAGTTTATAAAAGCAACTCATGAATTTTGAGACCTGCGAGAAAGACATAGATGAATGAAAAATCATACTTCAGGCAAACTTTAAACATGGCCATCATGCGTTATCTATTCTCAAGTTTTACCAATTTCGAGCCATAATGTTCTTGCAAACTATATTCTTATAAAAAGGTGTGTACCGAGCAATATCTTTACTTTGCTTCTCTCTGTAACAAACTATCTCAGCGGCAACTGGAAAACATTCACAAATATTATGCAGTGCCTATGCTAAGGCTCAAAGATCTCGAAGCCTTGACGATTGCATAAATACGGCTAGCATTGAAATTATAACTGCAAAAGCTAGGATGATGATGAAAAATCTATTGAAAATCATCGCACTGGTCATCCATTCAGTCCTCATAACATACTTTCGCTGGTCTCTAAGTAACACGTTAGCGATAGCCACAATCGGGCTTGTCTCCTTTGGTGACAAGATTTGACCGAAAACATCCTTTACAGTAATTCTTCGTTGCACACGATTCCTTAGTGTATCCCAATGTCGCCTTGTAAACAGAACTTTAGGGTCATCCATAGTACTTTTCTTTGTTCTCCGTGTAACCTGTTCTCTCTCCTCGTTTTCCGTCTCGCTATCAGCATTGTCATGTTCAAATTCTTCGTGCCTATCAACGACTGTGCTGTTCATATTTGCGTTGGAATTCGCGCTGTTTTCCACCTTTTCAGTGCACTCTGTCTCAATAGCAGAGCACTCCTCATTTGCTCCTGCCTTCTCGTCATTCATTTCTGTGACTGTGGTCTCCGTTGTCTGATCGTTATTTTCATTCGTATCTCCACATTCATCATCATTAATATCAACAAGTTCAATTTGATCATACGATTGTCTCTTAGTTATAGATGGCTTTGAAGATTGCACATCCTTTCCTTGTACATTTGTGTTCGCATTATCTTCTTGTTCGGTTGGAGTACTCTCCTCTATATTTTCTTGTCCTGAAGTTCCTGGTTCAGAACTTGACCCAGCAATATTTTTATTTAAACTTATCTGGGAGTTCTTTCTTGAGTTATTCATGTTGCTTTTATCTTGAAAGCTACCTTTTCTTGTTAGAGTTGAACTTTCTTCATTTAATGGCAGCTTTCCTTCAGCTGTCTCTTTCTCGGCATTTTCACTCACCTCTCTATCACTGGCTTGTCCGCTAGCCTCGTGTTCACTGGCTTGTCCGCTAGCCTCATGTTCATGTGTTGAACTTGATTGGCCTGCTTCTGATTTGGGTCCTGAAAACTTTTCCATGTCAAAGTCCGTTAAGCTTGCTTTAGAACGAACAGTTGGGTGGAAGGCTTTTGCATATTTGCGTCTCTTCCAAATAGACAAAACGCTGTCTGTGTATGGACGGGCTGAGAGACTCTTTGAAAGAAGGCTCCCTTGAACTTCAGTCGTGTTCGTACATCCTATAAGAGTGGTTTTAGACCGTCTGATAATTTTCACTTCAGTGCTATTTGGTACCATTTGAGTATTTCTTCTTTGCTTTCGTCTGCTTGATTTGGTTCTGAGACTATAAAGAGCAAAGGAATCATTTGAAAGAAAGGCCCAACGGTCGAGCGCCGCATAAAGAGGAAAACACCTAAATGCATACTAAACTTTTCACTTGACACTGAAAGTACTGTTACAAGTCAACAATAACTCATCATAAATTATGAAAGAACAAATCCCTTGAAGACCACTTATATTTTTACGTTTGGTAATAATTTTTAATAATAATATCAAAATGATAATAATCGAATGTTTTAACAGGATAACCGATCTGATGTTAATTCATTCAACATCATTTAAATGTATTTTTTCTTGTGAAATAGTGCTGAAAGGATATCGCCAAGAATGGACTAAAAACCACAGAAAAGAAATTTCTTAAAAATGAAATATCTTGTGCAAACTTGCATAGCAAACTTGTATGCGCAATTTCACCTTGTTTTGAAAATCAACTTATTGAAGTCAGTTTCTGAACTTAAAGTGCATCACCTATTAAATGCTTGTGTCGTTAATGAGTTTCTTAAAATTCAAACTTCCCTTCTCTTCAGCCGTTAAAGTTCCCCTTCTAACACCTTTTTATACATACAGTTGAATCCCGTTAGTTCGTGACCCGTATAATTGAGACTTGCAGTAAATCGGACAGACTTTCGACTCCCATTGGGTTTTTCTACCGCATTCAAGTCAAAAATCGTACCCGGCAATTGTCAAACTCTTACTAAGTCAGATTATTCCTTACCCTTTTTGAAAGCTTGACTAAACGGGATTCAAATGAAAATGGAACTTCCAATGTTTAGGAAAAAAACATTATTTCTTCGAAAAAGTAAATAAATAAAACAGAGCTGTTGTAAGGATACACAGCAATAAAAATGTTACCGCTAGCGGGTGGATGCTCTGTAACTGCATTAGGTGGATTGTCCGTATTTTCAATAACTTCACCATGGCCATCACAACCTTGCAGCCCACATTCACAAGTAGTTTCGTTAACCGGTGAATTCGCTTCAATTGGTAAACGCACAGAATTACTCGAAACCAAGGAAGAACGATTTGACAATGAGCCTCCCGGCTCTCCAAACCCAGAATCGCATCGGTTTTCTCCAATTCGTTGATTGTCTTGCTGTTCAAGAAGATCTTCCTCATTTTCTTCCTCGATGTCTGCGAGCTGCAAATCAGGTGCTGGCACTTCGTTAGCTTCTTCACTTGAACTATCTCTTTGATCATTGTTATCTGCTAACGCTTGATTGATATGTTGTGGTTGCCGCACTTGTGCGTATGGTTGTTGTTGTGCTTGTGGGTTTTCTTTTTTATCTTCGATTTTCACTCCAAAATGCTTGTTATCAGTTGGTTTAACTGAATATGTCTTAGGCCCATGAGCTGTTGCATTTAGTTGAAGAGTGCTGTTCATTGCAAGCATGCTTTTTCGTCGTCTTTCAACTATCTTTATTTCTGCATTAGCTGTACAGAAGATAGGAAAGTAGAAAGTAATAACCTTTTCTTTGTGAAAGCCATAAACTCCTTCACGCTTAGAAAGAATGAGCGAAACATTTGTTCTTAGCTGTTAAAATCAATTTGAAGTCGCAAATTGACAGATATTAACTAACAATGGTCAATACACATTGGTAATACACATTGCTATGTCGTGACTAAAGAGCATAGATCATATTCCAAGGTTAATAGTCAACAATGTTCTAGTTAACAATTTCATATCCAAGTACCAAATAGGCAACGATGAAACAGCCCTGATTTAGTCTAAGCAGATGATTGTCAGTTTCGAGTTGTCTAAATACAGTAGTTATAGTTCAAGATGTTATAGTTTAGCATTATAGCTGCCAAGTAGTAACCAACCGGCATTCAAGCAACAATAAAGAATACCCAGTTCAAAGCAAACCTTGTACATATAGTAAAAACCAGTCATGGACGTAGTCATAAAAGGTAAAGTAAAGTTTACAGATCAAGGAATCGATGAAGACAATGTGGTTCCTACTTTATCTGCGGTAAGGAAATTTTACGGACCAGCAAACGATTTGGCTGACTAAATCAAGATTTTCCGAACTCATATAGTACCAACAAAGAAACTTCACATGTGCGAGCAGCATGCAAGATAAAGGACATATTTTCGTCCCGAACAACGTTACTGCTCTATGCAATAATCTGCATGGTTTCTAACACGTAAATTTTAACCATATTCATACACAAAATATCGCTATTGCTCTTTACAAGAACTTATATATTAATGTAAAAAATCATTAGGATTTGCTGTAAGTGTGACTGAAGACGTAATTTGTACAAATGATACTGACTTGGATGAATTCTGCTAGGTTTTCCTCCTTTCGTTTGGTAGAATGTTATTCGTGCAAGTACTCCAAAAGCTAGGGTCTGAAAAAAGACGATGATATATAACTAAAAATACTTCTTTAAAGGCTAAGCTTTTCTTTACAAGAAACAAAATTCACTAAGACCGTGTCACTGTTCCTCTCTTTTGTTGTTCTATTATGCAGCTTTAGATGAGCTCTTTTAAACGTTTTCTGAGTTGTATGTTTTGCTTCAACTTAAGGTCGTTCTTTAACTTAAGGGTTATATATAGAAATGTTTGTTTTGTGAAAAAACAATTACTGCATTGTCTTTGATAGTAGTCATGACCCTTATCTTGGATCCTCTGACAAAGGCTATAGCTACTGTGAATACACTGTGAGTTATATGTGAGTTAGTTCATATTTTCATAATGTTATGCTAGCTGACAATTTAGAAGATAATGTTGAAAGAATGATTAAAGAAAGAAATATCTATAGATGAACAATGAGGACAATGGAAACTGTTCTCCAGTTTATAATTTGTGTCCTGTTTCTCATGCTTTATTTTTGCACTCTAAAACCAGCGCATATTCACGAAGCTCAATTAAAATTAACATTAGATGCCACGATCATTACATTATGAATGCTACATGGTGTGACGCTTAGGTGTTCACTGAAATAAGATACTCACTGAAGTAAGAATTCCTTTAAATCAAAGTGAAGGTTTTCATAATAAAATTAGTAGCTTCTTTGTGAACTTACCCTTAAGTAGTTTGGAAAGTGCAGCAGTCTGAGGCCTTCTGGATCATAAATGTGCAAGCAGTAGCATGAGCATACCATTGCAATAGTGATTTCAACGATGATGCATCCATAGAATTTACTGACCAAGGGAAATGACTCTGATGTTGGAGGCATTTTCTTATTAATTAGTGATAGATACACTGCTATGCAGAGTATGAGAGTAATTCCAACCTCTGAAAATTGACAAAAATATCTTCATTGTATTATAATAAAAATGATTGGAAAATTAATCTGCAAGATATTTGAAGTGTTTTTTTTTGTAGTTTTTCCAAGTCGTTAGATTCAAAGACGTTGAGGAAAATTTGAAAGTGGAGGCGTTTGATGATTTATGTAAAGATAAAAGATAGGAATTTGCAGAAAGAAGAAGCATAATTACCCATGCGTTTGCCAGCTTCTGGTGGCACCATGAATACCATTATTGACAAGACAGCAATGATAATAGTAGGCAATGTATAACTTATGACTTCGAACCATGCCGTTCTCTTTAAGCCAACGAAACACTGGACGACGTTGCATTGGTTACTTGTTTGATCAAACGGACAGTCTGTCTTTGTCTTCTTGCATTCTGATGACGTCTGCTGCCATGCCTTATTCTTTTTCCCGAACTGGTTTTCCTGGATGAATTGATCTTGAACTATGTTGATGATTAATTCTGATTTATCATGTGTCCAAGAACCAAGAGTCACAGGACAGTATTGTGTATCAAAAGGATATTCGCTTATGTTAAGCTTGCAGCTTGATCTTATTATGTGCGGAAATCCCAAGGAAATTAATCCATTGGCTTCAGCCTTTGCCAAAAATGGAGCATCATCGCTGTTTTGAGGCAATCCAAGGTGAAAACCAGCCGAAATCTCTTGCCTGAAACAAAAGTCCAGGTTTCATAACATTACACCAAGTTTTCCTTAACAAGCAGACAGATCTTGAATTGCTACGGCAAAAGCATTTGTAAGACGGATAAGAAATGCAACGAAGGCATTGCTCAAAACATCAATTTGAATGAAACAAAACCTTCCTATTGCCATGAATTTGACAGGAATAACGCAAATTTCTTATCTTCAAGTGAAACCTGATGGCTGAAAAAGTTTTAACAATTCTTATTTTTGTTATCGTGGTCTATTTTCACATTCACAGAAATGAAAATCCGATTAGAGACCAGGTCTAAACAAAAATTTCAATTTCAGATATCTTTGATTACAAAAATGAACTTGATTTTGCTTTGAATAAATTTGATTTCTTCAATCATGTTTGTTGCCTTTTATCTTACTGCAATATGGCTACTGGGTGTTATTTCTCAATAGCGAGTGTCAATGGTGACGTCAGTTAGATGTATTTTTTTCTTTGTCCACTCGTACTGATAACAATGTTTCTCTATTTCTTCTTGACTGTGCCCTGTACGGTGTGTGGATTGAAGATGCAACCTGCTTAATCCACATTCAACTACTACCTAAAGCATTTGCACCTCAAAAATGGAACTTCCGAGTGTATCCATATCTAGTTTCTTCGCCATATTATTAATGTCATATCCAACAGGCATGAAAATAAATTAAAAAGGTATTCAAATTGACTTTTGACGTCTACAAACATGGTATTGGGCATACGGGAGGCTTTGATATAGGTTGTTTTTCTTAGCCTATTCTAGCAGTTCAAAGTAAATAACAAATAAAAACATAATTGACAATAATTTCACTGGAAATGCATTCATTATTGTTTTTCTCAGACTATATTCCAAAGTTATGATATTAAATTAGAGTTAGATGTGAGGATGGTTCAGCTATCATATGGCAGACTACAGACCCAAGGGTCCGTTGTTCGAGTCCCTGGTAGCCTGTGCTCCAGACCCCTAACTTGAAAGTAGCCTCTACTTTCAAGTTAGGGGTCTGGAACACAGGCTAGTCCCTGGCATAACTTTCACCCAAAATGAGGACAGTCGCCAGACCTCTGTAATTCTAGGCATAGGAATCACGAGGTGTGGTCACATCGAGAGGAAGGACAAGGACACTGCTCGATCAGCATAGGCTTCTTAGTGTCCTAAAAACTACCTTCGGATGCTAGGTAGAAACAAATACAAATACAAAGACAAATATAAGAGTTAAATATTTTTCAGCAATATAATATATCACAAATAACTGTTCCATAATGGAATATGAGTTGCTGGTAACAGACGTCTAGATAGCTAAAAATCTAGACTATAAACCTAGCTATAAAATTTAGACTCACGTGTTGTGAATAAAGACATCTGGTACCCAAATATGACCAGCAGGAAACACTAGGTTGCGTATGTTGCTATTAGCACCTGGGTCCCATGTGAATGTGCTGTCTTCCCATTGCTAGAAGTGAAATTTATACAATTTAGTATTCATGAAGCTCTTAGCCACCTAACTATTAAATCGATAAGAAGGGGAGGGGCGTCAGAAGGGCGCCAGAGGGGCGTCAGAGGGGCGCCAGAGGGGCGTCAGAGGGGCGCCAGAGGGGCGCCAGAGGGGCTGAAAACTGACATATTTCTCCATTATTTCAACATTGGAAACCAACGAAAAGTATAGAAGTTTAAGTAAGCAAGGAGTTTCAACATTGCGTTGTTGGGAGATTAACTTCTACTGTTTGTTCTTATAGCCGTTTGATCTTAGCTTGAATTGACCTTCAACTTTGATAGAAATATCAAGGTGCTTATGGAGATTTTTTACTTTGATTTAAATTATTGTCATTTTATGTGTAAATATTTAGATATAATCATCAGACTTTTAAAGTCTTATATGCACTCTTATCACCCTAATGATAACAAAACATATTCTAGTATGTTCGTTTTTGCATGAATTGGTCGTATTTCTTATTCGGCTAGGGGTTTCAGCCCTTGAAACAGGATTATTCTCCCATTGATTTTCCCTAGACTTTATTGGCTTTCTTTGTCACTTATCATCCATAAATTTGGGCAATAACTGAAATGAATTATCTTCTTTCAAAAGCTTTGTCAGTTTCAAAGTAATCTTTGCATTCATCATTATTGCCGATTGTGATAGCTTGAAACTTTGAGGGACTTGCAACTTTTTCAACCAATTAAGTCATTTAATATTGTTGGTTGTAGTGACAGATTGTACCGTCGTGAGCAAAATTATATAAAGACCTACCGCTAAGGTTGTAAAATGTTTTGTTTTGTACAATACAAGATTAAAGAAAAGAGACCCAAGAACAGATCCCTGTTATACTCCTTGTCTGGGAACAAACTGTCAGAATACACATCTTTCAGTTAGCTCCTATCTTGCTATTCAGATCTTTTAAAACTCAGCTTAAGATGAAGCAAAAGTATAAGATGAAGGAAGGATTTAAAGGGCGAAAAGATAACGACTGATTGGAAAATTGTTTAGTACCAGCCAATCGATTACGAAGCACGGCTGGAGCGATATTCGTGGCTTGGTTCCTTAAATACCTCAATCAACGCTATATATGAATAAAAATTATTATAATCCAGCTTCTTATAGAAATTCAGTCATAATTCAAAGCAGCCATATCTAGTATGGAATGACTTACAGACAATCAGCCTCGTTGCTTACTAACTGCTTAATTTCATCTTCAACTACTCCAAATAGACTTTACACTTGCTTCAATAAGATATTTATGGGCATTTATATCCGTTTTAAATGTTTACATTTCTTAACAGGTTATTACATTATATCTACAGGTTTTTTTATCGAGTCTAACCAAAAAAGGACGGCGAATCGCATTACCTTAATTAACTATCATATACAACTGGATTGAGGAGAATAACAAATTAAAAATTTTCAGAAAGATCGCAATTACCGAGTAAGAGGAAATCATAAACAACTTGAAGATTTTAACCTCACTGTTGCTTTAATTACGTCACATAACTTTACTGGTGCTGAATGTAATTTCCCGTTGTTGCTCAAACAATGAAACAGCGTACAGCTGATCAATTTTTAACTGTTGACAAGTTATCACATAATCTACAATGTGAGTCGTATTGATGCAAACCTCCTTTGGAATATTTCTCCAAGAAATTAGCACATTACTTAATCATGAGCAGGAAATATGTTAATTCAAGATACGACATGTTTCATAAACTCAGTCAGTTGATAACTGTCTGCTATTCTTCCACCTACTGGGCAGGGCTAAGGAACAATGGGCACAATTTACAAATCAAGATCTCAGGATCTGTTTGATCTTCACTGTTATCTAAATTATTTTTTTCTTTTTTTGCAATTACAGTTGTTGGCACGAGGCATTAGCTACTTGAATTTTCAATACATGTCAAGCTAAGGCTGTGTGACATTTACATTGCTTCTGCACATTTTCCATGGTCTATTGGAGTGGAACTTGAAATTGGTGATTAAATTGTGTTGCTAATAAAATCACAATCTAATAGAGCCCTGCTACAATTATCAAGCTCTAAGAGTAATGAATCGGATTTTTACTCGGCAGACTTGGAATTTCTAAACGTCAACTTGGCAAATTTGGTTTTTGGCATGAATAAAGACATCAATGATTGTTGGTAAAATATTTGACTGCTTTCATTTTCATTTCGATTTATTACTTGGCACGTTTCTATCTTAACCGTTAGTTGGCCAACTGAAACAATTTAAAACCCAATTCAACATTAGCATGCTGCAGTGTCATCTGTAGTTATCAAAGATGTAAATGTTGTAAATGTAAATGTAAATGTTGTCAGAATGACCTTTTTTAGAAACGGTATGATGTTAATGGTAGGCCAAGAGATAAAGAATCTTACCGCAAGCGTAGATCACATGCGCATCCCACGAAAAAAAACCGGAAAACTGTGCAGGATCAATTAGATATTTTGGTTGAATTAGCACAAAAGTTAATTTGGTTTATTGTAATTCATTAAAAATTGCATTACTTACCATTGTTGTCCATGTAAGCATTGATAACACTTCATTTCTTTCATCCTGAAAGTAAGAAAGTTTGAATTGATATGACATCTTATTTTTGCTTGTTTTGTTCTTATTCTAAAGTACTTTTTTGCTTGTTATGTTTTGGAAGGTAAACATATAATCGAATTGCAGTTTGTCTCTTATGTTTCAGCTGCGCGGAATTTTTTTTATATTATCAAAGGAACCCATTTGAACTGAGAAGCAGTAATGGAAGCAGTCTGTCTTCTCACGTGAAATTACTGTTTCAATATTTCGCTTTGCAACCAAACCAAAGCTGATAAAAGCAAATCGATAGATAAAAATAGATGAAATGAGTTAGATAACCGTAGATAGAAATTAGGCCACGCAGATAAAAATTATTTTGGGATAACTTCAATAATGGCACCTGTAAATTTGCAGATGGACTAGAAAGCAGTCAACTACACCAGCAATGTCTGTAAATTCAAGATGAAGATTCAAAAATTTTTGTATGCCCAAAAGCCATAAACAGATAGGTTTAGTTAACATTTAAATTTTGCCATTATTCACACGATGAATATTGAAAAACGAGTAGATCCTTGCGTACATTTAATCAAAAGGTGCTTACAATATCAAGTATTTGAACGATTCGGACGGTTATGTTAACAACGGTAGGTCCAGTGAGGTCTTTAGGCAGTGGCCTTATGTCACTTGAATGCCCTGTTAACAATTTCTTCAGCAGTATGCTTTCCTCTGGAGCAACTTGAAAAGAACCTAGAAAGAAAGAGCCAAAATATTAGTTCCATCTTGTTTGACTTATGTCCTCGAAGAATAGTCTGTTTCAACAAAAAGCTACTGTTTTCTTTTCAAAGCCATTTCTAAAAAGTTGTTTGTTCATAAGTTGCATTCTGTTTACGTCCTAATGTTCAAAGTGCAACTTTTCTGGATTTTCGAAACAGAACTGTTAATGTGACTTTTGCCTGTTGATATTATAGTGCCATGAAGTTATGATAAACAAGTAAAGAAGAGGCATGGAGTATCTCTGTTAGAAGAAGTAAGTTTGAGCATTCGTCATTCATCTGAATATCCTGGTATAAATGAGGAAATGATTATTGGATGGGGTTACAAAATCTCTTGATACTAAATTTTTTAATTCTTATAGGAAACGGAAGAAAGATTCTGTTATCGTAGATAAAGTATGTTTGTAAATGAAAATGAAGCAAAAGCGTTTCTGTCAAGAGATTCGCTTCAAAATTCATTTGTTTCTTAATTTTTTGCTTCGAGTACGGAAGCCTCTTAATTTTCTCTGATTGTCAAGTACTCGTTTATTTTAGCAAGCTTCTTATAAAAAATGAATGTGTTTATTGGGGAGACAAGCAAGAGAGAGTATTATTTTTAGTGAGGCACCCTTCCGTCCTGGAGACAAAGATTATGCGCATGGAACAAAGTCATTACTACGCATGCGCTCTGACTCCAGGATGGAGGGTTGCCTCAGACTTTTGAAGAGTCTCTCTCTCCTTCCTATCCCCAGCAAGTATAGCAATTGGCTACAATCCCGGACAAAAATGATTCAGACTTTTCAAGGAAAGCTTATACTTTCACGTTCCTTTAAAAATCAACTTCCCCCCTCCCCCAAATGAATGTTTTGAAAGAGAAATGATATAGAACTACAAATCCAACATTGCTTTGGGGGAAAAAAGAAGGATTCGAATTTAAAGGGGCAAGGTAAAGTATAAAATTATAAAAATTGAATTTTGTCTCAACATTATTGTCCGGGATTATAGTTATTGTCTAGGCCCTTCGAAAAGCCCCAAAGTCTGTACTGCGCGCCAGGCAAGAAATTAGTAGCAAGCATGACAATAATTTGTTTGGGTCGAGAATTATGCTAATTTACAAAGAAGACGATGCTTATTTTTATAAGAATTTAGTAGACTTTCTAAAATCTGTGAAACAACACTGAAGCAGTTTATTTGTGACGTTGTTTATCATTCAGGCCTATTTTTACGATACCAGTTTCGCTGTTAGTTTAACTATTAATATTCTAAGCTAAGTTGTCCCAAAGGCAGCGACACAAGTCCTAATAGTTCGCCTAGGCAGATTAACCTTATCTTGTTAAACAAGTTATCATCATTTCGTAAATATTGTATTCGCATTCATGATTTCAAATAGAACACCTGTGATTACCAACGATTCTCAAGAAATCGAAACTAGTTGTTTTCAAACAAAAAACAAATCATTCACTTTCTCATAAGTAAAATCACAAAACCGCAGGACATTTAGGCGCAGATTGGTAATTTTATTTGATCCATATAGGTTTTTGTGATTAATTCGATCCAGGCCCAGTTCACACTATACTGGACCGTTATCATTGCGTCTTGATTTTCCTATTGGATAACATGACACAATGCCAAATCTATCCGTCATGAAGGGCTCCGACAATCAGCCCGGAGTGATTTCGGTGTCATGGGGTCAAAAATGTATCGTGCGGCATTGGGGTCAAAAATGTTTCGTCGTATTTGCTAGTTGTCCCGTGGTCCAGCGACGAAACCCGGTACTCGCCATCAATCTAATTTATAAACGACTAAAGGACTATTCGCGGGTTTCGTTGTCGCAACGTTTCACGATAAATCCCGAATATCGTTGTCATTTAAGATTCTCGATGACGAAATCGAGTTTCGCCGCGTAGCCTCGTTTTCAAATTTCAAATCTAGTTTCACATCACGTTGAAAATTAGAAACGAGGATACGCGACAAATCCCAGTTTCGTCGTCGAGAAACTTACATGACAACGATATCCGGGGTTCGTCGTGGAATGTTGCGAAAATGAAACCCGGCTATAGTGACCATAAATTCGATAAACGACGAGTCCCTGGTGTCGTCGCTGAGCCACACGACGAATAGCACTAACGTCGAAACAATATTTGCCCCAATGCCGCGCGATGAACAGTTCGCTTCGAAATTTCTATGCCGATTTCATTTTGAAGCAAAAGCATTACTTTCTCTAGCAACATTAATCATTAAATCACATTTCGAAAAAGGTTTCATCACTCAGAGATTGTTGGGACTGCTCATCATTTAGCAACAATAGCTTATTTTTTGTTTGGCTGACGGTAACCGAATAAACACGCTTAAAAAAAGAAACTATAAAGCTGTAAAGAATGTGGCTGTTTCTTTAGCAACAACCTACCTATCCGGAAAAGTGTAAGCAAATCGATTCGATGCTTTATATAATTTGAATGATTTGAAAGATGGGGGGCCAAAATTTTTTTAGCATCACATAGATATAATTATATCAAAAATAACGTACAGAGGTAACGCACAAACATGTACAAACCAATGCAATCATGGGGAGAGGGTTAAGAAGCAAAATGTGCACATTTTCAAACTCAGTATAATTTGCAAAGGTTTTGGTTTGGGAACCTGTAGAATATTGGGTGCCCAGATCCCCTGCCTCCCGCTTGCTACCTCCCTTCATTAATGTATTGATACACGTTATTTCTTAAGTCATGTCTCTGACCTTTTGAAACAGAAATTTATGAAAAGGAGACATGCAATTTTAGCCTAAATTTAATGATTTTCTTGATTGCTTTTCATAACGTGGACCTTGAAGTCCCAGGAGTCTTCTCGATCCTCGTTTACAAAATCAGGGAAAACTCTTGCCGTAAAAAGATCCTGCTCTCTTCACTGAAAGAATCATGAACAATCTAATTCTGCTGGCCTAGCAATCGAAAAGTTGCTCTCCAGCCTGCGGCTTGTTGCATATGCTTTTAAAATATTTCAAATTGCCATTTGACTCAAACATTTTGTAAAATTCTATTTTAATAGCAAAATAAAGAATATATAAAGTTAAGTTGTTTTTCTCAGCAAAGCTGCTAGAGATGCCAAAAGATGATTTAACCAAATGCACACCTCCAAGATGGTACACTGCAATGCAATTCAAGATGCTTGTGACATTCCAGATATCAACATCATGGTTCCTTGTTTGGAAAACGCAACTATCAAAGGCTCTTTTTAAAGTATCCGGCCTTTTTAGAAAAGTTTATTTGTTTATAAACATGGTGTTTTGAAGAAATCATCATTACAATATAATTCTTAGTCGAATACCGTGATGTTTAGGTTTGTAATTGTTTAAACTTGCATGTTATCTGACGGCCAGGAAGAATGGGTCTTTTAAATCTTTTACATCTGAAGTGAATATTTTAGATCCGAAGTGTTTAATCTTATATAATAAATCAATGAGTTCTATTCAAACAGGCAAAGACCCTCAAACAATACAGTATGAAATTCTCGTCAAATTACAAAAGCTTTGGTTTCAGAAGACGTTGTCCAAATCAATTTAACTATGTCTTCTAACAAAGATTTCAGCGTTTCCATGCACTGTACACATAGAGATTCTGTTGACATTGCCGTTTCTTGGTATATTAAAAGTATTTTCAAAAGAAACTGTCCTTCTACTAATTCCTAAAATCAAAGAAGGACCGTGTATGTCTTTGGAAGATAATAATTCTTTATAATGTATTAATTCAACCGTTGGTTAAGGAATCTTCCTCTTTTCTCAACAGGATTAGAAGATTATTTGCTTTTTCAGGGGCTTGATTGTTGCTCAAAGCACACATACTTTTGAGCTTCTAGACTATTGCCTGGATATACCGGTAGATGAGCTGTTATCACCAAGAACCTTGAAATTTTTAATTTGAAAGTTCAAAGCATTTTTATAACGCTTCTGCCATAGAATTTTAGCACCATCTCGTAATACCAATGTTTTTTAGATCTTCGACCAACGGCTAGGCCTATGTGAAATAAAAGCTAGTCAATCATAAGCTCTGTTTGCGTTGATTCAAAATTCCCTTTTATTGGAATATGAAGCATGAAAGAAGACATCTTTGTTAAAGAGTATTCTTTGAGATCCCTAATAATGAGAATTTCAGCAATCCAGCTACGTTCCTAGTTCAGAGTTCCTTTGTAGCACCTAATAGACTACTCAAAAATGTCTGAAACGACTTATGCCTCAAGTTGACTTTTCATACGTCATCCCTCACGTAAGCAACATATGTACTGCCTGTTCCACCAAGAAACAAATCCTCTTCTTTTTACTACGCTTCGATGTTCACAAAATCTTTCAACAACTCTTTTGGATATAATTTAGAATTAAGAACTAGCTTTTGTTAGTGATATGGTTATGGTGACGTCACTAACATGCACACACTATAGGATCGAAAACAGAATAAAGACGGTGCCATCCTGTGGAGCTAAACATCTTGACAGAACCATATACTTGTCATGTAAGTGGGTTTTCAGCGCATATGACCTAACTCTAAGCAACACCAAAGAACCTTAAACTGCGTGGTTCCATCTTAAATATTTGTCCTGATTTTTACGACACCCGATCAGGACATCGAAACTATTTTTGATTTTAGTAGGATGTTTTTCCTTCTGTAATAACTTTTGATGCAAGCAAACATATTTCGGAATTACACGACCCGTCATTCTCTTCTGCCTTTTTACCTACTGAGATAATGATTTGCAGCGTGAACTACAAATGTGCCGAAACCTCGCGATTCGCAGTTTATCAATCAGGCAAGGCTAGATACACGCATGCATACGCTGTTTAAATGCATTTAAATTGTATTAAAGTAGGTAATTACACCGTTTGTCATTCAACTTTGAAGCTGACAAGTCTGTTACATGCAACTACTAGTTAAACATTTGATATTAAAGAAGGAACTCGAAAGTCGAGTTAGAACTTACCGGATAACTGTAATACTATAAAAACCACAACGACATTTGGATGACTGATCATCTTAAATCCTGTACCGTTTACTGTAGACTGTGTTTGATGGGTTGCTTGGATTTTTTGCAAGAAACCATAAGAAATTTGTTTACGTTACCAAAGACAGTCCAACGATTTCGAAGCAGGTCTGTTGGTGATTAACCAAATTGCCACCTGTTCCTAGCAACAGTTTACGGTGCATTGAACTCAGGACAAACCGCTGCAAACGAGTACCCGCAGCTTGAATCAAAACCGTGTTTTAGCCTACCTATCTGATCAATACGCTATCGAGAATCAATAACGAGACTTGAATTGGTTCTTTTACCATTTTTCAGCTCGGGATGAGCTCTTCCTTCCACAATACAATTTCACCATTATTCAGCATTTTCTTTTCTCATCCCTATTTTACCCCCCCCCCCCTCTAATTTGGCAGTTTTCTTGGTGGAAACATTTATTTAACGCACTTACTAGAAATATGCTTCAGATTGAACGCAACGCGTTTCCAGTTAATTTCAATGATTGCAACAATCAAAAACCTGTTTCATTTCAAACGAGACTAATAAAAATCGAAACTTTTCATTTTGAATTCCAGTTAAAATTACAATCTTTCTATTACATAGGTGATTTATAACAGGCAAGTCTGTTTTCACAAAATTAAACTATTGCAATCGTAGTAATATAAAGAAATGATCAAGAAGAAGAAAAAATAAAATTCAAAGCTCATGAACAATTATAATTATAACAACAATTATTATTTAGAACTTTTTTAGCGTTTTATATACTCAGGACTCATGGTTTTCACATTTTATCATAGATTACACATTTTGTCTTCAACCTCGATGCAAGAAGATCAAAAGATATGGCAAAATAAAATTGTTTGTTTGCCTAGGCCTGTATTGCCAACATTTGTCAATTCCATCATATATTGTCCAGAAATATTTGCAAATATAAAATTCAAATGGAAAAAAACTTTCAATATATGTTGACATTTAATGTGAAAAGAATGAAAGCAAAATTGTTTTCACAAGCGGCAAAAATTTTTGATCTTTGAGGAAATATGAAATTATGTTTCTACAGGCAATCACAAAAATTCATACTGAGAACAATAAGAGCTGTATTTGTCTCATATCTTTAAAACGTTGTTGAATACCTAGTTATATTCTTAAATGTAGAATAGAGTCTCAACTCTACTTTGTTGGAAAAGAAACAAAAGAAAGGAGGAATGTAAATGGCACCTTTCGTTGCAATAAATGCCAAAGCATTGGTTTGAGGTGAGACGGAGAGATAAAATCTAATACTTACTAAGTAAATGTTTATTGCTAGTTTGATAGTTTAGTAGCTATGGTTGCTTGTTGAAAGGCAAACAAGTCGAGCCCTTCCAGGGAAGAAAAGAACAAGTAAAACAGATTATGATTCCGAATTTCTCGCAAATTGTTAGAAGCCTAGAAACCTCATGTTATTCTTGGTTGTAGTTAAACAACTATTTCATTTTCAAAACAGCTAGAATTTGTAATGTTTGTCATGCATGACACTTATTATTATTTTCTTTTCTCTTCTATGACGTCATTTATTTTTCTAAAAAACAGCTAGAATTTGTAATGTTTGTCATGCATGACACTTATTATTATTTTCTTTTCTCTTCTATGACGTCATTTATTTTTCTAAAAGCTTCACCGTAAAAAATCTTTAATTCTTTTTTCTTGTCAGTAACGTGTCAACCAATGATTTAATGTTACATTCCACATATAACGTTAGTTTTATTCCATTGAAAATATCTTTTTGTTGCGAAAGAGGTAGATTTTGTTCTTAATGATACGTGAACACAACTGCATAAATTTCAAGTTGAATTTGACGACTTTGGAATAACAAATTGCAGCAAACTTAAAAATAGAGTTGCTATTCTATTCTTCTCTAATTGCCTCTCCTCTCTCGAAGGAACTTGCTCATAAACTTTGCTGCAGGCAAACCTCTGAACGAACATGTTCTGGACCATGAAAATAAGACGAAACCGATATGAAGATTAAGGATCAGACAAAACTTGTGCAAGGATCCTGGGAGTATGGCAAGACAAAGGGGGCAGACGCATAGTCATACCGAAGGTATGTAGATAATAGACAAGGGAAGCAAGTAGACAAAATGTACTTAGAATGCCTACTCTTAGATGAATCTTCACAGTGACAAAGACAAATGGAGAAGTATAATGTTTATCCTCCTTCCCCCCTTCATTATTTGTGCTTTGATACAGCCAAGAATCGTATAATGCAAAGAAAACTGCGAAGAATTGTTACTTCACCAAAAGTCAGCCATTGACGACTTAACCAGAAAAAGAAAAGCGATACCTCTGATAGATGTTAACGCAATGCAAGCTTTATATGCATGAAAATGTACACAAAGTTTGACATATATCGATAGAAAATTCTCGAATGATTTCTCACTGAGTACATTTTGCTGCAATTTTGTATAGACAATTGGTTTTTTGTTGCATTTAGAAATGACTGAATCAACAACCTGGGATCAGCAACTGGTTGCTAATATTTGACTCTGTCTTGTCTAGTTTAAATATTTCATGCACTACACTCTTTTAGGCTCTGGTGCTCTTATAGTCGTATTTATTTCAAAATTGATTCTTCTATATTTGCAAACTATGAATACTTTCCAAGGCCACTGAATAACAGTTCTGCATTAAATTTTTAGTAGCAATTTTCATTAGCTGATAAAATCGCCTCTGTTTTGTTAACAAGGGAGAAAACGTTTCAATTCAAAATTCAACCAATGGGTCATTATTATTAAAAAGAAAGTTCGTCCTTATTGACGCCATAGATATTTTAGATAATTTCTTCCCATCCTTAGAATGCCATATCTCAGAATTTTTCTCGCCGCCAACCACTGAGTGGCGGCTTTCACTGAACTCCTGAGCAATATAAACATTTTGCCTCCTCACTTGCAATAAAGTTCCCCTCGCCGTACACTTCCCACAGTATCGATGCTCTCATAACAGCTGTAGTCAATGTACCTGGCTGCTCAACCAATGTTCGGGGAAACATCAACCCTCACCATGGTCAAATTGCAATGATTACACGACAAGATCAACTTAGACATTTCAAGGAGCTCCCCCTGTTAAAATTTTACGACTACATCCCTGCTCCAGAGCATATTTCCATGCACAAAGGCGGATTTTTGTCTCCCTCTTTAAGATCTGGACCTTAATTATTGCTACCACCTTGAATCCGGAAAATTCCAGGAGAAAATTGAGCCCTGTTTTCAGGAAGATTTTTGGCCAAGTAATAATGTCAGTATCTAGAGCTCTAACAGACATTTATGAAATGTACGAAATTTTAGTGGAGGATGGCCATAGAGCATTCACTATTCGCAAGGCCCTAGGATCCTATCGCACTGCGACCCAGAAGACACTTTTGGACTAGGATCCTATCGCACTGCCCTCTTCTGCCCTCTTCTGCCCTCTTCTGCCCTCTTCTGCCCTCTTCTGCCCTCTTCTGCCCTCTTCTGCCCTCTTCTGCCCTCTTCTGCCCTCTTCTGCCCTCTTCTGCCCTCTTCTGCCCTCTTCTGCCCTCTTCTCCCCTCTTCTGCCCTCTTCTGCCCTCTTCTGCCCTCTTCTGCCCTCTTCTGCCCTCTTCTGCCCTCTTCTGCCCTCTTCTGCCCTCTTCTGCCCTCTTCTGCCCTCTTCTGTATATTTCTTTTCTTTCACTGCATACATTGATCTTCGTAAACACCGTAAGCCAACACACGCCACGCGTTTGTAGCCTCCACCGTCTTGAGCACAAGCTATATGAGTGCTCTGGCATGAAAGGTGAAAGAAGTTTCTCGCAGAACATATTTATAAAAACAGAATGGCTCATATGGTTTTTTAAATCTTTTAAAAGCAGTGCACTCAAATTAATAGTTCGAGCAGAATAACTTCATAAGAATTGCATGCTGTACTTTTAAATTTTCAAGGCATGAACTATGCCGTAATCAATGCCTGTATAAGAATTCTGTCATGCGATTTTCATAAGATTTTGTTGAAATTCTACTGAAGAATTCTTCATTCCATTTTGAGTAGCCATCAAAAGTAGACTTAGTTCGATATACAGAAGGTTCGGCTAGGAGAGATGTTAGACCCCATTGGAAGATCAACAATTGAACTAAACATGGGATTCTTAGGCCCTATCGTTGGATTAGCAACGCCCCTCTTACTGGAAAATGGCTGCTGCTATTTATACAAATAAAATGTTCGTACAAAGCAAGAAGTGTTATTCATAGAAGAATTTATTCCCTTTCAATAACAATATAGTTTAATTTCTTGAAACATTGCACGATAATACATTACCCCAAAAATGAATCGACATTCAAAAAAGGTGTCGAGGCATTATCTTCGCTCAGTTTATTGTTCTGCTGATCGCTGTCGTTACAAACATCCGATGATTTATTCTTAGGGAAACGAGGCTTTAATGATGCTAAAATACTTAGCGAAATTAAAAGCAAATCTAAGTAGGATTGATCAAGTTGTTCATATGAGTAAATGCTTTCCTTCAGCAATCAAGAGAAACATTGTGATTTCACTCTTTTCTGTGCCGACTTAGTTCTTTCATCTACACCAGGACATTCACTGGCACTGTTCATTATTATTTGGACGGTATTCTTGAAGATCCTAACGCAGGATAATCTAGGCCGGCGAAACGTATTTGAAAGTGGAGGGGCCAAATATGAAAGTCTTATAAAGGGCTTAGGTTAGGCCGCCACCATGGTTGGAGGCAAGAAAAATTTTAGGATTATTGTATTTTAGGGATGGCCAGAGACTGTGGATTTTGACTGAATGAAAATCCGAGGCAATATATTTAAGCTTTGTTCAATCAATTTGAACAAAAACAGAAGAACTAGCAACTAAAATAAAAGCAAATTAGGCAATTTGTACACTTGGGACATTGTTTGTAACATCTGATCTTAAATTTTTCGGAAAAAAGTGCTTTTAACAAGAAATCTGGAATTTAAAACTTTCAAGCTACACTGGTCAAAAATATATTCATAATTGCGTTTAGATTTTTTCATAGTAGGAATGGATTATCGATACAATCAAATTTCGAAGGTTTCTTGATGTTACTTTTATAGAACAAATCTGCCCATTCTTTCTTTCTCATGTCCTCAAAAATTTTTCTTTTCGTCAGTTTCTTTCCCTTCCACATCGCTAGCGATTTCTCTCTTTTGTAATGTTCCTGAGAAATTTGATGTTAACAAATAAGAAAAAACTAAACTCCAAGTTATTCTGGTTTCTCGTTTCAGGTTTCTCGATCTATTTCCTAAGACAAGCTCTTACTTGTTGTATAACTTAGACAATGACCGATTTCTTTGATCTTATTTCCCATATTCAAATTTATATATGTCTTCTATGTAAGGGATTACTAAGCACAGTAACTTACAAAATGATATGCTACATTTATTTCCACTTTTGCCTAAAATTTTCCTTTAGCTCTGCAGAAAAGTGGGGGGGGCCATGGGTCCCCGGGCTCTCCCACGCTTACGCTAGCCCTGATAGTGGGTTTTCTTAGCATGCAGCAAAGCAAATTCTTCTGTGAATATAGATTTCTACGACTAGCTTATTATCAGACACCACACAGCCATTGGGCTAGCAGGGACTTTAGCACCCCCACCTCTTTGCAATAATAGATTAGTTTGGAAAGTTCACTTTAACGCAATTTTGAAAAGGTTCCTCTAACGGATCCTTAGCAGTAGCAGTTCTTCTTGGCTTGGAAGTTTTTTTTGTTCATTTTCTAGGTATTCAATCTTGTTGAATGATGTGTTGTATTTCTAACTTTGTTAGCTTGGTTTTTTATTATCCCAAAGCTAATTATATCTATTTTCATATCAATTGATATCTTCTTTGAATCAGACTGTTTTTAAATAATAAGTGGAAATAAGCAGGTATTTTTTAAAAGGGGCGTTCTCCGGTGTAATGAAATTTCGGTCACGCGGCCTGTTTGTTATAGTTAGCTGTAAGGACAATGGTTACATACATACATCCATACATCCAAACATACACGGATTTATTTGATAATGCAGGTCTGGCTAAGGCAACTCAGAAGAGATGATGTGGACCTGCAGAGATACTAAAATGAACATACTTCAGTCTAAAAATTTCATACAAAATAAAGCAGTCCTGATACTAATAATAAATAAAATCCATGTTTTTATTAGTTTCTATTGATGCTTCCTTACAGTAACTAATATTATCCAGTTTACAATCTTTTAATTTTCTTAAAAAGTGCTTTTGTTGTGACATGATTTTGCTCTGGCGATAAAAGATTCCACGTGAGTGGTCCTCGATAGCTTAAGATATTTCTTGCATGTTCGGCTCTTGATCTTTGAATAACAAGATTGTGTTGATCGCGTCCCCTCTGTGTGTGCTGCCTTTGAAACATTTCTGTAAGCTCTTTAGGGGCATTTTCGTAGTATATGTCGTGCATTACTAATGACAAACGAAACGACGCTTGTATGTAGCTGAGAGATTTCCAATTAGCTGAGGATAAGGGATTTCTTGCAGCAGGAATATTGTAAATTAATCGGGCTACTCTTTCGTGGATCTTCTCTAATTCATTAAATGTTGCCTTCGAGCAGTTCCCCAGACAGAAATAGCATAAACAACACAGGGAATCACCGACTGGTAGTATATTTCCACTAACACTTTCCTTGACAGAAAACTTGATCTCTTTAGTTGAGCGACTTTAGCACTGAAGCCCTCAGCAACACTTTTAACTTGTTTATTCCATTTCAGTCCATTATCAATATTTATCCCAAGACATCTTGTTTCTGTTACAAACTCGATTGTGTCATTCCCAAAAGATAGTTTTTGTAAGGGGCCAATGAAGGGTTTAGCAGATATGATCATGGCCGGTGTCTTTTCAGTTTTCACGGTTAGCTTGTTTTTCACACAACATTCATTGAGCTCTTTTGTTATTTTGTTCAAATGATCTACTACTTCTTCTATGCTTTTCCTCACACAGTATTCGATCGTGTCATCTGCATACATGTATACTTATCTTTTCTGGAAGATCGTTTACGAAAATTTCAGACAGTTTGGGACCAAGAAGAGACTCTTGTGGTACTCCATATGTAATGCTGCCAACCTGTGACCTTGACCCATTTATCTCTGTAAATTGATATCTGTCAGTCAGGTAGTCCTCTATGATTTCGTAAGCGCTTCTACTTATCCCAAATCCTTGTAACTTTTCAAGTAAGATATGGTGATCAATCGAATCAAAAGCTTTTCTAAAATCTATGAATAATGCACCAACAATTTCCCCTCTGTCAATGATATGCTTCCATGTCTCTGTAAGAAGCAAAAGGAGGGTCTCTGTTGTCTGTTGATTTGCCTTCAGAGTATCCCCATTGTTTCTCACTGTAAAGTTTCTGTTTTAGTGCATGGCATTCAATTGGTCTGCATATCACGCCTTCAAATATCTTACCCGCAATGCTGAGCATTGAAAGTGGCCTGCAACTTCCACTTTCTTTGAATCTCCCTTCTTATATGCTACTTTCAGCTTTGCATACTTCCAGTTGTGTGGAAGCTGCTTTTTATAGATTACTCTCCCGAATATACCTTTCAGTCCATCAGCCAAGGAATCACTTGCTAAACTTATGTCTCACCAACTTTAGGAGTTCTTCTTTTTTATGGGCAAGTTTCTGTACCCATGCACCCCTCTATTCACAGAAGTGAAAATGTAAGTCTTTTAAGAGGTGATTTAAATATAGAATGGCATAAAGAGAGCATGCTTTAAAGGTCACAAAGTGGCATAAAAGACAATAGGACCTTTCTACTTGTCTTACAACAAACTCTCTCATCTCTGTACCAGACCATGTAGATCAAGCAGTTTATTCACATGAGAAAAATCAATCTAGGAATCAGTAACTCTTTATTTAAAACATTTCATTTTTCTTTCATTTCAAAGATAAGATAATTATTTCCTATAACAGTGTTTTGCTATTCCTCGTCTGCACGTGTCATCATCAGGGTACAAAATTTTCAAAGGTACATTATTTGTAGCTCAGTTTATTGAAAAAAACTTAGCCAGGATTAGAAAAGTCAAGGGCTTAAGCACTGATTTAAACTTGTCCCACCCTTCCGGCCTTCCCATCACCATATAATTTTACGTTTGGTTGCCTTAATGAGTGTCTCTCTTTGTTCTTTATCATTGTTCTCTTCCTTGGCAACTCCCATTTTAAGTATTACTACACAAGAGCAGTTGGACTCTAGTTTCTAGAAAATTCCTGTATTCCTTGTTTCATAGAAGTTTCTCGATTTCAATGTCATTTTACTTATAACACTTGGATCACATCAGTTAAAAACCACAGAATCTTGGAGCTCTGCATTTTAAAAGTAAAAGTTTCTTGATTTTGTCTAAATATCTAGTACTGGTTTCTTATAGCAAGCATCTTCCTACAAGATTACCAAGACTATCGAACTATATCAGGAAATCAGATAACAAAAGACTGGATAAATTAGCTAAACGTTATCAAGGATTGGGAAAAGGAAGGAATTGCTATTGCATTCCCTTAAAATCTACTGTACGTTGCCTTGTTCTTGCGTGACGACACCTCTGCTCTGTGCCAATCACACCCAGTTTTCTGCGTCATCATCCAGCAGCATCGACAGACCAAATCGATCTAACAATTGTACAAGAAATTAGCATCGCACGTATTCATTGTACTGGCCTTCCTGAGTAAATTTCGCAATAGCTAAATTTTGAATAGGAAATGTTAAAGCACTAATTGGCAATACAACAGGTTCAAAACAATACTGATTTCGCTGCCTATTTGTCAACTCGACAAAAGCAGCGGTAATTTCTCCCAAGTGCATTTTAACAAGTCGCCAGTCTAGTGGTTGTCTTTGAATTAGAGGTGGATATAACATCGGTTTAATATTCGCTTTTCAAAACAAGTAAGCAACGTCATTAAATGTTCTGAAATTCGGAAGTTACAAAGCTATAGCGCCAGGCTAAGCTAACGATTGATACGTTTTGGACAAGTCTCAACTTTTATCACAAGCCACGTTTGTTGATAGAAAGACAATAAAGACTGAAAAACTGATAAAATATTGATAGTTTTCTTACGAGCATAACGACGAGGACCTGCGAGGCGCAATTTTGCCGCGACGGAGATGCATTTGAAAGAATGCCAATAGAATCATGCTGATGGGAATTTTGAATGATGTGTTTTTATGCAGGAAGGTCAAGTATGTTTCGAACAAGTGTTTTCAAATAACATAGAATTCGACACTCACAGGATGGGTACGAAAGACTCGAACGATATTGATGATGTATCAGACGAGGGCAGCATTGCCTCACTGGAAACCAGCAGCTCTTCGTCAAGTTCAGCAGCGATTGACTTGCCTGCTGACTGGGAGGTCGCTATTGCTGATGACAAAGGTCGACTGTACTACATTGAGTAAGTTTGCAACAATTTTTTATATTAAAACGGTGGTTTAGTTTGTAAAATTTGAGCCATTAGTGAATAATTTTGTTTTAAAACAGTTCTAATTTGCGAGTTATTCTTTTAGCCACCAAGATGTTCGGCCTAAAATAGATTTACGCTTCCTTCCTCGTTTGTATATCCGGGGCAGATTTCTATCACCTACTGATTTGTTTCTCTTTGTTTTTGCTTCCGAGGGGTTTGGAAAGGTTCATTAAATCATTAAACAGTTGCAGCTAGGTATCAAAATAGAACTTGTAGGAAGAGAAATAACCTTCTCTTTTTCAGTCAGAGTCAGATTTGTCAACCAAAGTTTGATGGCATTGTTGACAAAGTTGTTTTTGTGGGTTGGTTGGAATGTACCCCGTTATGTCACACTCAGACATCGTAAAGCAGCCCACTTTACGCTGGTTTTGTAGTATTAAATTTGATATTGATCTACCGAGAGTCCGGTTGGGTGTTAATTCAAGCTCTGGGAGTTTTGTGCTGAGGTTTTAATGCTGCATTGAAAAAGAGCAATGAATAATTGCTCAAACGCTACCGATTTTTTGTAACTTTTTAAGGAAACGTTATAAGGTAACATTATAAGGAAATTTGTAACTTTTTACTCCATTCGCTGTTGTGTGATTTCGATCTCACTCACAACCCAGTTGCGTAACCTTTCTTGTTGTTAATTTTAGTTTATTGGAGTTTTTCAATATAGTTTGCGAAATGAGTCATATGTACCCGCAATAAAAACCAGGTTGAGTAGATTCGACAGTTCTCGTCGTCCATTAAGAGTACCGAGGGGTTGTAAATAGTTCGTGGGATTGCAACAGTACAGTTTAAGGAAATGTGTTGTGTTTCCGGTGTACTCAAACATGACCTTCTTTGAATTGACAAAAACCACAAGTAATTCAAGTTAGCATTAAACAGTGATTAGGCACAAATGTACCCTGCTATATCAGGTAATTAAGGGGTTTTATGGGAATTTATCTGTTAGGTGAAAAGTTACAGCACTCTTATCAGGCTATCTTGGTCTAACTATATTTAATATCCCTCTTTTTAGTGGTTGTTATATGCTAATGCCCTTGGCTTTACTACCACTAAATCACCTACAATATTGCCTCAAAACAGCTTTTCCATAACAGCAATTGATGTCCTGCTATTGAAAATCCTTTAAGTTTTCCTACTCCAAGAATCTCTGTATAAAATTCTAGTTAATTTTGTAATTTGGATGCATTTTATTCATGCTTGATAGAGTGGCAAATGGGATTCCCCTAAGGTCTATCCAGTTGTATAGAGCTATATTTGGGGTCCATTTGTGAATTTATAACTTTTTAAAATGGCTTTGAAAAAGCAAGCAGTTTGAGTCATAGAGTTATACTAAGGCTTTTTATCTGACAGTCTTCAGAGTATAAAACGTCAGAACATAGATTGAAAACTCTACAATGGGAAATAAATATACCAGGGGCATGGTAGCCTACCAGGACTCGGGAAAATTCCCAGCAGGCCCTTAAAACTCTTCATGTGGGCCCATTGGATGTTTCTTCTCTTTAAGCTTTTATCATTTGTAACATGTGAGAAAAAAGCTTTTATGATTTGTGAGAAAAAGGCAAGTGAAGTTAGGTCCCACGCTGTCCCGGCAACTCTCATTTCCAATATATTATGTTGACAAGAAGAAACCATCAGCATCAAAATGGTGTGCCCCTAAGAACTTGATTCTGCTGGCCAATAAAAATTCCCACCAATCCCAATGGTGGATCGAAATAGTGATTCTGCCAGTGTGATTCTGGCTAAGTAGTACACACTACCCAAAATTTGGGGATAGAGAACAGCCTTCTTGGTCTTGCAGATCAAAAACAACAAGTAAAACATATGATTCTACTATCAGGCAGCATTTACTGGAAAACCCAGATTGTGCAAAAAGCTATAAATGCAACATGTTTCAGATTATTGGCAGAGCCTGATCGTCATTCCATCTAGCAGTTTCATAATCTATCTATATAAACATGGAAAAACTGCTTTTGCGTAGATAGAAGGGGTTCATTTTCTCTTTAGGACTCCATTGGTAAAATTTTCAATTTGTAAGCAACACTGATTGGGCAACCTTGACAGTTATGTGCTCACATTTTTGATTGACCTACTTCAATCCACAACTAGGTATATACATATATTTCCTAGCCTAGTGTCTATTTTCTGACATTTTACACTCTGCAGAGTGTCAGAGTATAAATGGTCTGAAGCTCTAGTATGACTCAAAATTTGTACGTTTTCCAAAGCTATTTTTAAGTTTTGTACAACTAAAAGATTTTTTTAATAGCTTTTACGAGTTTTTGATTTTCAAAGATATGTGTTAGTTCAAGAGCATTTAAGCTAAAAGTTTTTAAAACTACCGGCTGAGCAAATTCTTAACAAAGATGAATACAAAACTTTTTAATAACATGGTGTTAGAAACAAAATATACTTTCATTTAAAGTTTTAAAGTGCTGGATATATTAAAGTGCAAGCCGCATGCTCCACTCCATAAACTTTTAGTAAACTGGTAGGGCTTGTGACCTGAATCTCAGAATGTGGAGCTGATTTGGGGCTAAGGAGTACTCTCTTAGAATTGCTTCTTGTCATAAATTAAAATAGGGGCCCCAGATTATGCCTGAACCAAATTTGCCAGATTTTTTGGATTGAATCCAGCTAGATTTTTCTATAGCAAATATTTTCAAGCTTCATCCAGAAAACATGAGGTGAAAAGAACAAAAAGGGAAATTGTATATGAATATATACCCAACTGTGTTCTTAAAACTAACATTTCCATTCTTGTTATGATAAGCAGTTTTATTTCAAATACGTTTTTAAGTCTTTGTTTTATCATTTCAGCTGAATAATGTGAAGAGAAATATGTAGTCTTAAAAGATATGAAACTAATTGTGCATTGGCCAAGAGCTTTAACTAAAAGCAAAAACACTTCAACTTACACTAAAAAGGGATTTGGTACAAAAATGGGCCATTTTATGAATTTCTCTCAAAGAAAGTAACCTCCAAGAAAGTTTCAGAGACCTGTCTTGTATTTTGATACATAGCCAGGAAAATGACACTATACCATACCTTATATTCTGCCTCTATATTTTATCAAAGAGCAGAGTCATCTATAATTTTTCAAAATAGACACTGTTCATGGTTCAAATGATTTTCTTTTGGAGCCCTTAAAGAAAAATAAAGCTACCCCCAGACAGACTGTCCCTTTACTTATGATCCATTTTTCAGGAAGAAATAAGTAACATGACTTTAATAGTGATAAATATTGCTCAGGAAATTTATAACTTTTAATGTCATGTTTAATTATTGTTTGCTTCTGCTTATTGATTATTCTTGCACTTTTATGATTGCTTTTTGTCATTCCTTGCCCATTTTATCAGTATGAAATAAAGTACTTAAAAATCTAGTAGCTGGCAAGATTTTGGAAACAAATCCCACCGGAACTAGATTTTTGAAAAATTTCCTATCTGATGCTGGATTATCCAGCCCACCAGATATCTGCTACAGCCCTTAATCATAAAAGGTGCAAAGAGGCAGATTCTAATTTTAACTGAATTAATTTTCCAATTGATTTTCAAATATAATGTCTTTTAGAAGGCTCTATGCTATGGATTATGAGAAAGCTGTGAATGACTTGACACTGTTCAGGGGCACTGCCCAGGCAGAAATTCAAATTTCTCTGAAGCAAGATACTACAGCTGATTGTAATATAAGTTGGATTAACTTTATATTGAAGTCTACTTAATAAGATTGTTATTTTGCTGTTTTGATTTTATAACTCCTATCAAGAAACTGATTTGTTGTTTCATACTTTGAAGCAATGAAAAGAAGGTGACAAGTTGGTGCCCACCAACAAAATCTTGGAAGTGTTGCTATGGCCTGCCGTGTGGATGGGAGATTGCAATTGACAGCAAGCACTTTCTGTACTATATTAAGTGAGTTATGTTAGAAATTTTCAATGCGTTTTAACAAAACAATTAAGTAGTGTTATAAAAATACACATTTTTGAAATCTTTCCTTTTGTTTGTTGTGGATCAAATTTGATATTTTCTCTATTTTATATGGAAAGAATTGGTGCAGCAAATCCACGCTAATAAGGATTGCTATTGCAAGAGTTATTATTGCATTATCCATTCTGTTAGTTGGTCATAATTTCTATGCAATGCATTTAGAAAAGAGAGATAAATGAAAAAATCCATTGTTTATACACAAACATTTTATGATTAGAACTAAATGTAATGGAAAAAGGGATCTTCCCTGTCATTTCTACACTGCTTTATTAAATTCCAAATTTTTTTGTCTGGCTATATCTAAAATTTTGTTATACCAGAGTTATATGTGAAGTGACAAAGTCAATTCACATAAAGTCAAATCCATAATCAATAATTTATAGAAATGCAAGAGAGTGAGACCAGCTTTATGCCTCAAATGTCCTTTTACACAAACTTGCCTTAAATAGGGCTATCTGTATTTACATTCTTTGCAACAGCTGTTAACTTGAACACATTCAAAACAGTATACTATTCTTATTTTATAACAGATTTGATAATTGATTTGTTTCTTTTTTCACCAGCCACAGCTCCCTACTCACAACATATAAACATCCAAACTATGACAACAAGCAGTTTGAATCCCTTCACCAGGTATTTCAATTTCGTCTGTACTAATTCTGATATCTGTAGGAATCCAGCATATTTTGAAACTAATACTAATTTTGAAAAAAATGCCTGGCATTAACTGGTACATGTAAAGTTGAGGGAGAGCTTAAAGTTTAATGATAACATGCCTAGTTTTGACACATGGGATAGTGTCATCTCATTACAGACAACTGGAACCTTTTATCAGTCTTTGCAATGAAACCTTTTAACAAACATCAGTTGTGACTCAGCAATAAGGGTGCACAAGTCACAAATAAGCAACAAAAATGCAGTTGACTAGCTCCATACAAAAATAGTTTTCCCGTGCATTCCTACATATGCTTTTGCAGTTAACCCCCTTTCAACTTATTTTTTATGACTAGGTCCTTGTTTTTTTGTGTTTTGAAAAACTTTCTATGAATCAATGTTGTGGTTTGATTTCCTCAGCAAAGGGCTTTAAGTTAGTTTGGTTCACACAATAGACACCAAGGTCTACATACATCAGTATCAGAAATCCTTGATAAAACCTTCACTTTAGAATTATCCTACCTGTGCATAAAGCTCCCTTGAATTAGCTCTCAACCCTTGAGAATCCGTTTGATGCCAATGATGTCAGTAATTTTTCTGTTGAATAATCTTGGCAGGTTCATAAGTAAAACATGCCATTTAATTTGCCCCCTCCGATAAGCACCCTTCAGTAAGCACCCTCCTCAAATCAGCCATCCAGAAATTTACTCCCATAGTTAAGCCACTAGGGGCTAATAAAATGATACACAGCATTAAGATAACCAAGAAGCTTGTGAAAACAGTTTCATAATTTTGACCTCCCTTTTACATTTGAAAAGCTCCAAGTATTGAAAATGAAATGTGGTTCTTAAAGAAGAAAGTGGTTCTTAAAATAAAAAGAAGAAGGAGCTTTTGAATTTGTTAATGCACTTGCCAAGGAACTGAAGATCAAATATAATAGGTATTTCAATATCTGAGAACCACTCTTGAGAAATCGAACGTATATTATGTGTAGAACAACAAACAATTGAAAAAGCTGCTTACATTTTTCGAAAAACTGTTGGGCTTTAGAAAACCCAGGCTTTATCGTCAATTTTGTAAGTTTTTATCGTAATCTTATATTGTTTCAATACAGAAACCATTCCTTTTGTGTTAATCTTATTTGATTCTTAGCCTCGAAGAACAGTCTTTTATCCGCATACATGACATGTGCATTTAACTACAGACTAAACATCTTAGCGATCCCCATTGTCGCAAACACCAAAAACTGCAATGAATTATTATAATGAGATCAATGATTATGTGGTCGATTTTTATTCAAAGGTTTTCTAATTTTGCGGACATGAATTCTCAAGATGTTTATCAAATAATGAAAGGGTTAGAAGGACTGGAAATATAAAATAAGAGTTATTAAACACCTGCATGTATAATACAAATCATGTAAAATGTGTTATGGTGTGGTGATATTTTTTCCCCTTTGCTTCGGGTTTCCCTATCCTCAAGTTTTTTCTGTCATACAGGCATTTCAAGCAAAACGAAGGAAAGTCTGCATCAAAAGAAGTCTACGTGATGGTAACTAAATAAATTTCTTGTTCTAGGCTCTTCATTAAAGAGAATTGATTGATAAAAATACTGCGATTGCCATTTATTAAGATAGAACGAATGCAATATATCGCATGATCTTATGACTTAAGACTTATTATATCTTGATAGAAAAAGACTTTAATTTGGGGTTATCTGTAGACGACCTGGATTTATGTCTATTAATTCTCTTTAAAGTATTATTACACCTTTAATGATTATCACATTAAGTGTGGAACTCGGAGTTGCAACTTAGAACCGTCCTGTTCCATATACTAAAAGGCGTGTACACGCCCTGCTTAGACAGTATCAAGCACTTTATGACAGACTGGTTAACAATAATTTTCATTGATACTTATATTAAATGGAAACTTCATATATTTTTTATCGTTGTCAGTTTTCTTGCTACATCTTGTCAGTTTTCCATGCTAGATTCCACTTTACCAATCGCAATATTTCTAGTGTTTTGTCATCGCAGTTTCTACTTTCTATGCATCTCAGGTTTCGGTTTCGTCGCTGGAAGTGAGAAGCCAGTTATAATTCGATCTGTTGTGGCTGGTAGGTTTATCATTTTACAACTAGCAACGGTTTGAGTATTTTTTCTACTGAATTCATTGTACATTGACTTTAAACGTAATCCATTTATCGGCAAATTTTTTATCACGTTGTTTTTGTTTGATCTTATCAAACTTCTTCTATCATATCGATCGTATAATTACGCCATTTACAACATGATGGCTGTGTTTTGAATTTTGTAGATAAATTTTGCATGTAAGTTTTATCCCAGTGTCTTCTCTATTTATTTACAAAACGTGTTAAAGTCATTTTTGTTTTTAAACGTCCAAATATCTAGGTTTCGTTTTAATTTGTAGCCTGTGGAATACAAATGTCAGTTCATTTGTCTTGCAAAGAATTTTGATCTAATGTTTCCTTAGTATGGAATACTAAACATTTTTACAGCTATATTAATGAAGATCGCTTTAAAGGGATTACCCAAAAAGCCATTTTTCATGTCTGTTTGAATATATTTTTGATTTAGAACAGCCTTGAAAACCAAAAACACATATCTTAGAATGCATAAAATTTATATAGCTACAGATTTGAATGAACAGAGTTTCAGAGTGATGATGTCGAGAAAAATATATTTTCAGAGTTTTTCAATTTCCATCATTTAACCCGCAAAAGCGTTATGAAACAACTGTAAATGCACAAAATCCGTTAAATGTGTTACAGATTGACTCTGATATGGCCACATGCGCTCAGGCTCTTTCCTTGTCAAAATTTTTGCAATTTGGTTTCGGTTCATAATTTTATGAACCAAGCCAGAATAACATTATATCCGTTAGCAAACTTGAAATCTTTCATTGGGCATATCTGGCTCAATTTTGAGCATATCTAACTGATTTGCATATTGAGAGGTATTTCAAAATCAATAATACGCTCAAAATCATGAAATTCTAGAAAAGATTATTGATGACGTCACACTGGTACTGTATTATTACATTATGCCCGTAATAAACAGATTTTGTTCATATACAACAGGTAGTCCTGCAGATGGCCAGCTTTCGGCGAATGATCAGTTGTTCAGTATAAATGGGCAGATATCATACAATCTTCCACAGCCGCAAGTAATCAGCATGATAAGGTATATCATCGTTACAATATTTTCTAGGGACAGGTGTACAACACTTGCCCATACAATTAAGTGACAAAAGATTAAAATATCAAAGAGACTTGCGTAAATAGAATGCCTGCACAATATCTTCGTAAGCTACGTTGATTTTTTTAGTATTTTATAATGAAGTCCCCCCCTCCCGATCGATGATGTTTTATGCAACGTCTAATGCACTATGTCCTTGCGCATTTCGCTGGCCATTTAAATTTCCCATTGGTTGGACTACACCGCGTACCTATTGTTGCGTATCAAATCGGCAAAGTAAGATCATAAAAGCGTTGCAAAGCTTATTGCTAATTTCTGAACAGTTGACTAACGGGTCATGGTGCCTCTAAAAGGGTCAGTGTGGTCCAGTAAATTACTATGATATTAAACTTCAAAACCAATATTGTTTTGTGCCGTTTATTAGAAATTTAACATGTCAAGTATTTTTCGAAATGTCAGTTGTGCTATTTGACTCTTAAGAACGCCTAATATTGCACATTGTTTTATCAGGCCGTTCGTGATAATGGGATAGATATTGAAAACAAACTTTTTTTAGGCCATCCTCTATCTCATATTACTACGTATTACTACATAGCGAAACTACGCTTGTTTCAGTTTACAGATCTAACAACCAACCTCTTTGTTTCAAATTTCTCATGTAAAAAAAATTAAATAAGCACCTGCTTGGCTCTAGATTTTGAGAAATGAAAAGTTTTACACACTTGTGTAATTTACTCAGGTCATGCACTGATGTATTAGAAATGGAGGTCATTGCGACGGAAGATATCCAAGATGTTCGTAATCAGGTGAGTAGATAGTTTTGTTGCATCAAGCATGTCATTGAGTTATGATCGTATGAAGTCTGTCATCGAACGGCTATTATGGCAGTTAAAATCAGTTATATCGCAAGTAATTTACATTTATTTCACGTTTTGCTAAAAAACTGTAAAATACTTGTGGAAGATCCCGAAATACGTCAGCCAAGTTTTGCTGCATTCTTTGGTTGTTGTTTAGTGTTAGCGAGCAATGAAATAACTTCATGTTTTGTATTATCATTCTTGAATGCAACATACTTATTTACAATATACTAGAAACCTTACTCAGAGCATGCAACCGAATGCAAGATATAAAGCATGATTATAATCATATGACTGCCAAGGGAGACCATGTAGTGGTACCTGTCTAATATTGCTAATGATAAGTAATTGTTTTTAGCAAAATAACCTGATTTGAAATTTTCGAAGAAACCAAAAGGATCTTTCGTGAATTTTTTCCTCAAAAACGTCAAGATATCTAGATTGAGTTTCTAAATTTTATAAAACAATTCTAATTTTAGGCTTGATTGTTTGTTCGTCAAAATTAAATATTTGTGGTTTGGGAACTTTACTAAGAATTAGTTTAGTTAATATAAAAGTTTAAGAATCCTGTGATTTGATTGAATGACACCTGTCAATCATCCTGTTTACGCAATCTGTTTATGTAGCAATGATGTGCCTTGGCAGTTGCTGTTTCACAATTCTGTTTACCTGTTCATAGATACCAATATATGTTATTCATTCATTTATTAATTCATTTATTTATTAATCCATTCTTTAATTCCTTTCTTGGGTCATTTATTCATTTGTTTATTAGTTCATTCATTCTTTCGTTGGTTGGTTCATTTGTCCATTCATTCATTGGCTCATGCATTCATTCATCCGTTGATTCAATCATTACATTGGCAATTTCCACTTAAATATCATAATGCTATTCTCGTTAGTATTTGCTACAAAAAGTAATGCTGTATGAATTTATTCAACTACAGGGAAGTCTCAAGTCTGCATTAATGAGTCGTGCCACAAGAGAAAGACGAAAATCTTGCCCTGTCTCTGTTCGATTTGAAGAAAAACCAGAAGTCTTGTCGATCTCCACACCCAGTGTATTGAGTGTTAACATCATAAAACAGGTTTGTCTTTATCATTCTAGTGTTGTTCAATAATGTTTTGAACAAGGCCACAGATGAAGTTTCAAAGGACCCTAGATCTAGAAAATCTCGCTCCCAAGATATAAGAAAGATAGGAAGTTGTGACGTGAAAAGACGCAAACATAAGGCTTTGGACAAAGAGCTCGCCCCCTCCCCCAGTTTGTACGGCTCAAGTTTTGGTACAGGTTTCTAACTCTGTTTATGTTAATATATGTGTAAGGAAAATTGTTGTTTACCTGTCTGTCATAATGTACCCGATGCCGTATAGGCAAAGCTGTACACGCTATTTGGTGTATAGAACAGTACGGTTATATACTGATACTTGATGCGATAATCAAGTTGCCTATCAGCGTTATTCTGGGGGAAAGGGGGACCAAGGTAGTAATATTTGGGAAAAGAAATGGGAATATATAAACAAAACGTTGTTCCTAGTAATTTTAGCAGGCATTGTAGCTAGCCCTTTGCCGGTAGCTGACTCTTGTTTGTCATGCTTCGAATTCACGTGATTGTATTTTTGGCTTCATGAAAAAATGAAACATAAATGAACAACTATTTATTCCTTCTACCATGATCATTGTCACGCCATGGACAGATTTATTTCACTATTGTTCGGTCTTGTGTAGAACATAGTACTTTTATGGGCATCCAATATCTTCGATGACCGCAAGCGGAAAATGATAAAATGATTCCATTTTTAAAGATGACGAAATAGCATTTATTTGATAATTAAATGGCATATTGGTTTCAATTCGTACTTTGTGCTAGTATACCGTTTATCTTAGCGTTTTATTGACATGTAATTGTCTTTTAAAAATCCTGTGAATCTCAAAAATCTAATTTTGATACCTTATTATGGTAAAAGGTATTTGCTTACGTTGCTCAGATGTGGAAAAAGCTAGACACTGCTCTAAGATATCCACTTGCAGTTAACAAATTAACGGAAAGGAAGATCTATTTCTAAACTAATATGTCTTCAAAACATTTTAGTTTGTCACCAACGTATTGGTCACGGTGTCGCTTTTTGTTCTCACTTTTCACTAAATTGGTTAGAGTCGCGCATCTAATCTAATTTGTAAGTTACTGTAAGTCGAATAGAGGGCTATAGTATCAGACAATTACGAGTCAAAATTTGTAACAGAATGCACTGTGCTCAAGCTGCGCGGTCCAAGCGCTGTCTGAAATAAAATATTACGTTGTCGTTTGCTCCACCCATTGTTTTGCTCAAATGAGAATAACTCGTCGGAGATAACGGGGAAGCTTTCTACCCCCCTCTATAAAGGCTATTGTATAGGGAGATTGGTGAAGCTGAGGAGAATAGGAGGGGGGGCAGAGGAGAAAAGAAAAGGAAAAATTTCCGTTATTCTCTTAGTCCTTTCTCTCGCAGCTCCTCCACCTTTCCTTTTTTTCGCATTTCCCTTTATCATTCCTTTTTCTCCTCCCCATCTCCCTCCCCTATAGTCTCTGTGGAGGAGAGTGGAAGTTTTCACCTATGTTGTTTCTGTAACAATGCAAATTTCAGCTTCTAGCTTTGCTTCCAGTACACCAAGCATCTCCTTATATCATTTGTTATTGACTTTCACACAAAGCTTTTCTTTTGCGTGTTGTCCAACCAGAAGTAGGAAATTGCTGAACCTCAAAGTTGTGATTCTATATTGTAGGTTTTCATTGTTAATTGTTACTTTAGTTATAAACCTTGATTTAAACAGGGGAGTACATTCAAAAGTAAAGATGCTATGTTATCAACTACTGCACTTTCAGCTGCGGACTTTTTCATATTGCTGGACACATCACACCTACCTTTCGATTGCCTTCATAATCACTTGATAATGTTTTCCGTGGTATTGTGTCAATCTGTTCAACTCGAAGATATTTCTATAGTCACTAAGGCTATTAAAAAGCTATCGAGTCTTTCAAACGTAGCTTTAAGGAAATGTGTTGGAGTAATTACGCGGGAATGGTTAGTTTATGAGGGTTAGACGTGAGTTCGTGCGGTAGTTTCGCATTTTGCATCTTGACATCACGATGAGCGATAGTGAGCTAGAAAGTACTGTAAGTTAGTTTTCTTCCATAGAGAATGTAATTCTCTTGATCCGCCTTCTTATCGTAAAACAATTGTACTTTTTCCATAGAATCGAATCTTTTATTGTTGTTATAACTTAGTTTTAACGATTTTGCCTCTTTGCCTAATGACATTTATCATCATTTTAAAAGTCATAACATTTCATCTTGAAATTTTATTCAGACCTTAATTATCTATTTCGAATTCGTAGCATTCAATCATGAAGTTATATAAAAATTTATCCCTGTTTTTCAATTTCGTCCTTTTCAATCCTGAAGTAGGTTGAATCTTTGCAATTTCATCTTATTTACTACTTTTCTCCTAGTAAACATCAAACACGTTCAGCAAAATGTTTCTTTTAGGCCCTGGGCATTTTCTAGCTATGCATTTAGGGTTGCCGGTAATGGTTTTTTGCTTTCAAAATTGTTGCTTTCTTGATCCATAAAGTGTTTGAGTGAAACGAAGGGGTGGATTACATGTCACAGAAAGGGTTTCTGACCCATCATAATGATGTTCCCTCTTTTTACAAAGTTCCTTTAAAAATAATTAAAAGTGAATCACTTATCAGCATACTAATACAATACGCACCTAGGAAGTGCCGGCTAGAGAGGGCAGAAATTACTAGTTTTCTGTTTGTTACCTTGTTGCCTTATTCTCTTGCCTGAACTTTGTAGCTTGAGCAGCGGTTAATGGGAAAATATCGCAGCCAAAACTATTGAATATTTTTTAAATTGTTCAAGTTTGGTGTGCTTTATCAGTCTTTTTTGTTCAAAATCAGAGAAGCCGGAACGACCAAAGGGCAAGGGGGTAAGCTTAAGTAAAATGACCTTTGAAAGATAACTCCCAGCTTCTACCAACTCCTTCTCTGACTTCCATTTTATTTAGATCTTCTGTAGGTATCTTAAAAAATTGGCTAACTTTTGGAATTAGGATTTATTTTACAGGTTTTTAGAAGTATCGTCATGAATTAAGCACTGCAACTACAATTTCATGTGAATCTCTCTGATTATTACAATTGGGCGGTTTCAAGGCTACTTATATTTAATACGAAAATTGTGATGCTTCGTTGTAGGCCAGTAGCTGTGTTTTTCTTACATGTTCAGTTACCATAGATACTGAATCAGGCTTCTAAACTCAGTAACTGAAATTTTATCAGTTTTTGTATGCAGCTGCTTGTCACCCAAAGTCACTTCTTAGCATAATCACCATAAGCAATTTTTATAACTTATTGTCTAATCGCTCGTTTGCCGGTAATTACATTTACACTTTATAATGTCAGCACCGGCACAGGTTTTCATAATAAAGATAGGTACGGAGGTTATCACATAATCCGTCTAGCAATGTTTTGGCGACTGTCCTTGCCACTCTTGTGTTCTGAAGCTCCGACGATTGAGAACGCAATAGATTTATGTTAAGATTTAACGATAGGCATGCATATTACATGTTGGTGGTTAATAAAAAAACTGCGTTGGTTTTGCTTCTTAGCAAGTCAAGCTAAGGTAAAACTCTTTTTAAAGTCAAGCTGCTTTGATACTGCGCATGCCCTGTTCACGACATTCAACCTCGCGCAAGTCCGAACGAGGACACTTCAGCAAAGGCTAGCCTCCTTCGAGCCCCCATTATTAGCAAATGAGAAGCACAGCTGTCCTTCCTTTTGCTCTATCAATGATCATATTTTATGGTTCTTTTTTATTAGTTTTCGACTTGAAAACCTGTCGCGTATTAATACCCCAAAGTCTTCCCATAAAATTAGAAAATACAGAACATGGCTGTCTTTTCGTCCAATCACGCCAGCGTTTTTGTCGTAGTATTTTTGTCGCTTAAACGTAATAGTATCAGCTGAATGATTTACCGTTCTGTTGTGTTCCAGGTATTTCGTCGCCTAATAAAATCTAGCAACTTCATAATCAATTTTTATTTGTAGATGATTCCGAACGTCCTTAAGATTTACCTTGAAAATGGCCAAACAAAGTCTTTTCAGTATAGCACAGAAACTACAGTCAAGGTATGTAAGATACTTCCAATTTTTAGCTATTAGATATTTCAAATTTGTAACAATTGGATTGCCAACAGCTTTGATGTACGCCTTGTCATACAAGCTTACAATTCAACTTTTTGTTACCCCTTTCTTATATGTTATTATTTCCATTGCGAAGGCTATGAATTTTCCTTATCCTAAATAGAGAGGTTAGAAAAGGGGATTTTGGCGAGCTGGCTTTCAGTTCAGCCTATACTGTATGCAGAATAGATTTTCTGTGCTAGTAATACGCATTAATTAGGCTTAAGAATTTTATTTTTCAGTTTTTAAATTTTTAACTGGATCTGTTTTCGGATCTGTTTTCAAAATATTATAGCCTAGAAGAAAATACCAGAATAATGTTTTGATCTAGATTAAAATGGATATTTAAGCAAGTCATTTTATCTTTTGTTCAAATTTTGTTTTGTATATTCCAATTTCCAAGAATGGTAAATGTTTACACGCAATTTCAGGAAATATTTGAATCGTTGCTGGATAGACTGCAGATCAAAGCTTGGAGACATTTTGCACTGGTTATGATAGGCCCATACCGAAACCAGACAATATTCTTGCAACCAGAAGATAAAGTAACCCAGGTCGGTTTAAAAATGTTTCTGCTTGCTAGAAAATAGGAAAAGCATAATATAGTTACTCTAATAAGAAAGAGATAATCCAGGTGGAAAATGTTAGGTAAACATAGTGAATCTGGATAGGCAACTAATTTTCTGGATAATCCCTGACTCGAGGCAACCGATGATTCCCTGATTCCATCAACTAACTCCCTGTCATATCTGAAACGAGGATAATCGTAAGCAGATTGCTAGTTTGGCCAATACTTTTATTTTCATTGCGGGTCATTTAATGCTGTTTGAGTATTTGGGATAAAACCATTCTTTGTTTGGTAACGAAAGCAGCGAGAAACCCAGACAGCAGGTTGTTTGTTACTGTGGATACAAAGCGTAGGTAGCCCATTAAATGGCATTGTTTTTGTTTATATAATCATCCTTTTTTATATCAACGTGAATTAGCAGTTGCTATTAATTAGGCTGGTGTCGAAAAAGTACCTCGTTAAAACTGCCAAAGACAAAGTAGTACTTAATAATCATCAAGGAAAATTCTTCACTTTATATCAGGACATATTTCGTTTATCACTTCCTTGGAAACGTTTCCTTAGTAACTTGTGTATTTTTCTAGGGTTTTTGTTGTTTAGCTGATTGAAAGAAGTTTGCTCATTAAATATTTAAGACCTTCTAAGCTACTTATTATTAGGAGATTAATAATTTTCAACAATTTTTTTAGTTTTTGGTGTAACTTCTTTTTGACTTTAATTTTGAAAGGTTTTGTTGGATAAAAACTTACAATTGTTTTCATTTTTTGTTTTTTCTCAGATTGTCAATAAAAAGGTTTTCTCTCGCTGGGAGTGCAGGCTAGAGCTTTGGTGAGATCCGCGCCTTTTTTCCATTGTAATTTTATCAAATAAAGTACATCCCCACAAAGAGGAATCTAAGAGTAAAAACACAGACTGTCTTTCTTCCACTTTATGTTTCAGAACCTTTTTGCCTGAAAATTATTTGAGGCTGTTAAAAACTTAATGAAATTTCGCATGTTGATAAATTATAATTTGTAATTGTAGGTTCACCTTAGTATCTCTGTCAAGGGTTGCATTAAATTTGAGATACCCCTGTATCCTGACTTTTGTGACAGGGAAAAGTGTTAGACTAAAAGATCATCAGATGATTTTGTTCTTTTCTTTCACATATCCTGGGGCTGTACTTCTTTAAGGAAAAGAGTATTTGATTCTGAATGACTATATGCACCTTTAAAAAGTGAAACAAGAACAGTCTGACCCTTGATAAAGTAGGTTCGCCTTTGCGGGGATTTACTGTAGTCAATTATTTCAAGATACTTCTATTTGTAAGGTTTCCTATTGCTGTATTCAAAGCAGTATCAGACTGTTGTAGTGATATGTAGTGTTTTCTGTGAGCTTCTACGGTAGCTACTTTGCAGTCCAATGTAGTAATTCATGCATGTTAAGATTTACACAAAGGACTTAGACAAACTCTTTATCACTGTTGCATGCATCAGTTTTCGTTTTACCATATCTCCAGTAAACCATTCCTAAAGACAGTACTTTATATTCGTGTATATTCTAAATTGAGTTATACTTCTAAACGCGAGTATTTTCAATAGCTTCATCCCAGATGATGCATACGAACTTTTGAACGAAGATCCTGTGGCATTTGATTACTGGTATCAACAGGTAAGGGAATGGAATGTCTGTTTTACTGAACCCTAATCATGCTCTGATGTAAAGTGGGACAGACGGACTTGTCATTCACGCTTTTGACACTAGCCGACGTTCCATAACTTGAGGGGTAACGGACGAAAAGATACTTTAGTATGCTTTGTCAGTGTTTATCTTTCGTGCCAGTTGGACCTAAGATACAAGGATAACGCGAGGCACGCAAATCAAGGTTTTCACGTAAAGGCAGTTGGGCTGCATTAACTAAGAAGGAGCTGTTGAGCCAACGTTGCTTAGGCTATTGATGTAAAGAGCAGCTTTAAAATACCAAAGAGAATTCCTCCTTATACTTTCCCATAAGCTATAGCTCGATTTAATTGATTAATACTACATTTAGATCGAAACTAAAATACACAGCATTTTTAAAAAAGTAATGGTTAAAAATGCTCTATAATTTAAAATGGCTCGAATGAAAGCCATGTTGAGCTCTAAAGTGTCGTGGGCCTAGGCATTCTACATCACCTCATTGCTCTACATGCATTCTGACTGTTAAGAAAGGATACAGAGTCAAAAAAGACCAAATCACACCCGAACACCTGACACTGCACTACTAAACTTAACATCAAAAGTCCCACATTACTTTTAGTTGACTTTGCTCTCTGATTCACATTTTAAAATTCAGTTTTTATGTTTTCTCGGCTAAAACCTTTCGCATACATCCTTTAATATGATGTTTTGTAATGCATAAAGATTCTCATTGTTGTCTCGTTTTCATTTCAGACATGCAACAGTGTTGTTAAAGGACACTTCGGTCTCGATCTCAAATTTGATGCAGTTATGCGGTTGGCTGCACTTCAAATTCACACTGCAATGACCGTTGAAAACGAAGAGGCAAAATTTACACTAAAAGATGTTTCCAAGGAATATGGTGGACTTGATGACTTTCTACCAATTGGTATCGTCCAGAACTTCAAAAAGAAAGATATCAAAAAATCTTTAAGTAGTCAGTTAAAATCTCTTTCAAGGATCGCATTCCCTGGACAGAAGTTGACACCACTGCAGGCGAAGCTTCATTACCTGAAAATTGCAAGCCAGAACATTACATTTGGTGGTAAAATATTCGCAGCAAATTTATTCAATCACAACAGTGGATCGGATTCATCAACAGTAAGCTTTAGAAGATGACTTTATAATTTGTTGATATTATTTACTCGTCACTAGCCTGTTAAGAAATTTATCTTAGCCTGTTATCTAATATTCAGTTTTAAAGTACAAGACTCTAATTTTTATGCACCATTCATCGGGGTCTTTCTCCAGTATAGAGGCGATATCATAGTTTAGCGTTTCTTGCGAGAAAAAGTTTAGCTTTTGGTGCGATTGCTACATTTTTGACCGAATTAGGTGCGATTTCGTCAATTTTTCCCGGGTTATCTGCATAATGGCTAGATGTTGTTATCGCTTTGTTACCTCTTGTCTACTCAACAGATGCTCATTAAAGTCTCGAAGAGGCATATGTAGAGGATTGACTTTGAAAAACTACTGGCTTTAAATGTTGTTTCCAAACATTCTGAATCGAGCATGGCTCTATTTGCTTTATTAACATGTGCTTTGTTAAGACCTTCCACCCTCTTAGCATCAATTACGCTGTTGAAGTCAATTGTAGATTAATGGAAGAATCGCATTGTTTTTTCAATCATTGATTTAAAGTAAGCTTGGGCTCTATAAATTCAGTGCCTGTCATCAATTTTTCTCTATTTAGGATATGTCAATGGATGTCTCTGATGTCCTTATCGGCCCATCTAAAGGCATTTGTACTCTTTTTACCGATACTGGAAATGTGGTAGGTTTTACTTCTAATTACTTTTCTATATAAAAGTGGCTTTGAAAAATGAAAACATTTTAAGAACATGCTCAGGGTATAAAACGTCGGAGTAAAGGTCAAAAGTATGTTCTTTACCTGATGATCGCATTAAGCACGAAACTGGAGGTGGCAACTTAGGACCGTCCTGTCCTATACATAAAAAACATGCTCTGCCTACCGTCCTGTCCTATACATGAAAAACAAGCTCTGCCTACTCGGTATTGAGCCCTTTATGACAGAGTGGTTAACAGTAATTTTCATATACCCAGTTATAAGTTGAAATAGGCCAATCTAAATATAGATGAAAAAGCGTTGTTGTGTAGATAGAACAAGTTTGTTTTGTTCCTTAGGCTCCTGTGGTAATGTTTTCGAGTGGCATTGATTGGTTATGATTTTCTCTGATCTGCTCACATATCTGACTGGAGTGAAAAACTTTAGTGAGATCTAAAAAGTTTCCTTCTTTTCGAAGCCATTTCAAAAACTACTTTGTCAAAAAAAAAGCAAGCCAAGCTCGTCATATTTCATAAATGCTTCTGTTTGGTCTTCAGAGAACTTCTTCGGTCTTTGCATTTTATGAGCCAACGAATAACATAGAATGCACTTTAAAAATGCTAATGTATTAAACCTCACTGTCCTTGATACAGATAAATTATTTCGTGTTTTCTGTCATATTTACCTTATGCTATGCGCATACTAACAAAAGTATATTGTTTCTAGCTGCAGCACCTCGCTGACTTTGCAGACGTTACAGGTATCGTTGTGACGTCACACTTGCTGAATAAACATCATTTGAAAATATTCATACAGGGCAAAAAAGTTAGTATCATCACCCTTTCAGAAAAAACAATTTTAGTTGACATAATGGCAAGAGCTGTGATGTATCAAGGATCTATTGCTAATGCTAATTCCTTTCACGCTAAGCTGGAACTATTTATACCGGATAAAGTATTCGAAGTATGTACTTCTTATTGATGTTGTAGGCATAATCTGTGTACTGTCAGGTCGAGGGCATGGTTTCCTGGTTGTTTTGCTATTCCATGTCAGTATCCTCAAGACTGATGGTTGCGCGACTAAGAACCTTATTAAAGGTTACCGGAAACAAAATAGTAATAAAGGCTCGACCCCGAGCCACTTCTTTCCCTATACTTTGTTCAAAAGCTTATTTTATTTTTTCTTAGACAACACTTCGTAGTCATTTCCGTAAATCTGTTAGTTTGTTTTTTTAAGTATGTTCCAAATTATTAGTTCAATATTATATATATTTCCTATTTTTTTATCTTCTAGGCCATCTCATTTATCGTCAGTCCACAAGATGCCGATGACATGGCCTTTTTCATTGAAAGGTATTATAAAATTAAAACTGAAGAAGCTCCTGATCTTCCTATCTACAACCTTTCGCAGACAGTACCACGATATAAAGCACCAAAAGACACCAGAGGTATTAGCAGTTAATGCTATTATTTTGTTGCTTTACGAATAAAAACATTGGGCATTCTTATATCATTATTTCGAATGTATCTCGAGATTTCAATATTGCCAGGAAAAGGGGAGAAAATCTCATTTCACCTCGAGAAATAGCAATTTAATTTCTTTATATCGATACGCTTTCTGGTTTTTTGATTAATTCTCAGTTATATCGTTGATTTCAGTTGCTGCTTTTCAACACGAAAATGAGTTTTCAATTTCTATCCTTTTATCAGACATTTTATGTAACCACATAAAAATTGTTGTGATTTTGATATTTTCTTGACATAGCTAGACATTCATACCTCTTTCGCAAGATTAGAAGTTCAATGCATGTTTACAAGTTTGCTAATTGAAACTTTCAGCTCCAAACTACCTCGGTGAACATGCTGTTGTCCCTTCAACTTGGAGTTACCTTGAAGATGTCATTCCCACACTTTGGCTAAATAACAGCTCAGTGGATCAGAGCTCGCCAAGGAGTATCAGCACTAAAGTTGACCTTGCAAGTGGACCCCCTCAGTACAACGCTGGGAAGTCTTATGACCGATCAAGCTTCGCTCCGTTTCGACCAAAACCTGCAGTTGACTCGTTTATCAGGGAATTGAGCATCCGAAACAAAAAGAAGAAACCGGTTGATCAAAGAAACATGAAAGAGGAACAATCTCCAATTAAAACCGTAGGACATTTTGATACGACTCTGTTTGGCAAAGACTCTAGTCCACAGAGTAGGCTTTCCGACACTTCTGAAACACTGGAGGAGGCGAGCCCACAACTGACCAGACATATTATAACATGCAGTATGAGTTCAGACGAGGAAAGCTCTGACGACGAGGAATTATCGGACCTTGCCAAAAAAATCAATAGATCAGGAACAGTGGCGAAATTTCTTAAAAATAAGGAGAAAAACAAAAGAAATGGAGATACTATCGATGGTCAATTTGATCATAACGAAGATGAGGAAGGTATGAAATGCATGCTTGTTTACTTTTTCACGTGATCATGCTACGTTTTGTTATTGTTTGAGGTAGTTTGTTCACATGATACGTCACAGTGTATCCGATTTTAGTAGCAGCATATGACGCCCGGACGTTGTTGAAGAATAAAACTGAAAGACAAAATATGTTCTTTGATTCTTTTCCTTGAATCAATACAGCCAATCTCATTAGCATACAGAGCCACGGGGTGGACTGGGGTGGACTTATCCACCCCAGTTTTCCCAGAAGTCGATTTTCTAATTTCTCGAAATCCGTTGAAAAACCTTTGGGGCTGATCAGATCGATTTTTATTTTCGCACTACCAAAAAAGACCTTTCCAAGAGTCAGAAGGGCGTGGCCGAGAAAATTTGTTTTCGTCCACCCCAGTTTTTTGAACTGGCGACGCCACTGTTAGCATGTCATCGCAACCTATATTTCAGTGGTTTGAGATTTACAAGAGTGTTACCTTGTCAATGTTTAGGAAGAATCATTGACTTTTTGATTGCATTTGAGATGTGGTTTCTTCAATTTTATCTCTTCGGAGCAGTAGGTGGCTTACATGCAAATTGTAAAAAATCCAAGAAATATGTGATACATTTTCACATATCTCTTAAAAGTGTCCGGTTTCCTGTTTCACGTGCGATTTATCAATTTAAATCCCCTTGTTAAATTAATTGTCTGATTTATGAGTATTAAACTACATTTTCTTACAATACCTATTTCCAACTTTCCTTGCGTTTTACGTTGTCAACAAAATGTTGATTTTGCTTGTAATCAAATTCAATTTCAAATATACACTTTGCTTTAGATTCCGGCTGGCGGACAGACACATCATCCAACACGGGCAGTCTTGGTCGATCAAATCCTTGGGGAACATTTTCTGAAGAGGACTTCTCCGATAAGGACTCAAGTAAGCTATTTACAGATTCAGAAAGTGTGCTTTCACATAAAGATGAGTTATCTGATTCTGAAAATCAAGAACAAAATCATAACTACCGAGTTAACTCTGATATATTGACGACACAGTTGCATAAACTAGATACTATCGAAGAGAGCGGATCGTTCACTACAAAGTCGGACAAACCTAGCTTAATCAGAGAAAACAGCCACTCCCTGGACAAATATCTTGTAAATAAACTAGACGCCCTTGAAAAAGCGGAAGACAGTCCCCTGCGTGATCTGCCTTCAGACAATGATGAAAGGCCTGTTCCTTTGTTGCGACCTTTGAGTCAGATTTCAGATGAAGTTTTTGATTCAGAATCTCCAGTTGACGCCGGCAATGGAGTTGAAGATTCAAAGGGGCTTGATTCGTCACCTCTCTCTTTGAGCCCAGAGCCAAGTCTTGACAAATTTCGTGCAATCAGTGATAGCCCTATTCCCCAACCAGAATGGGAAGTTGATGAATTTGACATTTCGACTGATGCACACAGTAATGAAGATCGCCCACAAAGCATCAATCTAGATGACTTGAATATTTATATACCTGCTCCCCCGAAGAACACAACACGGGCGATTAGCCCACGAGAACTAGTTATTCCATCACCACCTCACGATTTTGCAGGCGACACAGAAGCTCTGTTTGATTATGAGGGTGAGTCTTCTGAGTTTAAGGTTTATTTGCAAGAATCTCCAGAAAGCAAAAGTTCCTCAACAAGAAGCTCGTCTTCAGAGGAGGTTATCGAATTTATGCATAGTGAAGATGCAACGGATGAAAGTACAGCAAAAGAGGGAAGAATTTCACCGCCAAGTGAGTCACCAGATGAAGAAGTTGAATTCATGACCCCAGATAAAATCACCAATGTAAGGATTTATCAAAATGACATCAATGATTCAGCGAAAGAAGAGTTAAAAGAAAATGTTGTGAAAAAAGAAAATATTTGTGAATGCGACGTTGAACCTTCTAGACGGACAAAAGAAAAATTTAACTCACTGCCCATATTGCGAAAAAGCCATAGTGTTAATGAGAGTGATTGCTCTTCATTTTCTACTTCGGCTATTGCAGAGGAAGGGGAAATTAAATATCCCGGAGTAAGAAGGCAAACAGAGCCTCTTGTTTTACCACTTATTCTACCAAAGAGCCCAAGCTTGGAACTAAAAAATGAGAGGGTTGCTTCTCCTGTGTTTTTCTCACTTCAGAACATTCCATCAGATTCTAATCCAGGCCCGTTTCAACAGTTTGCTACAAGCACCAATCTCGAAAAGACAGACAGACTCATTCTGCCATCAACTCCTCTTTCTCTGAGAAGAAATCAATTCACCACACTATGCAGTGCAGATAATATTGCCAAGACACACAGCTTACCAAATAGTTTTTCATTTAACGAGTTCAATGGTTATATGGACGAATGTAAAGATTCAATTTCAAAATGTGAGCAATTTGAAGAGGAACTTTGTGCGCTTATCGAAGAAAACAAACGCGCTGATCGAAAGAGTTTTGAAGGGGATGATCCAGAAAGAGGATCATTTATTGAAGTCATGCGTACCGGAGCTAGGTCATTGCTAAATAGAACAAAAGACCTTGTTACGATGGCAACCAGTGGTAACATCAAAGGCCTGCACATTTTTGTACGGTCATCTAAACACGAAATCGAGAATCTTGTTGTTGCTATGACAACAGTAAAGAACAGTGTAACACTTGCAACTCTTATAAAGGACGTGGTAGTGGGATATAAGGAAGTTATTTCACATCTAAAGAAGGGCACTGGCAAACCTTTGACTGATCCAGAGATTGTCAAATTAATGGAAAAAACGAACGAACTTAGCTTTTCATCAAATATCTTGGTTCGTGGTCTACGCTCATATTGACTTAAGACTTGTATTTCTCAAATTCCCACTCTATTAAAACTAATTTCAGCGAAAACAAAAATCATTTGCTTTTTAGGTTATTAAATGGCTTAGAAGAATTCAATTTCGATTTTCCTTGCGGTTTTACAATTTACTATCAATTTTGTTTAATTTGGGTTTTTCAATGCATTAAATCTTCATATGTTGCATAAAAAGCAGGCCAAGCAAATTGTGAAAAACGAAATAATCATGGTAACATTACTCACTTGGTCTGAATAATATAAAAAGTAAAAGGTTCTGAAGGTAACAACAGCTATTCCAAACTGTATTTATTTAAAGCATGAAAAATATCTCTGCTTAATGTATAATTTTGCTTTCGAAATTCAGTCTATTAATTCTATTGGTTTTGATGAGGGTTTGAAGTATTCAGTTCTTATAAGAAGAGATCTTCATGAAAAATTGTTTTTTAGTTTTGTGAAAGTTATGATTATGATTATTATTGATAATTTTCAATAGTTTTTATGTGCCGAATATATTCCTGTATAAGCCAAACTTTTTAAGCAATTTTTTTGCAACAAAAGTCCATTTTCAGTGTATTGGAACAATTATTGACAAATACAAATTTATGCCCCTTTATTTTCTATTCTGTTGGTGATGCTGTGTGGATGCGAAACTCAGCTATAAACTTTGTCAAAAACTCAACTTAAGTTATTTATTTAAGATGAAAGTTTCATAATTTGTTTTAATAAAATATTTTTTAATTTTTAGACTTTATTTAAATCCCTAATGCAAAATTTGCCCTTGCTTTTACACAAAATCACAATTTTGATGTCTCTATCCAAAATGTCCCCTTTTGGATTATACACAAGAAGGCTTATACATGAGTACATACCTTGGTAAAATAGATATAAACACTCGCAAGGAAGTTAATTTTGTATACCAAATATTTGTAAATAAGTTTCTCAAGTGCATTCAAAGTTGTATGATTTTTAGAATAATGAATTTTGTATGATATTTAGATTTAGACTTTCCACCTGAAAATTTTATTTATAATTGGAAAACATTTATAAAATCAATTATGGTATATCAGAAATAAATTTTCACGAATTCTCTTGCATTCTATAAAAATTTACTTGGATTCCAGAGAAAATATGTGCTGTTCTCCCATTTCCCTGTCACACTGGGAAGCTTGACTCCTGTTCTTGGAGGTCAGGAAAAACAGTGGGTTGAGATAAACATTGGTTTACAGTCAATTCCAACATGTAATTATAGGAAGGAGGTGGAGGTGTAGGATGCAGTTTAAGTATGGTTGGAAATGATTGCATAGAATGATTACATAAATCAAGCGTGGGTTAATAAAATGAGAATGTGGGGTCTTAAAAAATAAAGAAAATAAACAGAAGCAGGGCTCTAACTTCTGACCTCAGAGTTCTGTTATAATTTAAAAAGTTGTTTACAGCACAAGATTTCACTCTAACCATTTTTGCAATCCTTATACATATACTTTGAAAAGAAAATTCATAAATTCCATTCAAGGTGCATAAATGCCATTGAATCACTGTGTTTTAACAACTCTGCAAAATGCAGACTTTTTACTTGTTGTGTGTGCTAAGTCCAAACAGGTCAGATGTAATGATGAGAAAAGTATTATGAGATAATTGAATAGCTGGCAACTGCAAAAACACATTTTTAAAATTATCTTTCTGCCCTTTCCAAATCCCATAAGAAATAGATTTATCCACTTTTTAAGCATCCAGATAAAAAGTTCAAAATTTAATAAGGCCACTTATTTGAATCTATCCACTGGCCTGATATGATGAATATTTGCACCTTGGAAAGTTTGCTGGAAGGTGAAATGCAGCAACAATATTTTTGAGGCAATTTTCATAACATGAAAGTAGAGGATTGATGTAACATAAAAAGTCAAAGAAAATTCATGAAATATTTGATGGTTTTAGCAAGGGCCCAGATGACATTTTTTTCAGTGTAAAATTGTTGAAATTTCCTGTTAGATTCTCTAATCATCTATAAATGAGCACCAACCAATAAGTTTCATTTCCAACAGGGGCATTAGACAGATAATTTGCCAAATAATCAGAAAAAGAGAGATTAAAAATGAAATGATTCAACTACATATTTACAAATTAATTAAGCTCTCCAAGCTTTAACTTAAAGCCATACATATTTGAGAAATAATACAACTGCGCACTCATTTAACTGAAATGCTAAAGCATATATCACAGTTCACCTTAAAGGCGCAGGGCCAAGAAGGCTTATCTCTTTTTTGATTGTCTTGTTGATCTGAAATTGAAAAACTGCCATTAAAATTCTGACAAACAACATTTTTAAATGATGTTGCATTGTACAAACTAAAAGTATGGTTTTAAAGAAGAAGAAGATCTCCACTCAAACATTATATTATTCAAAACAATGAAGTAGCTATTCTGAAAGTTGCTTGAAATTGGAAAGGGACCTGTCAAACAAGGAACAAAATTTGACCTTACCCTTTTCTTCCTTTAGTATCACCAGTTGTTTGAAAAACATTGGAAGCAGCCATCAAATTCTCAATATATTGTCCCAAGACCTGTTTCAGAAAAAATAGATTTGATATACTGCCTTTACTAGAAAGATACAGATCTAAATCAGGCTTTTCTGTGCTATGTAGTTTTATAGCTCCCAGCATTGCCCAGGCCAAGCCATTCACTGTTCCCCTGTTAAAAACCCATGGTAACCCTTGCAGAAACCATTGTGTCATAATTATTGCCATTGCTAAAATGTTTTGAATGTACAAACAATGAAGAAAAAAAACAAAAAGTCAAACCTGATTCTCTGATTTTAATTTGAGATTTTCATCCTTTACAGCATCAACTCTTTGAGACAAGTCTGAAAAGATAAGTACCCCATAAAGGTAATTAGAATCGTGTTCCACCATAAATAGATTAATCTGGTTCAGAATTTGTAACAAGGCTAGCAGCAAAAAACATGAAAACAAGTTAGAAAATATGACATGGTTTTGTGTGATAATTTTAAATGGTTTCAAATTACCATCAAGGGTACTTTGCAGAGCCAGGACTTGTTCTATTAATCGTGATCTTTCTTCTTCATTGGCCAAATTTTCTTGTATATCAACACCTAGATGATAAGAAAGTGAAGGTACAGTTTTATATGGCTGCTGGACCAATTGGGAAAATTGAGGCACTCCTGATTATAAGCAAAGAATGACTTACAGCTTCCTTTTGACACCAATATGGTTAAAGGATTTGGGTTTACAGCCCCCTCTTCCAATAAATCTTTATTCCAGAATTTATTACAGAAAATTTAAACAATTTTTTAATACTTCACAACACTCTAAAATATAAATTTAGAATTATTGCTTATGAATACAATTGCTTTTTGCATATGTTAAAAGTAACAAACTAAAAGTATGTACAAAGTTTAGAGCCTAAAGAAAAATTAAGGGAAAACTTTAAGAAAGTTACTGGTAAAAAAAAGTTAGAGCCAGTTTCAGTTAAATGTAGAGCTGAAAGAGCATTTGCAAGAGATGTTCACGCATTTTACCAACTTTGAAGATCATGTTATGATATTCTGGCAAAATTAGAACAATTGACTGTTAGTAGATTGCTGCTTAGGTTGAATAATTTAACAGTTTTATCTTGATTCTTACTCTCTGAGCGAAAATCTTTAAATTTCTGATTATTTGCATCACCAAGAACTTTTATAACTGCTTCTCCATCAGAAACTGGTGACTGTCTTTGTAACTCTCCTTTGTGTGATTTTTCTACGATATTTAAAGTTTTATTACAAAGCAACTAAGTTTTATTACAAAGCAACTATATGATTGCTAAACATTATGTTTTCTAAATAATAATCAAAAAATTCCATTAACTAATTAAGAAAACTCAAGAAGTAAAATAAATGATCACATTAAATAGCAGTGAACACTAGAAAAATCACATCCTTATGTTCTATAACTCAACCTCTAAAATTCAGACATCTTGTGACATGAAAGGAAGGATAAAAACATTTTCCACAAACACCTCTATCTTCATACCAGACTGGAAACTTTGTCGCACGCCTGCGATATTTTGCCCACACACTCAATTTTCCATCTGCGCACTTTTGCATTTTGGCTGCGCGAAGTCCCTATTTGAATACATTTCACATATTAATAGCAATACAAATTTCTTAAAAGTGGGTAATTTCAGGCGCACAGTCGCACAGTCAGGCATGTGAACTTACCCACGCAAGAAACAAAGTTTCCAGTCTGGTCTTCATAACTTACTTATTTCTTTATTTTTCCTGTTTAAAATTTTACAATATCATTATTACAATCAATCATCATCAAATTTACAATCATCAAAATTTTTAGCCTAAACAATCGTTATCATGTTTCAAAAATTGATAATGCTCCAGTTATGTCTGCAATAGTTTGAATTTTAACAGATGAGGCATTTGTCTGTTTTCTTAAATAATCAAAAATGATACTTGGAGTAAAGAAAAACAGGTTTGAAGCAAAATATAACCTCCCTCTTCGAAAAATGTATTATCTATATTTTATTTAATAGCCCTTAACTTGATCTTTACTCTATATTATTCGTATTTCGTGGTGTACATTGTCTTATGTTTTATGATAAATAAATTGTAAAGAAGCCGATTTTGAAAGTGAAAACTGGACTATATTTTAACTGAAACTTTGAATCAGCCAGGCCAACGACATCGTATTCGAACTACACACCATTAACTTTGAAATATCTGCCATCGGAGCTGTCTGGATCTTGAGTCGAAGTACCTGTGACTGGGATGCTTTCCATCCCGTTAGCGTCCATCAATTAGCAATTTTCTATACATAAAAATCAGTTCAGTTTGAGTTTGTTTGCTCTCTTTGATAAAATTTTCCTGACAGCTGTTGCTGTTGGGCTACTGAATGGAAGAGAGGCTACCAAAACATCGACGGCCAGACAGTAAGAACAGCATGCTGAAAGCCATCGAGCAAAGATCTCTGCAGCTTTGACCAGTTTGTGAGAAGGAAAATGTCTTCAGGTAACGACGATTTCAATGTTAAAGTTCTTATTGAAGGCTACAGCTTTGAGGAAAATTCTCAATATAGGGCAACTGGTACATCAACCTTAGTAACTGGTCCAGTTAACATTGTTGTTGACACCGGTGGACCATGGGATAAGCAGAGATTACTCAAGGCCTTAGATGACAACAATGTTAAGCCGGAAAATATAGACTTTGTAGTATGCACTCACGGCCATTCAGATCATGTTGGGAATTTAAATCTATTTACTAATGCCAAGCATATTGTTGGATATGACATTAACTACAAAGATAATTATTATGATCATGATTTTAAAGGAGGCAAACCATACCCCTTATACAAGGAACTGGTGACAGTTATACCTACGCCAGGACACATGCACAATGATGTAAGTGTTATTGTTCATGCTGCAAATAGTTTTGGAACTGTGGCAATATGTGGCGACTTGTTTGAAAGTCAAGATGATGAGGATTCTTGGAAAGAGTTTAGTGAGTGGCCTGAGGAACAGGTTAAAAATAGAGATAAGCTGAAGAAAATGGCAACTTTTATTATTCCAGGCCATGGGCCTATGTTCAAGGTTGAACATTAAAGTATTATTTAGAAACTAAACCAAATCTTCCTGTATTCTTGGCTATTATCACAAAATTGTTTGTCAAACAATTATAAATGCAGGCAGTAGCAGCGCCACAGAGGACTTGGGGACACGTTTTGGATAAAATTGGCATTCCCTGTTGGTAAAAGGGCATTTTCTGGTGGTTAAAGGGGCATGGCTTATGCTTTTGTTATTCAGTGAATAGATTTGTAATGTAAAATATATACTTTTTATCCTTTCTCTCACCAAACTTTAGAAACCTTCTCATGGCTCATCCATTTTGAAAATGATGGCTAGGTCCAAGAGTCATTACTAATAAATTTATGAGCATATAATGACTCAGTTTAGGCCATTTAGTTCTTCTTACTAATTTTCATTTATTTTTGTTTGTTTTATACACTACATCATTGTTAGTTTTAAATACCTTATCAATTTAGTTTACTCAAGCGCTTATGACTGTTATATTTCTAATCAACCCAATTTATCACACCATTGTCAGCCTCAAAGCCAATACTTTTTGATCTACTGCTGAATCAGTTTGGCAAATTTCAATTTTTCAAAGGTCCTTTGAAAAGATCAGCTGCTCAGCAGAAATCATGATACATTATACCTGGAAACAATTTCACAGTACCAAATGCAGAATATCTGATATTTTCATTCCCCCTACCCCTCTTGTATGCAGTCATGCTTCTTTTGCAACCTCTTCCTCTTTGCATATATACTTTTTGAGTTGACCCCCCCCCCCCTCCTAATTTGCAATTTGACATAATACACTGATCAGAATACACTGCCCACATGATGCTGTATGACAGAAAGTATTGCACAAGGCAACACTGCAAAATTGACCATTTTTGTAAGGAAAATAGCGATACAAAAGGTATCTACATATGTTTACTCTACATTCCACAGAGTGACCATAATTGTGGCAATTAATTTGTGTACCTAATTTTATGCCCACTGTGAGGATCTGCATCACACCTATGTTTTAAGCTTTAAACCAATTATCAAAACTGTTTTGAAAGAACACTTTTAAAAAAACATTGAGTGAGTACCCTAACTCCATAAGCCTCCTTCCTCCCATCTATGCAAACATATGCTTTTGAGGAAACCCTTCCCCTTGTTCTCTGTATGTGCTATGTGAATGGCCCCATGAGTGATTTCTCAATTGAGAAAAATCAAAGTTCAAGTAAAATCTTAGAAGGGGTAGTTGTTTCATCAGTTATAATACCTTTCAGTTTAAACCGATGTTCATTTACGGTCATAAAAGCCCATCAGGCAAAAAATTGTTTCTGGTGGCTCAGTCTAAATGCTAGTATATTGATGGTATATTCAAATGTGAATCACCATGGTACTTTACTGGCACCATTTTCATTGCAGCAAATCAAGACTCACACCACTCTGTAACCAACCCACAACAAATTACATGTTTTCCTATTTTATTTGTATCTGAGCTCTTTCTGGAGAAAATCCTATAGAATCACATCAGCCTCCTGTAAATGAATGCATTTCATATTTTACTTTAATAGTTTGACAGTTAAAGCTTGAATACTAGTTACACGAATAGGATAATATACAGAGGTGTGATTCAATTGTCCAATATTTGACACATTTTCAAAAAAAGAATAACACCACTAAAATTGACTTCGAATCTTTTTCATGAGCATGGCAACTTGACCTAAAAGATGAAGACTGCCTCTTTGAAGCGTAACTCTCAGGTGTGTTATGTGCATTCACACAGTAACAATAACAATCAAATTTATTATAAATGTTAAAGTTTTACTGCACCATCAAAAAACCACTGAAAAACCCACTCAGTTCTTAAAAAGCTTTAGGCCATTGTAGATCCTTTATTTGGGAGTTGGAGGCGAAAGGACTGCAATCGTGTTTGTTGTTGTGCTCTACCTGGGGCTGGGTGCTTTTTTGATAAATTTTCAAATTTTTGAAAAGTAAAACTAAATTATGTTGCACTCACTTTGTTGGCAACTAAGGCCTAAACACCCCCATAGAGCACATTAGATAACAATTTAATTGCTTACACCCTAATAATTTAAGAACAAGTAAAGGACAATCCAGCCTCAAAAATTGAAAACAGCACCTAGCCTGAACATAAATCTTGTAAAAAAAGATTTACAATTTATAACCTAGCATTTTTTTAGCCTAGATTTTTATCGTGAGCTATCATTTATGCAGATCTTAAATACTGAGATGGATGGACACAAGAAAGTTTCGTTTTATCTGAAAAAATTGAATACCACTGTGCACATAATTAAGTTTTTAGGCCTATATAATGTAAAAAGATCTGACAAAAGACAATAGTAATCCTACATTACAAGAGATCTGTATATTGAGAAGGATCTAAATTTACAAACATTTGTGAGTTTCTCTGAGCACGAATGGTTTCGATGTATATTTTTCGGTAGAACACAATGCAATCTGTATGGCCTCTCGTTTACCAAACTGCCCTTCATCTCTGGAGCTGGACTAATGATTCATAGGTTCATTCTGAGTAAATTTATGATTCTAGCTTGATTCGCTAAGATACCAGATTCAAGGTTTCGTTTACAATGCAGCGACTGTAAAGAGTTCATTAAATATTAATAGTAATCTTTGATTCATGGAATACAGATGAAACCCGTCAAATTATTGATAACGCTACTGCTTGGTACGAAGTTGTTATCGATGCGATGAATAGTACTCAGTTCAATCTCTGATCATAAATATACATCATCAGCTGTTCAAATGCATCCTATCCCATCCGTGAAATGCAAAGTTGACATCATGTATATCCGTTCAAAAACTTTCAAAAATCTAATTCCCGACCCTGTTGATTCCATGCATCAAAACAACGATTTTCCTTGGACCATATTACTCGAGGCGGTGTACGGGAGATCAAGACCTTTTTGGAAGAAATTCCGTATATCTGAACAGCCATTACAACATGCACAGAAAGGCACTACTAATTCATACAAAATTGCACATAGAAATCCAATTGGCCACACAATCAAAAGAGCAAAGAACCACACAATTGTCCACAGCCACTGACAGTTCGCCATCTTCCTTTCCTGTCTTCTCGATCACTTGACAACTCAAAGCCACTTTCTGAATGTCCAACCCTTTTTGTACACACCCACGAATGCTCCTGTGCAGCAGAGTACAGGCACTATCCTGCCGCTGATCCTGGACCCCCTCTCACCCCGATTGTGGCAGATGGAATAGAGACAGTTATTTCATTTTAAGTCAATCTCGCGTTTATGTCTACCCCCATTTTTCAAAATAACACACTTTATAATAAACACTGAGGCTCAAAAATTGCCCAAAGAACAATGAACAAGCTTCAGCTCATGCTCAGCTTCAGATGAGAAATTTAAAAAAACAATTCGCATTTTAAAATTTATATTAGGTCATGTCAACAGAACAAAACTATGCAATCTTGTCCATAAACACTAGCAGTCATTGCTTTGTTTTGAAGCTTTACCCAATGAAACGTCTTAGAAACTCTATACATACAGTATGTAACTTCTCTAAAATTTGCAAAAATTCTCTCTTGAAATAAGAACAATTTTAAGGTCATTTGAGCCTAAAATTATCAAATAGTTAAGAACATCGAGGCTCGGCAAAATTATCTGGTTCTTATAAAAAAGGGTGCATATTTGTAATATAGGTACCTACTTATATCATTTAAGGTCAGTCTTGCGTTTATGATTATATTTGTTCATGTTTCTTTTTGTTCAGGATATATTAGTTTGTCGGGTGTTAGTTTTTCATGTTTTCCGGTAACGTAATATTTACTACAGCAAAAGCAAATATTGTAAGCACATCAGTCATCAGTAGGAGCCATCGTGAGTAGACACTTTATAAGGAGTAGAAACTTTTATCAGGAACACACACGCACACGCGCACACACACACACACACACGAATTGTTCGAATTGTACTAGGTCCACGAATTGTACGAAATGTACAAGGTCAACGAAATGTACCAAGATGTACATCTTTTCTTGGAAATTCTATATTACCGAACAAACCAAGAAAATTTTTAGAACACCTTGGAACTACTTTAGGATCATGCCCCTCCTTCCACTTGATATTTTGAAAAATTTCTGCTATTCCACATTCTCTCTTTTCTAAGTTATGGCTCATCGAGTTTTTTATGGTTGTGGATAGAAGTAATAGTTGGTGTTTGTATATTTATTTATTTTGAGATCAGCATTTCATCACTCGTTGTTATAACCAAAAATATAAAAATATTGACGTTAAGTACTCCAGTTTCTTAGTTATAACCGAGGGGCAAATCACTCCAAGAAAATCTTGTACACCATTTGTTAAAATCCTATTGTTTTACCTGAAAATCCCTAGAAACCCTTTTGTTTTAGGGAAAATCTCGTACGCTATTTGCAAGAGTGAATTGCCCCTCGGTTACAACAGGATTTCTTTTAACGTGCAGTTCTACACAAAATGTGCAGTTCTAAATTTGTTTGTGCAGCTCTAAAGAAAATCTGAGCAGTTCTAAAATTTTACTTTAATAAACAAAAATTCAGGAAAACTGTTGCGGAAAAAACAAACAAAAGTTTAAATGATGAAACACAAAAAGATAATAAAGATTGCGCTCAAATCAAAACAGAAACTAGTTTTTAATATAAATTTTACAGTTGTATGGTCGAACAAGACAGACCGACAACTAAATTGGAGACAATTTAACATTTACTTCTCAAGCTGCTGTGCAATTGCTATTTATACCTTGCTTTATCGTCATCAGTTTCGTCCGTCTTATTGATATAGCTCGAAAAAAGATTATATTTAAGTTTTAAAACATTATAAATTACATCGCAATTAAATGTCGCTCCATAAACACAATTTTTTTTCAAGATTCTATGTAATTGACTTTGGTTTCTTGTGATTCTACACCTAGCCTGAGTTCCAGACCCCAAACTAGAAGTCTGAGGCTCAGGCTATTCTACACCAAGAACTTTCAATGGTTGTCATATGCTCGAAAATTTGGCTTTCCATCAAATGTACTTTATAATTTTGCTTCCAAGTTGAGTTAGAATCTACTTGATATTTTCTGCAAATTGATAATACAGATTTTCTTTAAAATGGACGGTGATATATAGGCCTAAATTATGTAACCGATGAGCATGGCAATTGAACATGCTTATTAACAATGTCAAAACCTCTACTTTCAAGTGAGGGGTCTGGAGCAGTAGCGTAGCGAGGGGTAAGGTAGCGGCCATCCCCCCCCCCCCAGTGCACAGAAAGTTGTTGTCTGAAAAAAGTGCAAATCTGCAATAAAATTAGTTTCTCAGGAGGGGGAGGGAGAGTTGATATTTCAGACAAAATAGACATGTTTTAAAGACTGCAAGCAAAGGACTGTAAAAACTATTTAAAGGAGAACTGACACGCAAAAATAACTTTGGCTTATTCGATGCAAAATTTGTCGCTGACTTCAAATCTGCAAAAAGTTTTCTTCTAAGATTCGCCGTTTTTCTGATATTTGCACTTTTATCCGTCAATTACGTCACAGCCAGGACTCGGGAATTTCCCGAAGCGAAAACAAGATTATCGCCAGGAGTTGTTAAAATTCTCGGTTGACGTCACAAGTGACATGTTAACAATGCCGTTGTAAAGGCTTTGACCGCAACGGTGAAAGTACAAATGAAGTTTCGTGTTTTATTGAAAAAAGTATGCGATAAAAAGACAAAAAATTGTCAGGCATTTCATTTATAAGTATAAAGAAGCTAGAAAATCCTAGCTACATATCTGATAAGACGCTAATATCCACATAAAATTTATTTTTATGCCATGATATCTTCGAAGCAGCATGCTCCGAAACATTCAAAGAACCTCAAAGCTTGTGAAAAAAGGAATCGACTTTGTTTGAAAACTGATACCGTTTCTTCAAAGTTTTTATTTTTACAATTACAAATAAAACCGCAATATGGGGGTGGGGGGGGGTTGAAGCAATAGACAAAAGACAAACGAAATCTAGTGGAGACAGCGGTAAAAGCGATCCTGCAACCTGCTTAGGGTGCAGAAATATGAATTCAAGAAAAAACCTTGTTTGATGGGAGCTGCAAGTGTGACTAAATAATAATTTCACTGATCTTGATTATTGTATTTAAACAGAGGTTGAGATACTAGGGAATAATCTAGTCTAGAAAAAGACCATCCCCCACCCAAGTCAAAATTGTTTGCAAAAGAAGATAATGCGCCAGTGGATATTCCTATGACAACTAAACAGCATTTTTTCGACTAAGAAATCAAGTTCTTTGGCTAATAGCTAAGAGCCTATTTCGTAAATCCAGATTTTTCGACTGCCAGGTTACTTATCAGTTCCCGAAACCTTCACGTCCGGTGAAAATGGCATATAATCCGCACAAGTACGACTTTCAACCCGCCTTTACTATTTAATATCACGATACAGTAAACGAGTTTGAAACATGGAAAAACAATCATAGAATGCTATATTGATAATGAATAACTTGCAGTTCCGTTTAGGGCATCATAGGCATTTTAGCGAATTAGGCCATACAGACAAAGCAGTCTGGACAAAGACCCCTCAATCTGAAATGAAATTCTAGTTTTACGATACCTGATCTCATTTAGATTGTAGCAATAGCATTGTGTTTAATAGAAATTCCATATCAGTTTGTACTTCCAGTCTGTTCTTTGTTCATAATATCGTCACTGTTGAGCCATGGGACAACTGTCTGCCCCAGCGGCAGCGCTGGTTGGTAGCAAAAATTCAGACGGCTGAAACTTTCCATTTGTTTCGAAATCAGTGTAATAAAACTCCGATTCAGAGTCCCAAACCATTGAAAAAGTCAATTATGTGTCAAAAATGCAAAATTAGCTCCTTTCACATGCACAAGATAAACATTTGTCCGCAGCATTTTGTTAAAGGTTTCTATAGAGAAACACAATACGTGCTGAGAACATGTCACTTGTGACGTCAAAGATGATCGCCCACTCGTGACAATTTTCGCCTCGAGTCTCAAGATGTCGGAACAATTGTCGTTTCTCAACTTGAAACGCCTGTATTTGAAAAACGGTAACTGTGATTAAAAAAAATGTTTCGATCCCGGAATTTGCTTGTCACAAACTACCGTTTTAGCCAAACTTATTTTTGCGTGTCAGTTCTCCTTTAAGCTAATCTGAAGGGCGTGGTCGCATGAATTATAGGCTGAACTATATACTGAATTATATACTGAAACAATGCTGAATTCTATACTTTTTTATAATAACGTGCTAATTGAAGTTCAGCCTTGCTCTTCTTTATTTTTTTGAAAATTTGAAGCTGGATTGTTCTTTATTTATCCTTAATTTTTTTGGTGTAAGCGGTGCTATCGCTAGCTATTGTGCTCAAGGGTAGTGTTCAGGTCTCATTTGCCAACAAAGTGAGTTTGAAAATGCATCTAAGTGGGCAAAAACCCCTTGTTTTTTTTAATGAAATTTTTAATGGGGTTTCACAGCAATGTTCAAAATCACAATTTACAGTAGTTCAGCCTTAGCTTGTTCTTAATTTGTTCTTAACTTTGACCAACTTTGAGGCTCGTATTCTTATAAGATTGTTCTTTTAAAAAAGAATGTAATATGAAGAAAGTTTTATTTTATTATCTGGGTCTAAGATATTTTGCCAGCCAACCAATTCCAATTAGCGTGTTTTTTTGCGAAAAGAATCTATTTTTATCTACAGTATTTAAGATTCTTGCGATCACCAAGGAAATGAATATCAACAATATTCAAAACGAGGCTAATCTTTAGTGTTAGGGAAGTGTGCTTGTTTTCTCGGTAGGTCACTAGGTTGCATTTGTTGGCAATGTAACGAAGATATGATTTAAACAAAATGACCCATATCCTGGTTGATAGAGGTTATCCTGCAAATATACGGCCGCGTCTTGAGAAAGTTAATCACCAATACCTGCGTGGCTTAGATGAGCTGAGGCGTAGGCACAGAAAAGGAGGCATAACACCACAAGAATTTGAAGAGATAAGGGCATCTTCCAGGCAGTCTTGGACTTCGGAATGCGAGGATCAAGATCCTTCTCGAAGTGGATTTCAGACAACTTATTCATCATTTCATCATTATAGAAAAGAGCCGGAATGTGACGGGGCAAAATATAGATCAAAATCTCGACCAACTTCACCTCACAGGAAGCATAGACCTCACCCACAAAGGTTTAAAACTTTACTTTTCAATAGCAACCTTAAAGCCATGATTTAAATATTTACTGAGATGAATAAGCTTTAGAAAGTTGAAATGTAGCTATCGCATTAAAATAGTGTTAAAAAAAGTAATAAGAAGGAGATGTCGTTTTGTAGTATAAGATTTATTCAGCTCCATTTCTCGAAGCCTTTTTCCTCGTATTTTTACCATTCGATTTGAAATGATTTAATCCACCCACCAAAAAGTTATGATTGCATTTTCATTAATCTTTAACGAGGACTTAAGTAAGTCTGTTGCCGGGAGCTTTTATGATACCCTAATTAAATTGATTATATTATAATAAATTATAAAGGCAAAAGTTCAATGTCATTTCTAGCTTGAATGTTAACATAAATGTCTATGTTTTCTTGTGCTACTTTTATAAATTAATCATAAGATTAAACCACGGTATAAAATATTCATTGCATGTTATGCACTTAAGCATTATGATTTATAATCCTAGCGCTCTATTTTTAACAATGTTACACCTGTTTAAACTAAAATCTGTTGATGGGAGGTTCTTGGATAAAATTTGGGTAGGCGTTTGCAGAGAGCATATTCAATGTGGTACTGTTGGCTAGATTAATTTTCACAAAAATTTGTATCCTTGGCCAAATTAATATTAAAAAAAGTGTGGCCCTTGATCGATACATAGAATACCTGGGGGGTTGGGTGTGGTGCCTTAGCCCCCCCTATAAAACTTACAAAGTATAAGTAAAGTACTTTTATTTTGCAAAATATGGCTGTTGTTACACTTATTTATCAGGGCTGCCCCCCAAGTAAAACATTGAATTTCAGTCTTTGCCCTTTATGGTTAGATTAATCTTCAAGCCATTCAATTTGATTTCTCAAAATTGTTGGTTTGAACCTGGAAATTTCATAGGTGGAAAAGTATACCCTTGCTTGCAGCACATCCCCTGGTACCTTTACTACAGAAGAATCTGCCTTTTGGTTGAAAGCATTTACAGTTTGATGTTAGAATTTCCAAAAAGATTAATATTCAAGAATTTATTTTTTTATTTCTTATTCCTTTCCAAACAATCATGACAAAATTCATTTTAGCTTAAAGTAGCGTTTTATTATTATCAAAAAAATATTAATGCATGAAATGTATTCTTTGTATTTAAAATTAGGACTACCTTAACTTTTTTTAGAAAATACATAACATTGGAAATGAAAGAAGCACCAGGTTTTCAGAACAGTTTTGCATCCAATTCTAAGCATCAGGAGCCTTACACTGGTAGATATGAATGATCTTTTCTCTAAAATTATATTATTGCCAGCTCTCTATATCCTATATGCTGCAAGATTCATTGTTCTTTGTTAGTATTTCTATCATTCTTTCTATTGTTCTTTCAACCATAAATCCTGATCAGCTCAATTTGGGATACTTTGCAACTTTAGACGTATTTCACATCATAGGAATGTGTTATCATCATCATAATCACTAGAGATGATGTCAGGTCCTTTTAACTTTAGGATCAAAACCTAGCAGTTGAATTTTAGGCAACCAATGGAGAAATTAATTGCACATGTTATTATTTGATTGATTTTTATTAATTAGTAAATCATTGAGCTGTTACCCCTGAAGATGTTCCTATGTCAACATTTTTTTGTAATTATCTATAGCCAGCTCAAGGCAAAATTCAAAGACTATTTAATCTTTTCATGTGCATTTTTAATGTTACTTTTATTTGCTCCTCTTACCTCAGATTGGTTATTTTTATTGCTTATTTGAAACTGCATGAAAATTACTTTGCTTCTAGTGGGGAAGCCTTATGAAAAAGATGACATTTACACTGAAAAGAAGTTGTATTACAGCACACCAACATATGATGAGCTAAAAGCACAGGTAGACAATTATGAGTCAAATCTTTATGTCTATCAAATTCTAAATGGTTTCAAGTATACTGAAACTCAGTGGCAGAATTTGTGGGGGTATGGGGGGTGATCGCCCCCCTCCCAGGAAAGAATTTGTTGACAAATCTGAGACTTTGTTGGTAAATTTAAATCTGGTTTTGGTTGAAACAAACTTCGTTTGCTCATGGCAAAAATTTTTGATGGCAAACCTTGGCAGTCCTGCCGACAAACCCAAAGTTAGGGGTCTGGAACGCAGGCTAACGCTTCTCAGCTTTTGATTTGACAATCAGGTTTCCCTCATCAGCAGTAGACAAGTGAGTATATCAATCACTAGCAATCCCTTCTATTGTTTTTTCTACACCAAAAATGGCCAAAACACTCATCAGGGAGGAGGCTCAGCAGGGAGGTGGCGAAACTCAAATCCAGTTGCACAACTGTGAATTTTAGATGTCCCAAAAGCTAGCATAACTCACATCCAGAATAAACTCATATCCACAACAAAAATTTATCAACAAAATAAATAAGCCGAGAGAGGGACCTTGCGAATGTTTCAAAAAGTAGAAAAAGAAATCAGGGATGTAGTGGTGGGGGGGGGGGGGGGGGCTCAGGGGAACATGGCTTGTGCTTGGACATAGGCAAGAGCCATGCAATGCAAAGAAAGCTGTTAAGAATTGTTACTTTACTACAGGTCAGCTATTGACGATTAAACCAGAAAAGAAAAAGAGAGCAACTGACAGATTTTAACGCATTTGCAAACTTTTCATGCATGAAATATACAGAAACTATGATAACCAAAAATGTGTCCATTCAAATTACTACCAATGGGTCATTAGTTTTAAAAAAAATTCTTTCTTATCAATGCTATAAATATATTATATGCATTTTCTGGCCATATTTAGAATATCATATTTAAAAAAAATTTCTCGCTGCAAACCATGGTGGCGGCTTTCACTGAACCATTGAGCAATATAATCATTCCCTCCCTCACTTGCAATGAAGTTTCCCCCGGCCCATGGAATTATTTGTAACAAATAAGCAAGGTGAGCCAGTTACATGGTACACAAACAATAGGAAGCTATAATAGTTTAACCGTGGATACAGACTGACTACAGTCTAGTTATATACAAATGATTGAAAATTGTCTCAATTGAAAACTGCATTGTTAGCCAGTATTTAATAAGGAACCAATCAGCAGTGTCATTTTTTGAGCAGCAGATTTGTATTATGGTGGATTTCCACTTCCAGTATTGACAGAAAATGGTATTTAGTAAAAGCATGCACGGATGATATTTTGACATTCAAGAATAGTGGCTTGCAATACCTCCTTTTGCGTTTTTCAAAGTTGAAATCAGGACAACTTTTTGCATGGAATTTGTACCATTTGACCTCTCAACTAATCATATTTGAAGCATTACGATTACATCATAACTTCAGCAACAAGCTGTGCTTCATACTTAGTGAAAGCCATACTGAAATACTTGAAATAGTATTTCTTATCAAAAAGTGGAAGCAGACAAAGTTGTAGAGCCCCCTGGTAAAAGCAAGAAATAAGCCCTGTTCTTCTTGTTGCTTTTGTTTTTGGAAGAATGTTTCGCAAAAGCCTCTCTTGTACATTTCATAGCAACAAGTCCCCGGCTGGAACTGTACTAATGCATACAGGCAAACTCAACCATTGATTTGATAAGTCAAATCTCACCTATGCTAGTGCCAAAGATAGCAGAGGTGAATTATGTTCTATTTGGCTTGCAAAGCACTTGCATAGGTCAAGCAAGTTATAGACCAGATAAATGCCTAAAATTGCATCCAGACAGTTCTGTGCAGAGGCCGAAAGACAGTCAGTCAAGAACAGAAGTTGCTTAAGAATTTGACAAAAAACTTGTTTATTAAAGATTTTCATTGTTTCAATTTTAGTTTTCTTGCTGTAAAAATCAGTCCTATGTTTCTGCATAGGTTGCTGTAGTCTGGATCTACCTAATGATAACCTTGATCTTTTCATAGGAGTTGAGAAAAAACTTTTTTAGTCTCTAACTGAAACACAACAAAAGGAGCAAAATGGTGATTACTTATTCTTCAATATTCTTATAGGAATTGGTTTACCATACAAAACCTGAAGCTGATGTCTCTTTGCACCGTTGGCTCAAAAAGTCTGGGGTAGAAGGTCAGGAATACTTTTCTCTTAAACTAAGAATGTTAGTGATAAGACCAACTTCCATTAAGAAAAGTTTGAATTGTATTTTAACTGTGATGTGAAGCTGTTTGAAATGAAAAGCCAACAGAAATGGAAGAAGAGAGCCTAAAACAAGTTACTTATTTATTTTTTCTTCTTGATAGTTTATTTTATTTACACTTTGCTACTAATTTTCTAGCAATTTCACCAAGTAAAAACAAATTTTAAATCTCAAATAAATATCTTTTATTATTCCAGAGAAAGAAATCTCCCAAAGGCGACGTTATAAGTTATCTAAAGATCTGAAAATTCCTGCAGAAACAAATTCAAGGTACCTTGGAAAATTGAGCCCACAAAGATATATTCTTGGCAAATATGGAAGTTAAAACTGACTAAAACAGTGAAAGGTAATTTAGCTTTATCAGTGAGCAGGATACTTGCTATCAGGTGATAGGTTGAGAGGCTGTCCTCCTTATACAGTCTTGGAGAACTCCATTGTCAATATTTTGATAGTTTATTTTATTTACACTTTGCTACTAATTTTCTAGCAATTTCACCAAGTAAAAACAAATTTTAAATCTCAAATAAATATCTTTTATTATTCCAGAGAAAGAAATCTCCCAAAGGCGACGTTATAAGTTATCTAAAGATCTGAAAATTCCTGCAGAAACAAATTCAAGGTACCTTGGAAAATTGAGCCCACAAAGATATATTCTTGGCAAATATGGAAGTTAAAACTGACTAAAACAGTGAAAGGTAATTTAGCTTTATCAGTGAGCAGGATACTTGCTATCAGGTGATAGGTTGAGAGGCTGTCCTCCTTATACAGTCTTGGAGAACTCCATTGTCAATATTTTGATCTTCATTTCATCCGAAACATAAATGGATAGTAACGCTACATCCTTCTGATATGATAATGATTCATGATGATCTGATTTAAAATTAAATCTTAATTTTATTTTATTTATTAGATAATAATTTTCTATGCAGAATCTTAATTTATTCTTATGGCAATACTTGTCATTCTAGAAATTTTACATTTGTACTGCTTCCTTCTTTCTTACATCAAATTTGCAAATATTTCAGTGCAAAATAATATTAAAAGTCAACATTTTGACGATAAAATTGCTGTGGTTACAAAAAAGCAATTTTTTAAAAGCATAAATATTGGGATAAATATCCTCCATCTTATCCTCCAATGAAAATTTATTTTCAAACTTCACCATGACTTAGTAGTAACCCCAGTTATGAATTTATTGAAACAACAACAAAAAGACAAATTAATAAAGAATAAAACCACAACTTGGTAAATAAAACATTATTAAATAAAGTGATTTGACAATTTTTCCTAAAATCTATTACAATACAAGTCAGAGTTGATAAAAGCTAAAAACTTTAAAGATAAATGTCTACTACAAAGATTGGAAAATTGCACACTTAAAACTACTTAGCATTTAAATGGTCTGTGAAAAACCTTAAATTTTTTATCATATGGTGGCACCCAACTGGTCATTTCATGGGGACTAATGCAAACATCATCAAATTCATCATCTAAGCCTTTGATAGCTAAGGATGCCACTAGTTTAGTCATTGGCGTTGCTTCATCTGTAGTTTGTAAATGTTCCAAAGGAAGCCACTCGCATTTCATGATTTCTTTGGGGCATATAGTTATGTTAAAGGACAAAGGATGCAGGTGACAAATGAAGTAAAGATCTGACTGATCAAAAGCCATAGTATGTTGTTGTCGAAAGGCAAGCAGTGACTTGAATTCTAGGAGTAAGAAAGAACGGTGCACAAAACGTTGTCATAAAAGTATTTTATTTTAGAGGAAACAGAATTCAAAATATACATTGTAGTGCCTTTGACAGTTCTAAGTTGCTTCTTTGGGTTTCGGTTTGGATGTGACCAAAAGGCAAAAAATGTGTTCAAAGTGAATAGAATAATAGCATATAGAAGGACCCACAAAGGCTTGAAATCAACGGTCTCGATTTTAACAAAATAGTGTGATGGAGGTTGCTGATACAGTGTCAGATTTTCCCTTCATGATATATATTAGTAATTTAGATATCAGGAAATTGGCCTGTGGTACATGCTACTGGAACTCAACAAAACATCAACCCTCCAAAATATTATAATAGGGACTAGGATGCCACTAGTTTAGTCATTGGTGTTGCTTCATCTGTAGTTTGTAAATGTTCCAAAGAAAGTCATTTCACATTTCATGATTTCTTTGGGGCATATAGTTATATCAAAGGTCAATGGACGCAGATGACAAATGAAGTAAAAATCGGCAAGTGCTGAATTGCACCAGACTTTTTGTCTAAAATGCATGGGCTGACACTAATTTGAAATTAAATCAGTGAAAAAGGAGATGTTCCTTTACAATGGTGCAGAAAATCTGAGAGGTGGCTTTGCAATACATGTAAGATTATTCAATAGGTTTTAGAAATTCCTGTTTGGTGTATGTTGTGATTATACATACACCAAACAGGATACAACCAAGAACTTCAGCACTAGATGACATTAAATTAAAACAGCCAACAGCTGCACAAAGTGTACTTGGAACAAGAAGAGCAAGCTTACCAGAGTAAATTCCAGTTTCCTCTTTCACCTCCCGAATAGCAGTGTCTCCTGTTAATAGAATTTCCTTGAAGTACAAAACTTTTGAACTAATTATTTTACTAGATGTGATAAGATGCGACTAGGAGAACAGGATTCGGTAAAATATACTGTGACTAATTTTATGAGTGAGTTACACTACCAAGACAGAACTAAAACAAGTGACCAGTGACTCTGTACATCATTGCTCTATGAACTGATATACCTAGTCAAATCAAAGAATTATGTCTTAACACACACACAAAGGACCCCCCCCCCTCCTTAAGAGGCTATTTCTTTAAATCATTTCAGTGTTTTAAGGTTTATAGTCCTTCTATGCTAAGTGTAAAACAGTTACAAAGAAACTTAAAAGGGTAGGGCTTGCAGTTCTGATTCAACTAAGCTGTTTATATTAGTAAGATATATTCTATATATTAACAGAATTGAACCTACACAAAGAACAATGAAACCAAGATCCAATCATCATCTGAAAATTAGCTCATGGTCTAAATTTAAGTTAACTTGAAATAGTGTGAAATAGCATGCGAGAAAGCGGGAGCTAACTCAAAATTAACCCATGTACAGATTTGGTTTCCACTTGAGATTGAATTAAGTATGGAAATACAGGATATCACATTTATTTGAGTTTTGCAGCTATGGCAGGTTCCTTACAAGAGAAACTACTTTATTTATACATTGAAGAAAATGTAGAAAAGAAAATATTTTTGTTATTTTTGTTTGCGGTATGAAAAATCTACCAAAAACAGAACTTTTTGGTGAATACCACCGCTCTCTTTTTTCAAAACTGATAATTTTTAATAAAGAAAACTGTTTTCAGCATCTAAAGTAATGCTCAGTTAAAATGGGTTGCGCAAGAACCTTGGTGCAAATGGTTCCACATTCCCCTCCCACACATCAGCTTCTTTTGATGTCTCTCAACTTGATGTGTTATCTCAAGTTAACTCATGAGTTTAAAATAAAAACTTTTGTTTCCAAGCTCATGAGATAACTTAGTTAACACAAGTTAATTTTCATGAGATAATTTTTAAAGAGATTTTCCACTATGAGTTAATTTTTAACCCATCTGAGATCACAAAAATATCCTAAATTAACTCACATTAACCAAGCCTTAAGTGATTGGGCATTTCTGACAAGGTTAAGACAATCTCTTAAGATGTACCTATATCTTCATTTGGCTCTGAGAAACCGCCAGGAAACTTCCACATCTGAGTCTATGAAAAAAGTTTAATTTGAATAAAATATAAAAATTCTTTCTGATAAAATTTCTTTTAGTATGGAAATACCTTACAAGCCAACATCCAATTGAGGATAAGAAGAATGCATATGCATAGCGTTTAATACACTAGATAATTGAACATCATACTTAGTTGCATCATCTATAACTTGCCAATTTCCATGAAAAGATAGTCAATTGACAATAAATGTTTCACAAATTGGTAAAAGCCATTAAAACCGCCAACATATATACCCCCAACTGTCAGCTATATTATTTCAAAGATCTCATTTTTTGAATAAATGAGACCAATGACAGGTAACCCACTGTCTGCAAGCTAAAAAGTGGTCAATTAGCAAACTTTCAAGTTTGCTAACAAAGAGGCAGCACCAGCTAGCCCCGATTTTTTAAACAGTTTTTCTATTTTGTGGGAATCTCCAGAAATAGAGGAACAGCCATACCAGTGTAGGAGCCATCATAAATTTGACCTCAAAGCAAACAATTTGGCCTCTCCCTGTTACAGAGGAAAGACATTAATTTGCAGGGTACTATCAAAATCCTGTACAGGCCTTTATGGCTAATATTTTACACAGGCACTGTGATAAGTGATGTTTGATGGTTTTAATCAACTTTTCTACAAACAAGAAAATTTTCAATTCTTCATAATCAAATCAAACTGCATATAGCTTACTTTGCCTTTATCTTGAACAACCAGAGCTTCACGAGTTTCTTCATTTAAAACAAGTCCTGTAAAATTATGGCTTGGTTAAAATTAATATTTTTTTATAATTTGTGATTAATATTAATCAGATAGAAACATGTAAACCAATTATGTCATGATATAAAACAATATGCCTGGAAACTCTCATGAAATGTAAATAATAAAATTATCTGTATTGAAACAATTTGAAAGAGGATTTCATTGCTAACTAAACCATTAAAGAACATAAAGTACATCTGCCCTAAGACGAAAACAATCTTTACCTGACACACCAACTGTATGAAAAGCATAGAGAGGCATTTTGTCTTCTTCATCAATAGGTAGCCATTTCTTCATCATAATGTAATTCTGTTTGGCATGGTGAAGCTTGAAGCCAATGGAGTATAAATCTGCAACTACAGCACTATGTTCTACAGGTATCTTCACCCAAATACCTCTCCTGCCTTTCCTGATCCATTCATTGAGACGCTCTGAAAAAAATTCAAGATTTTGATGGATTAACATATTATACCTCCTTTACTTCCATACGCAATTCTGGAAATCATCTACTCAACATTTGCAATTTGCAACTGATATACTTTAACAGCTGAAAGAGAAATTAGGACTGGATTATCTAGTATCATCTAGTGGGCAGTTGGGTCCCCTTCTGAGGTCAATTTCTATTGTGAATATTCTACGAACAGATAGGGGGAAATGGTCCTTCTAAGAATACCTCTTCTATTATCCCTCTTGCCTTAAAATGAAGAAGACACACACAAAATAAATGGCAAAGTGTATATAATAAAACATGAAATATAGATGTGAGACAAAAAGACAATCAGGTTGGTTGGAATGAAAAGCACCCAGTTAGAATAGTCGATAGTAGTTGCTAAGTTTGCTAATACCTGAAAATTCTTCTAAAAAGATCCCTCTGTCTTTATCTAATGATAAAGTTGGACTGAGGTCAAGAACAACTCCCCCAAAGCGTGTCAATTTCCAGCTCCATTCAAGGCCTCCATAGGTTACCAGTGTTCTATTTACCAGCTTGTTGGTCTCAGATGGAACTTTACCATCAAGAAATGAATGTTTTCTTGGTGGAACCAGTCTGCTTCTTTTTGGGGTATTCACTAGAAAAACTGTATAGAACCGGGTTTTTCCAAGGTTCAATGATGAAGTTCTTTTGAAGCAGCCACAACATATTGCTGTATTAGGCTTTGTTAATAGCTTTTTCAAAATCATTCTTGCTGGAGCTAAAAATAATATAAGTTTGTCTTAAAATTTATTATTCAATATTAAAAGCTACGACCCTCAAGAAAATTATGCAACTTTTTATTCATTTATATGACTTTCAATAATGATGAACTGATTATGGTCTGTAGAATACAGAATTCACTGGGAATATTGTTTAGGCCCAAAGATTCGACTGGCTTTGGCGATTATATAAAGAAATTCTAAATGGGATTTATAAAACTTCTGAATACTTTTAGTGATATCATAGTCGATTAAAAAATGTGTATTATTTTTGGCACATTCTAAAGAAATAAGCGACGCATTTCTAGATGAAGCGAAGTAGACTGGTTTCTGCAAAGTTAAGGTTGAATATTATCCAGCAAGCTTCTAAAAGTTCGAATCTGATTGAACAGCAACTGTAAGTTTTTGCATTGCAGCAACGGTTAGCTATTCTGATAAGTACTACGGCATAAACAGCATCCCTCTAAAATTAAATCTACTAACTTTTAAAAATTCAACAAACCTTTATCAGAAAGAAACCTTCTGAAGAATTATATGTTTGTGGTTGGAATCACCAAGGATAAATTCACCGACAGTAAAGGTTTACCCCATCTCAATCCGAGGCTGCCTTGAGAAAGCCGGGAAAACTGAACATGATGTATCGTAGTCAAAAATGATGGGAAAGAAAAATCAGCAGGTAGCAGGTTTTGTAAAAAGAATGATTTGCGCATACATTGTAGGAATTTGAAATAAAAAAAAGAGATTTTGGTTTGATTCATGGTCACACAAATGGGTACCGCGACCGCGACATCCAAATTTTACACGGCAAGGACAGACCGCGGAGAAGAAAGTTAGCTAAGAATAATTGAGTAAGCTAAAACAATGGGAAATGTGACGTCATCTTATTAAAACAATAGGCTTGCGCCCCCCCCCCCAATATTTGATCAAGTGTCCGCCCCTGCTAAGAATAATTGAGTAAGCTAAGAATTTCCGGGAGGGGGTCATCCATAAAGTACGTACGCACTCAGGGGAAGGGGGAAGTCGATCAAAAATCATACGCTTGCATACAAGGGGGGAGAGAGTGTAATGGGTATTTAGTACGTACGCTTAAGGAATTCCTAAACATGAAATTTGAGGCTTGCAAGCTTGCTCATTCATTGTTCATATGGCAGAGATTTTAATGGGAAGTTTGTTGCATATTTTCATCCTATCTAAAATCTGCTCTGTTTGATGAAATTCTGATAAAAACTATGTGAAAGGCTTTGCCTTTTAGAAAGCTAAATACAATAAGTTCAATGTTAAAGAATCTGCTTCGATGTGCTTCACGTGATTACATAAATTAGACAACTGCATAACAACTGTATATTATAACAAGGAATGGTCAGTATGGACAGCTCCCTGAATTCCCCTGGAAACTCTCAATTATTTGTATTATACCTTGAAACGGGAATGGGGGGGGGGGCAAAAAAGGATATAAGCATACGCAGTGTAGGCAAAAGGGGGGATGTGCGAAAAGCGTACTTGTGCGTACAAGGGGGAGGGAGGGTCAAAAAGTGGCTCTCAATCTGCGTATGGATGACCCCGAGCTTAACACGATGAAAACCAAAGGAAAGACCATTTTTGGGGCGGAAATTAAAAGAGAATCGTCATATAGCGTTGAATAACTTAATATATAACACAACATAACGTAACATATAATAACATAACATAACATAACATAACATAACATAACATAACATAACATAACATAACATAACATAACATAACATACATAACATAACATAACATAACATAACATAACATAACATAACATAACATAACATAACATAACATAACATAACATAACATAACATAACATAACATAACATAACATAACATAACATAACATAACATAACATAACATAACATAACATAACATAACATATAGCATAAAATAAATTTTTCTTTGCTTTCTTTGCTTTTTGGCTATGCTTTTAGCTGTTTTTCAATGTTCTTCTGCACGGTCTGCAGAACCTTATTGTCATAAATTGTTATTCTGTTTGTTAGCTGGTTATGTCATTTTGATGTTACCGAAGGCGCCTTTTATTCACCACCGAGTTAATACATATTCTACTTACAGGTAGAGTATGGCTTGTAATATGAAGTGGTATTCACAAGCCACTTTGTACTTAATTAACTGCAATTGCACCGTGTTGCTTGCCGAAAAACAACGTGTATCAGGTTTCGCAAAGCTCGTTTGCACACAACCAATCGACGATCTCAAAGGGTTAGATGATATTTATTGCCGGTGATTGAGAAACAGAACAATTTTGATGTTGATAGAATAATTTCTACATTCGTTTCAACTACGGTCTTCTTTACTTTGTTCCGTTAATTTTACACTTTCTTTGCCCATAGCAATTTTCTACCCTTTGCCTTTTAGAAATGCTTTATACTAAAGTTATTGCCATTAACTCCCAAAAGTAATGCAAAACTGAAAAGAAAACTGTACTAAAGTGAGTATTCTGCTTTAATAGATATTTATTATAGCCTGCAAAGAATATAAAGAAAGAAATGCTTTCTCTTGAATCTTTTTTCGGTTCACTCCAACCAACCGTGCATTTTCATAGATCACTATGAAATTTTTCTGATGACAAAAGATTATCTGTCCCTGCAATTAATGCTGTATTTTTCAAATTCCCTACTTGACGCTTTGGAACCCTGGGTGTTAATGCTGATGAATTGTTAAATATGAAGTGTCTGTTAACGAATATCTTTAGTTTTCTTTCTCCAAAAGCTTGCTGACGTATTTGTTTTTGCAAGAATAAATAATTGAGAAGTACCAAAAGGATTTCACCGAAAGTTGAGAGACCTTTAGAGACAGGGCTAAAGTCCTTGGTCTAAGAATTAGACCTGAAAGCGTGGAGAATGGGTAGATCATGGGTGTTAAAAATTGATGCTCGAAAGCAGAGTCAAGGGTTACCTCATCATTCCACGAGGTTTATAAACGAATACTGCTCTTTGCACCAAGCCCAGTAATTTTTGAAACCGTCGAAGATCTTTTCTTCAACTGAAACTTATTATGACAAATTTCAAATCAGCAATAAGCAAGAAGACTTGATCAACTTGCGGTTCTTTTGACTGAAAACACAGAAACAAAGAAGATCGACACAATATACTAAATCCAGAACTTTGCCTGTATAAATGCTCCAAGACAGAAATAAATTAAAATATAGACCTTTTTATTCCTGAAACATAAGTACTAACAATATACCACCTACAAATTTTGAAGCTGTCTTATGTATATGTACATAAGATCTACAGCATTTGCATAATCAAAATTGATTTAAATATATTTCTATCAAAATTTGCCAATGCAAAGGGGAAACAACATTTGAAATGAAACGTCCAGACCTTTTATTAAAGCTACATTTATCTTTAAGTAAACTACCGGCATTTGACGAGGATAAAGCAAACGAAAAAGCAAAATTTGAAATGAATTCTAGTCTTTTTTTGTTAAAGTAGCTTTGAACTTTAAATAAACACCAGCATTTGGTAAAAAAACTTTCGCAAGAGAAACTCCAAGGCAAATAAAATGAAGAGTTTCAACTGCTGTGTTTTATTAGTTTTTCAAATATCAAATCACTTGGCTTTCCTGTTATTATGTAAATCTAAGTTTGTATAGTAGGAAGTTTTTGACCAAGAGTTTTATCATAAATATGTAAATAGACGGCATCTTCCAGCTTTTTGCTTTGCAATCCGTACTATTGATGACCATAATAATTAGGCAACCACGACACTCACGCAATACCAGTCGTATTCAAAACCCTTATACTGGGCCTCCAGTTATTCAGGTAATTAGAGAAAAGTCACCGTGAGTTAAGTCTGCAAGGGGTAGGAGGTTCGAATAATATTTTTAGGTATAAGATATTTGTAGATTTGCGCTTAACAAATGTAACAGTGGATAGTAATTTCGGTCGATAGTAATAGTAAGTGTATTGTTTTAGCTATATCAATTTCGGTCAGTACCCGATCAATTAAAAACAAGCATCTGTTCCCGAAGTACAATTTCACATATAAACAATAAAGCACCCCCTGGAAGAGGAATTTTGCAAGGAACCTAGGAAACCCCTGGTTTGAATCAATAGCTTCTGTTGTTACTATTTAAGGTATCTAAAAGACTTTTCCAGCAGACAGCATTTACGTCTGCCAATGACAGGAAGCAACACAAACAACTATGCATTTCTATCTAAGCTTAATATGTGCATTGATCGATGCTGTAGCCTCCCAATTGAAAACCACAGGCAGCTTTTACAAGGCTGTAGGGCCGAGCAAAGGAATAGAAGTCGACAGTGGCAGCTTACTTCTTGACGAGGCCTTTTTCAAGTGCGATGGCAGTGATAGCTGCAAAACTGTTTTCAAAGCTAAGGAAAGTGACAAACTCAAATCAGCTGATTATAAACTGGAAGAAGCTCAAGTACAAACGTATGCTGCCGTTTATGAACAGGAACCGACGCTAGGTAAATTTTTTAACAATGCTCTACAAGCATACTTGCATTCTTCTTGTTTGTATTTGCAGATATTTCATTACCCTATAAATTATATGTATTAAAACAAATATTTGCAAATGGTCGTTTCGTTGGTTACAGTCTTTATCTTGTTATCATTAGTCTGCAGACAACTGTACATTGCTGGCGTTAGAGACAGCGGAATCTATCGACATGGAAACTTTTCTGTTTATTGCAACTTGCATCAAAAAGATAATGGTGGGTAACGTTCCAGCGCAGAGTCGATGCTACACTCGATTTCAACCGAACTATTACCGATTACAAGAAAGGCTTTGGTGACCTCAACGGAAATTTCTGGCTTGGTTTAGACCAACTTCATTCACTGGCACCACGTGGCTCCAAAACTACTTTGAGAATAAAAATAAAACATTCCAGCAGAGACACATTTTTTGATGCCTACTATCAAGATTTCAGCATTACTGGCGAGGACGATAAGTATCGTTTGGCCATTGGTGCTTATCATGGAAATGCTGGCGACTCTCTGCGTTTCCATAATGGGCAGGCATTCTCTACGTACAAGAAAACTGAATTCGGGGAACTAATAGGTGGATGGTGGGACTTTGGTAGTGCTAACTTAAATGCACTTTATCCTGCAAAAGGATATAGCTCAAGGTTCATGACCTGGTACGATTTGGTTGATGATTTTGGTGGAATAACGTACTCTGAAATGATGCTAACACAAGACTGAGTCACTGAAGTCAACCACTTTTGCATTTGTTGACGATTTATTTGCTTACGATTGGCTATAAATTTCCAACGGTTTTTCAAAATATTTTCAGAATTCTGCTAATTATAAGCACTTAACTGTAGCACTCTCGTTATCCTGTCTTGTATGTTAAATACCAATTATGTTTGACATGAATAACTCATCACACTATTGGTAAACGTGTCTGCTCTCAAATTGTGTTCGACTTTACTGTGGGGGGTGGGGGCGCAATATTTTTGCAATTGGCACGTACAAAATATGATGTACAAGAAATTCTTAGTGAATTTTATTGTTTTTAGAAAGCCAAAGGCTCTGTTTCTGAAAATGACCCTCTATTCTAGAAAAGGGCTCGTTATCTTGATGAAAATGCATTTGCTTGCAATAATCACAAATTGCCAAGCTATAGCGTAGATGAGATTTTAAAATCATTCCATCGACCTGTTTTAAAAGTGATATCGATTTCTAGGCTATTATCTGAAATTTATTTGCACAGCCTATCAACTGGTGATTTAGCCCTTCTTATACCTTTGTCATCTTTAATTTGGAAGAAATTGAGGACATATTTATCCAGAGTCAGGAAAACATTCCGGTCGCACGGCCACTGACCGAAGGGAGGTCCACGAAAAACAATAGAAGCTCCTATGACACACCCAAGCAACGCCCACTTTATATTGTTTTGTGAGGAAGGTTTGCCTTCTGGGATGTTTTTGTCTGGAGGAAGGTTAACAACTTTTCTGGACTCTGCGTTTATCCGAAAAAGGGAATCTGCATTAAGCGAAAACGAAAAGTTATATAAACATTTGCTTTTAAAACTGATGCAAATACCAATGCAACAAGAACTTGAACGAGTCAGTATGTTAACGTGATATCAAATTTCTATTGTTAGAATCATATATAGCGACCATTTGCATACCATATTTCGAACGGCTAATGTTTTTACTAGGACAATTAGAAAGTATGCCATTGCGGGGGTCATCTTGTGGCGAACATCTAGGAATTATCGTAAGCTTTTAGCTCAAGACTATCGAACATAGACGTAGGAACCGGGGGCACGTGCCCCCCCCCCACTTTTGAAATTTCAGGTAAAATGCTCCTTTGCAGCTTACCGTGTTGCCCTTTTTTGTCAACTGCATAACCAAAAAATTGCCCTTGAAATGCCTAGGTGCCATACGAAATGAGCACAGAGAGCAGGGAATGGCCTTTGGGGCCATGATCTAAAATTTATCCATCTTCTTCTGCTTCTAGAAACATTAAAACAACTACCAACTCACAACCAAGGCTGAGGTTGGGGGGAAATTGCCCTAGGGCCTCAAGGTTTAGGGGCACAAAAAGTAATCAAATGCATTATAGAAAACAGTTAGTAAGATACTTCACAAATATGCCTGAAAATTCTACAGCGTTTAAAACGATTGCAAGAAAATGACTGCGAAAATAATCTGGAATGTATTTACAGCTAATCTAAAGAGAATGATCGCAAAGATTTGTCTGCTTGCTTTGCTCGCAAAGGGCCTCGTTCCATTTTGCAACAGGGTGTCCTAACCTCAGCGGCACAGCTCAAACTAAGCCAGAAAAAGATGCTTTCCGCAGCAGCCTCTTTTTAACCTTTCCGGAATCGTTGTTGCTCCTTGATCAGGATTTTTTTCCTTATAGAATTTTGTTAGGGTGCCTCTTTTACCGGGTGCCCCACTTTTATAATGCTTCAGACATCCTTGCTATCCAACTGCACGATCTCAAAAATGAAGAAGACTAACATAACTGAAACTAAAAAGGGTTTAAGCAAAGCAGTTTTTCATACTATTCTTCAAAACTAGCCCAGCATTTTAATGAGAAATGAAATTTCAAAGATACGTAGCTAGAAAATCGAGAGAGAGGCAAACATTATGGGTTTTACATCAGGGATCATCTTAGGCCTTCCGCTTCTCCAAAATGGACAGTTCTTAGTTAAATTTGGGTAATTCTAATTCAAGGAATATGCAGTTCTATTTTTTCAATTCTCTTTTTTTTACTCGGAAAGTTTAGAAAAATTATCACTATAGAATGATAAAACCACAACATAGCTAGAAACCAGTTTTTGTTCATGATAGAATTGTTCGCCTTAGAAGCTCCGTAATTTAATTTATGAATCCTCTTCGTCTCTCTTTCATCCTCATCATCTTCTGCATTGTTCGCTTCCTTGAAAAGCATCTAAACCATCTCTGTTCTCTTGCTTTCTGTGTTTCTTTTACTCGCCTTTCTTTTCTTTTTAGCCATTCAGTACTGGCTAAAATGATAAAATGATAAATGATAATGATAAAACTATAATTCATAGTCAAAGTGAGATAAAATTTGATAGCTTAAACATACCAAGGGTCACAACGAGAGAGAGGGGACAAGGGTGATTAAAGAGTTGAATTAATCAAACGTAACAAAAGTATGGCTGAAAATACTGAACTATTTTAAACGAAAGATAATGAATTTTTTCTTAGAACGACCCCTGTTTAAAATATCTACACGAGATAGCTTCACTACACGATCAAGAGTACCCATGTTGCAAGAATATCTTAGCTGACCTCTAAGATTCTTAGGAATACGATAACTCATCCAAACAACTCCAAAGATGAAATGAAGCGTTTTTACTTTAACAGATCCACTTACCCATAGGAATAGATGATATATAAAATGGGAGGGCCGCAGCCTCCTAATCAGGCCACCGTTGCCACATTTCAGGCTATTCTGTGACCATACTAAACCCCCATTTAAACGTTTAGCATCCACCACGTCCATGAACTTAGCTGAATGGGGGCTTACAAAAATATTTTGCTGTCAAGCTTTTAAGTAGAATTCAGAATAAAGAGAGAGCTTTTAGATAAGTCTGCGAAATGTCAAACGAGCCCCACAAGTCATGTAGGGCTTAAATAAATATATTGATCAAAGACTCAATCATTGAAATCAGAAAAAAACAGTAGAGCTTGAAAGGGTAACCCGTTAAAATACCTAAACGAGAACCACGAAAATACCGAGGCTCACAAAATGTATCTAAGCAACTTCAATCTTGCCTCAATATAGCAACCGTAGTGGATTAAATTGATATGGACATTTCAATGAACGAAAGACTAGCACCCCCCTCCCCCACCCACCTACGAAGTCCGCTACGAAATGCTTCAACAATTGCAAACGATGTTTTGCTTTAATTTATGTCTCTTGGATTCTATTTATTGTAAATATCTAGTTCAGATTTAAGAGCATTTGCAACTAGAGCACTTGAACATTTGGGATGATGAATAAAACACCAGGCAACAGATAATGTTTTGGAAGAAGGGGGCCTCATTTTTCTGCTTTCGTGCAATGCTCTCGGCCCCTCGCACTGATCAGTGGCTCCTCGAATCAGCCAGCCTCGCTTTCGTTCCACTTCCTGGTTTTCGTTAACCACCATCTCTACTACCACAATCTGTGATTTCATTCTGCTATTGTACAAGTCAATGCACAAAATTTCGATTTGAACTATACCAGAAGTTAAACCTTGTAACACGATGGCAACGAATGCAACAAAGAAACTGATAAATGATCCATCAAACACTGTAAACGAAGCGCTAGAAGGGTTTGTTATGGTGAATCCAAATGTGGCACTAATTCAGGAACATAAAGTTGTAATAAGAAAAGATGTCAAGATGTTACAGGAGGCAGGTAAGGTTTGCCTTATTTCTGGAGGTGGAAGTGGGCATGAGCCTGCACACGTGGGGTATATAGGTGAGGGTATGTTGACTGCAGTTGTATGTGGTGATGTATTTGCCTCACCTCCTTCATCAGCTGTTCTGGCTGCTATCAGAGCGTGTAATTCGACTGCCGGGGTTTTACTCATTGTCAAGAACTACACAGGAGATAGACTTCATTTTGGTAAAGCAGCAGAAAGAGCGAAAGCAGAGGGAATACGCGTTGAGATGGTTGTTGTTGGAGAAGACTGTGCAATAGCAAGTGACAACAAAAGTGCTGGAAGGAGAGGTTTATGTGGTATAGTTTTCATACACAAGATTGCTGGTGCTATGGCGGAATCTGGAAAAACACTTGATGATATAGTTAATGTCGTCAGTGAAGTAGCAAGGAACATGGGTACAATCAGCATAAGTTTGTCACCATGCAGTTTGCCAGGCCAGTCACCCAACTTTGAAATTTCATCTGATGGCATTGAATTTGGTCTTGGGATTCATGGTGAACCTGGTGTGAAAAAAATGAAACTGACTCCTGCAAAAGCAATTGTTAAAGAAATGGTTGACTATTTGCTCGGCAGTGAGTACATGCCAAAGCTTGATGGCAAGAATGTTGCTGTCATTTTAAACAATTTAGGTGGAACATCCAACTTAGAGATGAGTCTTGTGGCTGGAGAGGTTTTGAAATACTTACGGTCTATTGGCTTGTTTGTTGATCGGTTCTATGTTGGAGCATTCATGACATCATTAGAAATGGCAGGAGTGTCAATCACAGTGCTAGCATCTTCAAAGAGTACAGTTGCTTGGTTGGATGAGAAATGCAGCAGTGCTTGGTGTCATAGTGGACATCTACCTGAACCTCATGAATGTTTTGTGGCAAACCCACTTGATGATAACCTTCTTAAGGAGGGGTCAGAAGTTCAATCATCTACTGGAAAATTGCTTTTTAGTTGTTTAAAGAATGTCTGCACAAGGCTTCTTGAAAATGAGCAATACTTAAATGAATTGGATAGGGCTGCAGGTGATGGTGATTGTGGTACAACTCTTGCAAGAGGCTCAACAGTTATAATGGAACACTTAGGCACTGTCCAGTCATCACTTTTACCACTGGATGACCCTTCAAAGCTAACTTTGTCACTTGCCACACTGCTTGAGAATTCAATGGGTGGCTCCTCTGGTGCAATTTTTAGCTTGTTTCTGACAGCATTGGCAAAAGGCTTGAAAGAACACAGTCAGGCAGCATTGACCCAAGCACTATCTCATGGCATTGAAACTGTAAAAGAATATGGTGGTGCAGTGGAGGGTGACAGAACACTGTTAGATGCACTTTGCCCTGCTATAAAGGCCTTTGGTGCTCAAGAAACTGCTGTGCAAGCTGCTAAGAGTGCTGCTGCAGCTGCGATGAAAGGTGCCCAGAATACAATACCTATGGCAGCCAATGCAGGAAGATCTAGCTATGTGTGCTCCACTAATTTGACAGTGCCAGATCCGGGAGCCATGGCTGTAGCCTTAGTGTTTGATGCAATAGCAAAAACAGTTTCAATGTAGCTTTTGATCTTTAACTAAGCTAAAATATGGATGCATATTATATTATACTTGTATGTGGAAATACATTAAAGTGAATTTATAGTGTTAACGATTTGTAACAGATTTATCTATTACTGATGATATTTTAAAACCTCTTTGTGATTCTATAAGACAAAAATGAATTGACTTATGTCAACAAGAGTTTCATATGATTGTTTGATTACTTTCCTTTATATCTTTGATTTGACTTGCCTTGACCTTGAAGATTATAGGTATTGATCTGGTTAAACCCAGGGCCTTATGATCATTATCAATGCATTCATACCTTCAAATTAATTTTCATGCTTGAAAGAGAAAGTTTTTTCTGCAGTTTCTCTTATTTGAGAATGTTTCTCAATGTTGCTAACATACATGGAATATTTTTCATTTCAAAAGCTAGAATTTCCTTAAAAGAGGATAAAATTGTCCACATGAAAAAGTATTATTATTAATACAGAACGAGTTTCATTAATGCAAAGTTGATATGATTAATGCAGAACGAATTTCAATTTCAATATCTGATAAGCAAATGCCTTTTGATTGAGAATCTTGACTGCTAAAAGTACCTTTTTGACTTTCTTTTTCTTCTGTTGAGAAAAATCCAAAATCCGTCTAGTATTATTATTATTAATACAGAACGAATTTCATTAAATGCAAAGTTGATATGATTAATGCAGAACGAATTTCAATTTCAATGTCTGATAAGCAAATGCCTTTTGATTGAGAATCTTGACTGCTAAAAGTACCTTTTTGACTTTCTTTTTCTTCAGTCGAGAAAAATCCAAAATCCGTCTAGTATTATTATTAATGCAGAACGAATTTCATTAATGCAAAGTTGATATGATTAATGCAGAACGAATTTAAATTTCAATATCTGATAAGCAAATGCCTTTTGATTGAGAATCTTGACTGCTAAAAGTACCTTTTTGACTTTCTTTTTCTTCAGTTGAAAAAAATCCAAAATCCGTCTAGTATTATTATTAAAACAGAACGAATTTCATTAAATGCAAAGTTGATATGATTAATGCAGAACGAATTTCAATTTCAATGTTTGATAAGCAAATGCCTTTTGATTGAGAATCTTGATTGCTAAAAGTACCTTTTTGACTTTCTTTTTCTTCAGTCGAGAAAAATTGAAAATCCGTCTAGTATTATTATTAATGCAGAACGAATTTCATTAATGCAAAGTTGATATGATTAATGCAGAACGAATTTAAATTTCAATATCTGATAAGCAAATGCCTTTTGATTGAGAATCTTGATTGCTAAAAGTACCTTTTTGACTTTCTTTTTCTTCAGTCGAGAAAAATTGAAAATCCGTCTAGTATTATTATTAATGCAGAACGAATTTCATTAATGCAAAGTTGATATGATTAATGCAGAACGAATTTCAATTTCAATATCTGATAAGCAAATGCCTTTTGATTGAGAATCTTGACTGCTAAAAGTACCTTTTTGACTTTCTTTTTCTTCAGTCGAGAAAAATTGAAAATCCGTCTAGTATTATTATTAATGCAGAACGAATTTCATTAATGCAAAGTTGATATGATTAATGCAGAACGAATTTAAATTTCAATATCTGATAAGCAAATGCCTTTTGATTGAGAATCTTGATTGCTAAAAGTACCTTTTTGACTTTCTTTTTCTTCAGTCGAGAAAAATTGAAAATCCGTCTAGTATTATTATTATTAATACAGAACGAATTTCATTAATGCAAAGTTGATATGATTAATGCAGAACGAATTTAAATTTCAATGTCTGATAAGCAAATGCCTTTTGATTGAGAATCTTGACTGCTAAAAGTACCTTTTTGACTTTCTTTTTCTTCTGTTGAGAAAAATCCAAAATCCGTCTAGTATTATTATTATTAATACAGAACGAATTTCATTAAATGCAAAGTTGATATGATTAATGCAGAACGAATTTAAATTTCAATATCTGATAAGCAAATGCCTTTTGATTGAGAGTCTTGACTGCTAAAACCACCTTTTTGGCTTTCTTTTTATTCAGTTTAGAAAATTTAATGATTTGCTGTTTACTGAAAACCGTCTAGTATTAGAAGTAAAACTCATCCCTAAAGAGAACAGTCACCTCGGTCTTGCCGATCTAAAACTACAATTAAAACCTGCGATTCTGCTATCGGGCAGCATTTATTTGAAAACCCAGATTGTGCAAAAAACTATAATGGCGTCATGTTTCGGATCATTGGTAAAGCCCGATCGTTGTTCCATCTAGCAGTTTTTGGATCTATGTACATAAGCACGAAAAAACCGCTACTGTGTAGACAAAAGGAGTTCGTTTTCACCTTAGGACTCCATTGGTAACATTCTCAATAGGAAAGCGGCACTGATTGGTCAACCTCTACAGTCAAGTGCTCGCGTTTCTGATTGCCCTATCTCAATCCTCAACTGGGTATATATATTTCCTAGCGTAGAGTTTTCGATCTATATTCTGATGTTTTGAACTCTAAAGAGTGTCAGACGAAAAGCTTTAGTTTACTCAAATGTTTGCTTTTTTCAAAGCCATTTTCAAATTTTGTACGTCCAAAAGATTGTTTGAAATCCAAAATATGAAACTTCTACTTTTTAAGGAATTCTGTTACCTTCTGATTCAGGTCTTACTTATGGAAGCTTTCTCATGGTAAGCTTTATATTGTGTTCCTCAAGGATCCTTTCCTAGACCACTTATATTCTCAAATGCAAAACAATGTGTCATAGGCCAAGCCAGATAATCAAAAAGGGATATGGGCTATTCCAAATATATATATCTTCAGCAATATTTTGATTTTGATTTGAAAACAACAAATTCAATGGACTGAAACTATAAATTGAAAGTTTGAAATTTTAGAACAGGCAAGATCGCTAGCGTTGATATGATTAATTCAGAACAAACTAAGGTCTCGAAGACAATCTTCTTGCTTTCCTGATGAATGGGTTTTATTCATTATGGTCCTTATTTCTAACGAGGGTGATAGTTCCTACCACGATGACTATTTTGGAACAACTCTTTTAAGCAATTTTGGGAAAATGTTTGAAGACATCCCATTCATTAAATTAAATATTGTTTTTAATCTTCTTTCAATTTTTAGATGAAAATCAAATAACTTATAGAAAAAGTTTCCAAACGCTAGATCATATTTTAAAAGTGTTAGCCACCATGTTTTACCTAAGCAAAAACTACAATCACTGCCAAAATTACTTTGCGCCCAACACTTTGCGCTGTGTTTTTCTATCTTTCATTTGTTTTCCCGAATACTACTACTTCAAAAGCAGATGATTTACTGAATAAGGGGTAAATTCTTCAATGTTATCAAATCCTTTCAACAAAGGTTAAAAAGTATGCCAAGGTTAAGAATTACTTTAACCGATTTATGCTCTTGTCCTCTTGGAGTTTGGCCCTCTATCAAGTCCACTTCTGTTTGCTCTATTTTCAAATTACTTGGAAAAATCTATAGAAACTAGTCAGTTGGCATTAAACTCGGTAACATATAAACCAATACACACTATTCTACGCTGATGATCAAGTACATCTTGTAACATTTGCATAGCATCTCTTGCTACAACTTGACACAGTTGACCTTTATCTTTTGATGATTTAAGCAAATAAAATGTAAAACAAACACGAAGTATGGTCTACATAGTGGTGGAAAGATTTAAAAAGAATGTAAGCAACATAAATATTTTGGGGTGAAAATTGCCTTAAATTGCTCATGCACAATATTTGATACCGTTTTAAAAGAAAATGCTTCCCACTATGCTTCACTGAGAAAAAGCAAAAATTGGCATTTTCAAAGAGGCTTTGTACAAGATCAACAGAGACATTTTCAGGAAATAGAGGACACAAAACTCGGGGCTGAAATGCACCTCTGCTAGAATTATCCTGATTTTTTTATTAAAAAAGGTCTTAATATCATGGAAGCTCGGTGGGAAACGGTGACTAAAACGACTGAGGGAAAAAAGGTGCAAGCTTCAGGACAGGTGCATTCGAAAAGCGATTTACAGCTTTCATTGTTCGTTCGAAACTGATATCCGTATTACGATCCACCGTAGAAATCTTGAATATGGGCTCAGGGGCGAAACTGCTGGGGGGGGGGGTTATGGGGGTGCTGCACCCCCCAATCTTCAAAAAAGCAGATTTTGTCGGGCAAATTTATGGCTGCCAGTTTATCGGTCGGGCAAATCTGGAAATTTTGTTTAGGTCGCACATTTATTGCTACTTTTTGCCCCAGCTTGGTTTTTGAATTAATGGTCTTTTTACCTCATCTTTTTTTCAATCTCCGCCCAGCTGGGAAAGCAAAACAGAAATGAGGCAAACAGCAGCAACATAATTACATTTCTGTCTTTCACCTCGAGCTCGACGTGCACATGTTTATCTTCGCCCCTGCGGAAGTAGAGTCTGAAGTATTAATCGACATCGAAAGTATAGACGGAGAGAAAAGTGTGTTTGATGCAAGAGGGAAATGAACCCAGGGCATGCCCTCCCCACTTTTTCGCAAAAAAATAAAGCTTTTTTCAAAATATTTTGTTATGTTTGCTAAATTTTCCCTTGACCGCACCCCCCCGTTTTCCATCTTGCGTCGGAGCCCATGGAACACTGACCATTTTTGAAGCATAAAAAGTTGGGGATCTAAAAAATGGGTCTAAAAAGATTTTTAGTTGACACTTATGTGTCTGTTTAATTTTTTCATACTTTTAGATGAATCTTTATAATTGCGGATGGAACGTTCAAGTGGTGCAAACCAAAGTAAACGAATATCCATTAGACTCCGACAAGCTATGACTAAAATTGTTACTTGCTTTGACTGATGGAACACATGCAATTTCTATTAAACTAATATTTCTTCAGGGGATAAGGGTTTTGTTTTCGTAATTTGGGTAAAATACTATCGTTAAAACAGGAACACTTTTTCATGACGTCATTAGATAAATTTTCAAGACGTTGCTGTTGCTGTGTACAATCAGAAAAGCAGGGTTCTTTGTCGTGTTTACATTGTCAACAAAACAGCAATGAAGGTAGTTTTCAAGTGATAGAGACGTCTTGTTAAAAATATGGTATGTTTTTGTTTTAGTGTCACATTTTTTTGTATAATCTGACAGAGATTATTCTTAATACATATTGTAATAGATGCACTTAGCTAGGCCAGATACCTGCCATCACTGTTAGGCCACTTTGACTTTCTGTCCTCTCACGTTACAAGGAGGCATCTCTTCCGTGCCTGCTTTCAGCTGTATGCCTAAAAATGAAAATTGGATGTAACAAAACACAAAATGAAGTTGCAGTGGGAAGCATCTTGTGTTAAAAATAGTTAGATTGACTTAAGAACTTGAATTGCCCTAGTATCTGCAATTTTTAAAGCATAACTTCTGGTGATGAAATTTGATATATGATTATCAAGCATGCAATAAATCTTCCATCTAAAAGCTTTCACATTTTTGATCTTGCTAATGCATGTCAGTATTTGAGAATATGCTCAAAGTCTATATATGGAAAGCATGGCATTTGGATGCTCAAGATTTTTAATGTGAATGAAAACTTGACATTACTACAATATTTACCCAAAAATCAAATTCAATGTGTGTTTAAAAATCCTAGTGTCAGGATGCAAAAAATTACTTGTTGCAATCCAAGTGATAAAAAAGCTACAAAAAATAATATGCATAGAAACTTGTTACATTGAAACCATCAGCCATATCTGCCTATTACTCTCCTGACTCCAAGCTCCTCTAAGATTCAGACTATGTGTGGTCTTATCACAATAAAGAGTTTAGTCTGGTCCATCTTGAGTGCTAATGCTTTAACTGAACTCCTGGACGCTGATCCTTACCTAAATCCTAACTTTAGGTATGAGTGAATGTTCACTATATTATGTTAGTGCATTGGCACTTCCATATTGCTAGGGCTTTTTGTTGAGAGGATCAATTTCCCTGAATAAAACTTCTGGTATTAACCATTTACGGTTTCTACCAGTTAGTTTAATTTTATTCCAATAACGGAATCTGTGCTGTTGAGAGGCTGGCCTTTTTCAGGGTGGGGGTGTGGTCGTGAACTATGAATTGTCCTGATTACAAAAATTTTTCCAGAAATTCATTAATTGTTGACCAATATCTCTGCAAAACATTTGTTTAACTTTCAATCTACGGCAGATAGCTTGCAAAATCTATTAGCATGATAAAAACAGATGGTGTAGTAAAGATCTGTTTGTCGGAACACCTACAGGGTATGGTTATTACTTGAGGTGACACCATGGTTGTCATGGAAGGAAAGGAAAATTTTCAAATTTTGATGCTTTAAGCTTAGAGGAAACTACACTCTTTGCAGCAATTTTTACAAATGAATATCCACAGGCTGAAAGCTATTTGATGGTTTTGATTTATTTTTGGCTTATGCAACAAAACTGGTTTTGAATTTTCTTCAGATCAGGACAAAGTCTCTCAGTTTGGGTTGTCAGGATAAAGTCTTGAATCAGGACTATATGGGATGAAATCAAGAAGGCTGGAAGCTAATATTTAATGATGATGTCTCGTGAAAATTTAATAGATTTTTTCGAGGGTTTCTTTTAAAAAAGAACCACTTGTTTGTTACCTTGGTAGAATCAATACTATCAAACAGTATCCTTCTCACTAACCAACAAAAATTAGTTCTTTATTCTCCTAATTGTACTGAAACTTCTTGTGCAGATAAGATTCCACAACTTGTACAATTTTGCCATGGTCTTAGAAATATAAGGTTGCTGTGCTTCATCAAAAGCCAGGTAACCAGCAGCTCTAGTTGTCAAATGACACCTCTTTCCATCTTGGAAATCATTTCTAGCATGAAAAAATTCTGGAGCTCAGTGTGTATTGCAGTTGATGATTCTTCCAAAAACTGTAGGGAAATTGGACAAAAGGCAAACATTTATCGGAGAAGGACAAAAGACACACTCAAATCTTGAGGTTATCAACGCTTAGTTTTGTTTATCTTGGGGGATTATAATATGTAACCAAAGAAGCAACCACAACTGCATGATTCTATAATGATTTTCAGATGTGAAGGTCCAAGAATTACCTAAAACTTTTCTTATACAGAACAAATTTTACCAGAAAATTAGTACACATCCTCACCACCCTTCTGTCACAATGGTCTTAAAAGGAATGTCTATCTATCCATTGGTGCTTAGACCGTTAAAATTTGGCATATATTGAATGTAAGAAGATGATAAGGAAAAAAGTTCAAAAATTTGAATTTAAATCAATAAAGATCGACTGATAAGCCACCAAGATTAACATCAATGACCTTTGTATCGCAATGTAAATTGGAAAAACTGCTCTTTTGCCGACTTCAGGGGGTTTTGCAATTTGCAGAATGAATGTGATTTTTTACTTGATTTGCAGACTGTAATTTGGATAGAGGAGGGGGGGGGGGCATTGGTCCCCAAAGCAGAAACTCATAACACTTACAAACCTATGGCTTGTAGTAAACCTTGAATTTTGGTTTTTGCAGAAATTTACTTGGATAGTTGATAAACAGACGAATGCAAGGGCTTTGGTGATGTTAGAAATAAAAATACTTTGACATAACAAAAGCGTTAAGGGGCTGGTTACTGTAATTATCAAATATTTCACAATATCTTGCTCCCAATTACATGGCAGGCACGTGTCCTATAATTCTAACTTAACTAGGAGACAGTTTATAAATCATAGAGCCAGGTCATAAAAATACTTTTCCAAATTATCACCCCTCTCCTAACATTTTCTCATCGAATTTAGACAAAATACAAAATCTTTCCTTCCAAGAAGTGGCTCTATAATACATCCCCTCCAGTCCCCCCTTATGGCACAGCTACTGTCAAAACCTACTTTTCTCCTAATATTTAAACAGTATTTTTACAAATGTTTACCAGTCTGGCTGCAAAGCCTTTAATTGGGAAGACAGTGTGCAGTTTTGCAAAGTCACACAACCGTCATTTGCCCAGCATTGAATCTTAGATGAAATTTTGATAAGTTGAGACTGTGCAGTTCAGTCTAAGCTGAGAATGTGTTCCAAGTGTATAAAAATATATTCTAGTGTACATTTCTGTTACAAATAATTTTTTATAATTTTTTTCTTCCTTTTTTATTGCCATGCATTAAAAAGTTGAAAACCTTTCATGTTTTGATTGGACTTATCTCAGGAAGTTGCCATGCAACTTGATCATGATGATCAGATTGATCCGTACCTTGCATTTACACTGCTTAACCATATCACTTCTGTACAATTCATACAGATTGATGTTTTACATTGAATTCCGGAATGTTTATGAAATGCAAAAAATTTAGCCGACAGAATGCCCACCCCAACCAAAATTTCCCCAGTGAGCTTTTCTATGTTCAAATCTGACAGAATTATATTTCATTCTGAAAAGACACACAATTAAATATCCAAGGGTTGATGGTAATAACTCCTCCTAAAGAAACATCTACCTACAAGGAAAAGCTAAGAAATAATATTTCTGGCCCTCGGGAAATTTCAGGCTTTTGGAAATAAATTGCTCACAAAAGTATACCACAACTCTTGCCATATCTCTTGAACAAGAACAATTTCGAAACAGGGTTTATTTTTCCTGCAGCCATGGCCAATTTGTTCAGTGTTAAAATTGTGCAGTGATAAACTAAACTTTGTGCACTGATAAAAATATAGAAATGGATTTGGTAGTGAAAAAGGAAGATGGAGCAACTACCAGTAGACACATAAAGCTTATAAAAGAGCATTTGAATATTAAAAATGTAACATAACAGGAACAATGATCATAATCTATAGAATCTATCTAACAAATTTTCGAATTCAGTATCTAGAACCTATTTAGTTTGTTTTGTTCTTCTTCTTCTCCTTTGAGATCTCTGTTCTAGAAAATTTGTTTAAACTCAGACCACTTTTTCCTTGTCAAAATTTCGACCAGGATTGGTGGACGAGGATTTGAGAGCTGGTGTAATTCCATAATTTCACATACAGTTGATTCAATAGATGTGGTCATAAACATTTTCAACAGGCAACAACTAAATTTTCAAAAATTTTGAAAATATGCAGCGATAAAAATTCCTTAAAATAAACCATGTTTTGAATTTTTTGTGTAGCAGCAATCATTTAACACAGCAGGGACCATCCAAAATGCAAACACAGATGAAGAGGAACCACCTCCTAGCTATGACTCTGTGGTGGCGTCGGCTGGAACAGGTACTGTTGTCTATGATTCTCTACTTTGTCTCACTCTTGGGCTTTTCTTAAAGAATTTTTTTGTCACCTGTAAAATGAATCTGAAAGTGCAATCATACCAGTGGTGATTATTGCTCTCAGAAAATTTTTCAAGTTAAAGTATTATATGCTCTACTTATAAAAATTGCTATCAAACTATCAAACATTGCTATCAAATCTGCCAAAGTTCTTATTGGTTTTGTTAAGTCTGCTAGCAATCATACTCAAAGAACTTTTCAATTAATGAAAATAGAAATATCAATTTATATTTAAGCACTTCTTATTTTGTTGCAAGCTTCTACAATTTTTTGCTATATGAATATTAACTTCTCAATCAGAAATCCTATCCAAATTAATTTGAGTATTCATTTTATTACAGGGGAGCCACCCCCATCATATCAAAGTATTTTTGGAGAAATGCAAAGGACAAGAAAGGAATCAAATGGTTTTTTAGACTTTCTGAAAAATTTGGCAATTCTTCTTTTTAGTACCTGTAAGTATTAGAATTATCTTAAATTTATTCATAGAAATAAGTAATTTTTATTTAGCCCAGTATTTTTAAAAATAAAAAAACGCCTTCTTTCTAGTAAACTTAAGAAAACATATTCTAATGAGTTTAAGACTAAAATGTACCTGCTGGAATTCTCAGGTAACCCAGAGTTGAATACTAATTGGGGTTTTGATAAACCTCTAAAGCACACATTAAAAAGATACTTTTTTGAAGGAAAGCACCCCTAAAACTTCCATTATTTTCATGCAGATAGTATTGAATGATAGGAAAATTAGTGCTTTTCTTAAAGATCAGCTTTTTCAGTATAAAGGTAATGGCAGCATTAAATCATCTTTAATGTAATTGAATTTTTTTCCTGGAGTTTTATTATTCTTTGTTTTAATTTATGAATGCAAAGTCAAGTATGCTTTTTCAGTCTTGTGTCTGACATCTCAAGTTTTAATTTTTGCAGTTATTATCCAAGCTCTGGCTCTTAAATGTATTGATCATTAAATACATAAAACAGTATTTGTGACTATTTTTTGATTGCATCAAATCATTTGATTTTACAGTGGGATGCATAATTGGTCTTGCCGTCTTGGTTTCAATTCCAATAACCTGCATTGTCTTGGGTAAGTTAATCTTTATTTCACTTGGTAGCATCCACATGTTCCAATACTTCTGTTTTTAAAAACACCCCTTCTTTTTACCCCTCTGACCCCTTCAAATGAATATCTTTTTGATAATATTTAAGGGTAAAATGTCCCACTTATTGGAAAAAATTTGAACACACCTTGCAATTACCAATTATAAAGCAATTGCATTTTGTTGTAAGCTGGATATTTTCTTGAATGTTATGTACGAAAAACACCCCCTTCTTTAACACCCCATATTTTAGACACCATTTGCCCTTGTATGAATACCCCCAACAAATAAAATGAAACATTTTATGTAGGGCTTGGCAACCTATGTCCCGCAGCCAGAGTCCGGCCCGAAAGAGAATTTTTCTGGCCCAGGAGATGATAAAATCATATCATAATTTGTTGGGTGGAATGATTTTGACAGTTTCACCCAACAAATTATGTTGCAACAATTTCTTCAAACCCTGATTTACATCTTTTTAAATTTTGGCTGTTTTTTTTAATTTTCCCTTCTACGACTGTAATATTCTTTTCTTGTAAACCCAGACTAGCCAGTTGCAAATTACCTATGTAATAGAAGGGTTTGTAATTGTAGTGTAATTGAATTGAAGTCAAAAGTTTTCATTATTATTATTTCTAAAACCCAAGGAAAACTGTCTGTTTGTTTAAGAGCTAACCATAGGCTTTGAAACAAATCTCTGCAATGCTAAAAGAAAGTCAGAGAAATATGCCACCTTCAAATCTGACTTAAAACATCAGTTTAAATCAGTTTTGTTTGTCAATCTTTCCATCAGTTCACTTGATATCTTTGGCAACCCCTGCAGCTCTTTCATCGACATGTGTGACTCTTTGTCCGTTGTTCATCAACAGAAACGCTATCTCATCCCCAAACTTTCAAGCATCTCCATTTGCACCAATACTCTATATTCTGCTGTAGAAACAAAACTTGGACTAATCCAGAGCTACTCCCCTTTAAACATTTTTTTCTTTTCTCATTACTCTGATTGTAATAGTTTTATTTTGTGAAAACAGACTAGCCAGTTTCAAATTACCTATGTAATAGTGAGATTTGTAATTGTAGTTTTAACTGAAAATCAAAATAAAAAGTTTCTATTAACAAGAGCCAAACAAACTTTTTCATTTTTTTCATAATTTCTTTTTTTGAGATTGTAATAGTGTTTTACTTTGTTAACCCAGGCTATCCGATTGCAAGTTACCTTTGTAATAGTGAAATTGGTAATTGTATTTTTGCCCTTTGTAAAGTTGCCCACCTCTGAATTTTTATAAAACACACAGATGTTTTTTTGAAGTGATACGGTGTATCAGGTGGGACGATTGGTGATATTTTAGAGACATTATTTATCAATGTCAGTCTTCAGATTTTTTATCTAGTATATGTGATGTATATCAGTATATTAGGATGTTAGCACTATTTGGTGCCACTTGTATCACTCCGCTTAATTTGCAGAAAAAGGATAAAAAAACCTTTTGTTTCAAAACCCTTTGTTGTGTTTTAAAAATTCTTACTGATGAGGCTGCCGGAGAGCAGCGACAATGCTAAGAACAAATTATGATCATGTTTGCTTGTTTTTAACATTATGATCGTATAACACACGGGATCTCGTCAAATCATTGGCTCAAGGTACAAGTGACCGAAAACAGAATAATAAAGCCAATTTTTCAAAACCTTTGACTTTGAAATGATTTTTCTAAGCTGTATAGCTCGTGTTTATTGGCAACTATGTTAATGTCCTTTTATCAACATTGTATTTTTCCAAACACTTTTCAGACAAAAAGAATTCTTGGTTACAAGTCACGTAAATCGACACCTTCATGTAGAAAGCAGAGGTTTTCAAGAAACTTATGCTACTAAAGGCAAAAATGTCAAGAATATTTTCAATTTTGAATATTCTTACACTGCTGACAATCGAAAATTAAAAACTCATTCCATTCAGTTCCAGTCTAACTCGCTCCAGTTATGATATTGTCAACGTGTTTAATTGAGTAGTTTCTGCTTTTCTTGCGAATTTGAAAGGTTTTCTTGCGCCTTGCGCTTGAGCTTTTTTGTCAATCAACTATTGGCCAATCAGTGAGTGTGGTAAAACTGACACATCCATTGATTGGCTGATATGGATTGCAATATTGCTTATTTAGTTTCTATAAATGTTAATGGAGATGTACTTGAAATTCATGATTTTCAATGGCCGCCAACGATAACATGCAGTCTAGACTGATTTTACCCTATTTCGTTACAGGTGTACAGTTCAGGTATGAGTGTCCAATTCAGCCAAAGATCCCGTTGTTCTTGATTGTTTTTGGAGCTTTTGGGGTTTTGCGAAACTTGAGCATGATCTTCAACAGTGGAAAGAAAAGATTTACAGATGAGCAGGAAAACCAAGAAAGGGAAGATGCAAAAAAATCCTCTTTTGAAGGCTTAATTGACTGTTTTTTGATCGCATGGTTTATCTGCGGAAATGTTTGGGTTTACCGAAACTATAAACCAGACTACAATAACGTGAACAGTGACAAATATTGTCACCCAACCCTTTATCTATTCGCTTTTTGGCTAAACACAGCAATTTACATTGTCATCGGCACTTCTTGTTGCTGCTTTTGCTGTGTCGCTTGTTTGGTGGCTATGTTCGACGAAAGCTAAATCCAAGGAGAAATAGCCTGCTCACAGTTTGAAATCATCGCATCAAAATACACGAAGATGATTCTGTTAATCAAGAGCGTTAATCGTTTGTTTAATAGCTAAAATTTTTATTATTTCTTGTTAAAAAACTCAAATTATAAAACTCAAAAGGATAGAAATTCAAAGCTGTAACTAGATACTTGTCTAGTAAAACAGAAGTTAGATGACCTAATTAATGAACTTTTAGATAAGAATTTTTCAAGATCCGTGGCAAATATTGCCTTTACCTTTTTTCTAAAGCATTAGCGTTAACGACTAGAATATGCATATTTGCTTGAAAGAGAACAGAAAAAGAACAGAGAGGAAGAGTGCACACCTTATCTTTCGAGTCGTGTCTCTTTCCCTCTCCGTATCATACGACGTAACGTTTAATATTGATATCTACATTTAGTTGTGTATTTCAATTTTTATGTCAAGGGGCAGAATTTCCAAAACTGAGGCTGAGCTACTGTAAAATGTAGTTTTGAACATCGTTTTATCTCAAAAACGAGGATTTCTAGCCATGTGTGGGTGCTTTTCGGAGAATATTCAAACTTGGCGACAATGAAGGTCGTCTCACTCACTTTTTTGGCAAATGAGGCCTAAACACCTCCCTAGAGCGAAAAAGCTAGCAATCGCACTGCTTACACCCTATTAATTTGAGCCTCAAATTTAAATAACAAATTAAGAAAAATCTAGCCTCAGATTTTCGAAAAAATTAAGAACAGTCAGCCTGAACTTAAATTTATTGGTTCTTATTTAAAAAAAAGAGACGAAATTCGGTTTTTGTTTCTAAAAGTATTTTTCTTTATTCTAAAGAAGTTTCATGTCTAAAAAATTCCATCATGGCGTTGCGAACTCTGAGATGCTCAATTTAACAAAATTTCCGCCCCTGCTTTCTGATCACACCGTTTGTGGCTCCAGCTAAGTTTATGCCCGTAGAATGCAATATCCACATTCAAATATAGATGTTAATTAATAGATGAAGTGTAAAAGACGTATTATATACTTTCCTTTGCAATTTAATAGAGTTTAAAAGAGAGTAAATCTTATAGTCTGTCTTTGATTTATGTGATTATGTCAATAATTGATATCTCAATGTATGAAGAGCATCATACTCATTATTGTAAAAGCACTCGCCTCTAAAGAACTTTTTGCGTTATGCAGAAATCTAGCCGAGGATTATCTTACGTAACTCAAGGCTTCTCATGAGATTTTACATGGTGTAAAAAGTTCAAAGGAGAATTTTAAGCAGACCGTTTTTAATAAGCAATGAATCTTTATTTCCTCGCCCAACGCTGTTAGCGATTACTTGAAGGACTCCTGGAGCTTTTATTTTTTCCTACCAGTTATAGATTCTGAATGTTATCTCCCGTTGTTCTCGGTCTCTTTAACAGGGTGCGGGGACCTCAAAATGCTCCCAAATAAAAGTAAAGAAAATGGAGAAAAGTAAAGAGGAATGTAACAAGACGCTCCTTCTGCTCTTTTCTTTGTTCTACTTTGCTTCATATGAGACTCTAGTACCCAAGTTGAATTTAAACATATTTAAATTATCGAAAACTAATCATTGTCCTTTCCAATGAGCACCCCCGTCCAATGAGCTTTTAAAAGTCACTAGGCTCCCATTAGAGTATTTACAGTATTCCATCATGGGACAATTTTCGGGATAGATTTTTCAAAATTTTCGAGTATAAATCAATAACCCAAATAATTATTTCTGGAAATTCTGGCACTCCCCTGTACCGTACCCCTATGACCATACCCAAACGTTTTGAGCGCCCTTATTTCTCCCACACCCATGTGTGTTCGGTCTCGAGGTCAAGCTGAGGTTCGTGGTATACTATACATGAAGTATCTAATTCGTTAATGGCCTCATGGTTCGATTTCAGAGAGAGCATTACACAACGGAAGAGATTGAAGCAATCTGCTATACTTGTCAACAAATTTACCGTACTAGACAATTAGAAATGAAAGGAAAAGAACGGATTTATTTTGGAAAGTAAAGTGCTTCCAACATCAAAAAGATAATTCCGTAGTCCGAAATAATCGTGATGACTTGTATCTGTTGAACTAAATTTATTCTAACTGGTCATTTTACAAAGTTTATCTCCAACCTAACGAACACCAGCAAGTTCAAAACTTATCACCAAGTTTGATGAAGGACTACCCAGCAAGTAACATTCAGTTAATTTTATCGACCTAGTCACGTCTGGCCTATTGGGCGGCAGCTCCGAACCACAATCAATATGATCATTGAACATGTAGAAGCTTTGAGGTCATGGTTGACCGACAAGTTAAGACCAATGTAAGTTTGAATGCAACTATCTTTTTTCTTTGAAATTTGAAGATGATTAACTCTTTTTTCAGAGAGACCTGATCCTTAGTTGGTACGTCTAAAACCATAATTTTTTGTACCTTATTATTTCATTTGACGTGTGGATTAATTTTAGCTTAAAAAGCTCAATTCAATTTCGAAACAATGGTTTCTGTAAGAAACATTTCACTGTATAATAACTGTCACAAATGTCTATTAAAACTGAATCTTTTTAATAGACAAATTTTACCTATTCTTATTATTATTGTTGCAAGCTGCTTTTATTTCAACTTAAATTTATGTTTTTGAATGTCAAGTCAACAGCGTGATTATTGTGACATTTTGATTTGTAATAAGTGATTAGATATAGTAACTATTTAACAAATGATTTTGGTTGATATGGAGAAAAATTGCGAGCAAGTCCTTTAGTTTAATAATAGCCTGCAGCCAAAAAAGGCTTGTAACAAAAATTTAGGAATTATATAACAAAACAAAAAAAATTTATATTTTTCTTGGTGACGCTATATGATTAAAAAACTCTATGATTTGGTAATACTACTTGAGCAAGTTGTAACAAAAGTGAAGGTAAACTGTTTGCACTGAAATTAATCATTTACTGATTACTAGCACCATTGTGAAGTGAGGGAAAATAGCCAAGAACTTGTACTGACCCCAAGGCCCTGAAATAAAAAAAAAATTCACAATTTCAACTGTCTTATTTTACACCAAAACAAAGCTATTTTTACCCAAATTTTAGTTCAAAATAGTGTTTAATAATTCAAGTGTGTAATAAATACTTACAGCAATTTATTTTGCATATGAGTATTTGCTCATAATAGATGATGAGATCTAAGTTTACATTACGTTCCCTTTGAGTGGTAATATTCTTTGCCATTAAAACTTGTTTTCTCTATGACAATACTACAAAATTTCTCCAGCCTCAACATTTATAAGATTTTTTGCCTAAATAAAATGTAAAAAATATTCTTATTTTTTCAAATCTGGTATGGCGTCAGGGAGACATTGCCCTATCTTGAGTAAAATCCACCCTTTTTGGAAAAGAAGATATGTCAGTCCTGTGATTTCCTGATTATGACCATAGCAAAACATGCAACTGCTGAAAATGAGACACAAATATGAAAGCTGAGGCTGAGCAAATTTCTTATAATTTTCTTAAAAAATGGGATGATTCTGAGCGTCAATATTATTCAAAACATATTCTTATAAAAGGAGTGCAGGCAAAGAACAGCCAGAAAACATTTGAATGAATCATCTTGATGTTTGCTCCTCAGTTTTAGAAATAGGCATCAGATTCATTGAAATACTTAATGCCCAAAACATCCTCTTTGATCAGCTGATTTGAGTAATGCTGCCCCCCTCTAAGTGCATGTCTCAACCTTGACAAGATTCTCTAAATGTCCTATTTTATACTACTGAATATTACCAAGTTGTTTAATGATTTTTTATATAAAAGGAAATAGAACATGGTGTTTCTCAGAAATACCAACAGACAGTTTCAATTTCTGTTTACTTTTATGTTAAGTCTTGTGAATAGTCTTATCACCGATTGCTACAAGGAAAATAAAAACAATGCTCTAAAAAGCAAGATGAAATATAATTTGGTCATTGTTAAAATGAATTTTGAAATCATTTTTATGACATAAAAGATTTCTATGATACTTTCATATCCTGCTTGTTATGCTTCATTCGCAAAAAGTGTATCAAGCTTATTAGGGTTACCATTTTCTGCTACTCTTATAAATTAGAGCTGCATGTGGAAAAATGATACATATTTGGTATCAATCTAAATTATAAAAGATAGCATGATACATTTTAAAGACATATGTTTTTAAAGTTATAAGCATTTAGTCAAGAAAGGGTTTGTAATTCATGTTGTTTTGCATTTCCTTCTAAAGTTATCATCTTTTCATGCATTCCGTAGATGTGATGCTGATCCTTCTGCTTTGGCAAAGTATGTAGTGGCATTGATTAAAAAAGAAAAACCATTGGATGAGCTTGCTGATGTTTGTAATGATCAGCTTGATGTCTTCCTTGCAGACGGTAATTAATTCTTATTATGCTCTATCATTTTATTGTTGCAAACACTATTGTGTGATGACTAAACAAAGTCCTCATTTTTTAAAATAATTCGGGCTTGCAACTTGAGTTGAAATAATAATTTGTGAATGAAATTATTTGTTTCTCAGAGACAAAGACATTTGTTGCTGACCTGTTTGAAGCACTTGAAACAAAATCTTACTTGCCAAGTAATAGTTTGATGATTCAGCCAACAGCTCAAGCACCAGAGGTAAGATGTCAGTTACATCAGAATATTTTGATTATAAATTGAACTTTTTTAATTTTTTTTATTGACAAATAATTTTTCTTGACTATCAAGGCCTTATGCTTAAAAGTGTTAATTTTGATGCAAAGGTTGGAGGAGTTAAGGAGACAATGTTATCAGTGACGGACATTTGGTCAAATATTGTGGGGGGGGGAGCAAGCCTATTGTTTTGATAAGATGACATCCAACTTGATAACCCTCTTCCCCAAGTGTCCTCCACTTTGGGTTATACCTAGACTAACAGCAGGGGCGGCGTGGGGTGGTATTAAAGGTATTAGTCTAATACCATTTTATTTTCAAAGGAAGGCGACTTTGGGTCTCTGAGATTGCAGGAAATTTATTTTGCTTTTTGTAGGCTGCCACTTTTTCACAACAATTTGATCGATGCGACCAGCTCTATTCATATAGCCAAGCTATATTTGCTTTTCTGTTCGTTAAATGAAAGCTTTCCTAATCCTCATTGAAATCTTTGAAAAGTGTAATCCATGCCGTAATCAGCAGCCCTGGCCATGGTATTAGCCTCCAAAAACTAATACACTGCCCCGAAATTTCTTTTGTCTGTTGTGGTCTGCATGACGTGAATTTCTCTTGTTGAGCCATGGTAGAAGAATGGGTGAACAGCAGTAAGGTATTAGTTTTTCATTTCTAATACTACGAGGGCCACTGTCAGTGGAAGGGAAGGTGGAAAGAGCCCCAGCTCTATTCTAAGGCCTCAGCTTATAGAAAAAATATTTCTGGAAATTAACTTTATGAATTTACAAAATGTAGCTGTACTTTTGCTAGCAATGCCTTTGGATGGTTAATTTGATTGACACAATTTAGACACTGAATATAAAGAGCAACAGTCATGAAATAATTTGTTTAAGCTAAAGGCAGTTGTAAAAGTTGTTTTGTATGAACTGTATGTTTTGTAAAACTTCGATTCTATATGATTGTAGAGTCATAGGCAACATTCTCACATTATTTCTCTCGGTTTCTCAAATCAAATGATACATCTTACGTTTTTTTGCTGCATTACTCTAAAGTAAATCGCTCGCTTTATCGTAATAGAATCTCATTCGCGGGCCAAAAGCCTCATGGTATTAGAATTAATGGGCTAATACTTTGGGGGCTCCATTACTGGGCAGCAAACCGCTGTATCAAAACACGATTTCGCTCGAGTAATTTGCCGCAGCCATAATTCATTTGTATTTCGTAGGACCGATCCTTCACCCAAAACTAGTAGGATGAACTACATTACCACAGGGTCGTCAGTGTCTGGGGGGAGACAACGGGGGCCAGTGCCTTCAAATAATTTTGTAAGATATGGTATTGCCAAAAGCTATTTTAAACCATCATATCGAAAAGGTCATTTTGCCCACCTTCTTAAATAAGAACATATAAGCTCTACCCCTGTTAAATAGTTTCAGGACCTTGCAGGGGGACCTTCTTATGTCTTAATTTCGGAGGCTAATACCAATACTTTTCTACTCCCAGCCGCCCCTGACTAACAGGCAAATTTGGAGGTGCCCTCATGGATAAAAACGACAAACTATTTTCTTTTCGATGGAAAATAATTCTTATGGTATTAAAACATTGTAGATTGTGTAAAGTTATTTTTATGTAATGAAAAAGACTAATTTAATGAACAAGAAGCAAAATACTTATTGTATTAAAATTTCATCTCATAAAATTCATGCTATGAAAGTCCTGGTAATATGAAATTTGTTTGCGTGCTGGTAATCACACACCTTGAATTGTGAAGCCTTTTACTTAAAGAGGTTAATTTGAATAGAAAGTTGTTAATTTGAGTAACCTTAAAATGAGATGGTAGGATTATAGTTATGAAAATATTGTTGTAGATCGAACCAGAAGCTCAAACTAGTCCAGAAAATGCAATCAAAAAAGAAGCAGAGGCTGAGGTCAGTGAGGCGTTGCTAGACAGTCAAGCTGATTCTGGAATAAATGCTGAAGGTGAGGAGAGAATTGATAGCACAGAGAACACTACGCGGGATAATGAGGTTGACAGTAAAGAAAAAGAAAATCTGCCAGAAGATGGAAGCAAGAAAGGAATTGTTGATTTTAAAGATAATGATCTGGAGCGTGGTCATGTTCGTTCGCATAGAAATTGGAGGAGAGAGAAGGATTTTGAAAGTTCTGTTGACGAATTCCTAAATGCAAAGAAGCCAAAAAGTGACTGGGAAAGAAGTGGATCTCGAGGTCAAGTTGGCAGAAGTATATCACCAAATACAAGAAGAAGCCCAAGGAGGCAGTCACCAGGAAGAAGGCACAGATCAAGGAGGGACAGAAGAAGAAAAAGCGAGGAAAGAAGAAGTTTGAGAAAAAGAGCAAGATGTAGGGACTACGACGGTAAGGTGTTTGTGTAAATGATAAACCAACTGACACTGCCTTTTGTAGTGTATTGTTAAAACTTTCACCCAGTGGAGATGAAAGTATCTTTTGAGATGGCTTTTAAATGATGATTGCATTTTGTGTTTTACATATAACCCTCGAGGCAATTTATCTTATGTAAGATTGAAATTTTGGGCGATATAAAGATTTTACATGTTGAAATTTATTGGCCCCATATTTAGAAGACCAGCTATGGGTCGTGGATGCCAAATTTTATAGTGAAAGTTTATTTTCAACATGTACAGTCAAACGAGCATGAGTTGGATATTTTGTAACCAATACAGAATAGTTCACGATCAGCTTGTTGACTATTTCAAAAAGAAACCACTGCTAAAAAGAATCAGCATGCATTTCGTAAGCTACACTCAACTATCACGTCTTTGATAAAAAGTACTGATGAATGGCTTAGAAACATTGATTCTCAAAGGTCAATATGACCATGTTCTTGGATCTAAAAAAAAGCTTTCGATACAGTGGATCACAAAATATTGCTCGAAAAACTTTCTAGATATGGTGTACAGGGCAATGTGATTAACTGGTTTCGATCCTACATAACCCAACGTAAACATTTTGCAGAATCAATGGTGAATTTTCCAAGCCCTTAAGGATAACATGTGGCATTCCCCAAGGTTCCTGCCTAGGCCCCCTTCTCTTCACCATATACCTTAACGACTTTGAAGAATGTTTAAAGTTTCCATCAGCAAGCGTATATACTGACGATACACACTCGGCAGTAGTCTCTGAAGACATTAACAAGCTTACACAAATGATGAATGAGGAATTAGAAAATATTTCTGAGTGGATGAGGATCAATAAATTAAGCGCAGATCCTAAGAAAAACTGAGTTTATGCTTATCGGTCATCCACAATAAAATTGAAACTCTAGCTCCTCTGAAACTTAATGGCAGAGAAATAAAACGAGTGAAAAACTCTAGGTATTATTATGGACGATAATCTCAACTGGAAGAAACATTTAAAATCTTTGAAAGGAAAAGTAGCAAGTGGTCTGTCTGCGTTGACAAAACTGAAGCACATCCTTCCACAATGAAAACCATGTGAGGTTTTTCATGCGCTGGTTGAGAGTCACCTCCGATACGGGAATGTTGTCTGGGGTAGCCTGCCAAACACGAAGCTACAAACGCTTCGGCTTTTACAGGATAGGGCATTCTCAATTATTAAAAATGCCAAACGAAAGGACCCCTGAACTAATGACTGGCTAAGAGTTGATCAGATCATCTCTTTTGATAGATCTATCATGACACACAATATAGTTAATAAGCAGTGCCCTGAGAGCCCCTGGAACAATTATAATCAGAGGATTGAAATTTCTAGTTATAGCACAAGAAACAATAGAAATCTCGACATCCCAAAATTTGGGCTTTAAGCCTCTCTGGGCTTGAAGCTTGGAACGGAATACCCATGGAACTAAGGGAGATCATTTAGTTTTACATACAGTTGGTCAATTTCGATGGTCCAAAGGGATCATACCTATCATAGTTTGGCTGTAAAATCTGTAGACGATTGGAGCATCCAGGTCGAAGATCTGCAAAGTTGTATTGAGAACTTAATTGCTTTGAGAACTTAATAGTTTTGGAAATTTTTATCACGATGGTATTCTTTTTCAGAGAAAGGTTTCTGTCTCCTTGGCAATAGCTGTCCTTACGACCACGGCAGAGACCCAGTTGTTGTTGATGACACAAGTATACCAAATATTCTAAATATGCAAGGTCTTCCGCCGGCTCTGTCTGCTCCACCTGTTCCGCCACTAGCCCAAGTCCCGGACATGTTTCCAGGAATTTTCCAAATGCCAGCAACGACGATTGTTGCAAATCCGGTAGCCTCAATACAGTCCGCTGGGCTTAGTTTAGATACCGGATTGAAATTGGTAGTTGGTCAGCAGCGTCCGGTACCTACTGCTTCAGAACTTCCACAGAGCTTGCAGTTATTTTCTCAGCCACAACCGGCGCTCACAACAATTCGCCCACTTCTGGAAGAGGGAAAAAATGAAGAGGGAAAAAAGCAAGCAGATAAAGGTTAGCTTCTGTGTTTTGTTTTTATAATCAGAGTTTTGTTTTCTGTCTGCTAATTGATGTATCTTCGAGATAAATTTTCGTTAGTGAATTTGATTTTGTTTACTGGTTTGGTTGCTCTGTATATATGCTGTTAATATGCATTGCTCTGCATACAGTTACTGAGGTTGCCAAGTCAGCTCCTGGTGGGGAAGCATACAACCCGGAGGAGCCGTCCATTGGTCTCACGGACACAGGGAAAAAGGCTGCATCTTGGGCTTCTTCACAAGAGACTGCAAACATTAGCAACCATAGTAAAGACAAATTTGGTGCAACTAAATTCTACCCACCTGCATCCATAACAGGTAATCCAGATTCATGTTTGCTAGAAAGTTATGTATATGTTGTTTTTAGAATTAAACACTCATTTATATTCAGTTAAGGAACTACTCTAAATTAAAGCTCTTTGTGAAGGAAGCACGCTGAAACTATGCTGAATTCAATTATTATCCACCTTCTTTTTTCTCTTTATATAGCTGAGCAGTTTCTACACAGAATGTACACTCCATCTCCACCTCTTGTGCCAACACCCCTTGCAGGGGTATCATTACCCGATGCCGTCAAATCTATCCTGCAGCGAAGTGTAATGGCTGCGCAGGTTTCCGCTTTACCAATGGTCTCCCCCCTTTCTGTTGCCAGTCTGGCCCCGGTTTCGCAGATGCAAAATGTTCCTGCAAGGCGCCCGTTTATGAACCAGACTATCCTCGAAATAAGAAAGATCCCTAGAGACTCCAATACTGTGGTCAAGTTAAGTGAATACTTCCAGAAATTTGGGTCTATAGTAAACATTCAGGTATGTATTTTGCCATGAGATTCGTTTAAGGGGTAGGGGGCATCTGGTTTTGAGGTGCGACATTTTTTGAGCAGGGAGATTTAAGTATGTTTTTTCTATGTTTTGAATTTTCAGTGATTAAGATTTCAATTCATAATTTGGATAGGTAATTTTAACTGCTTAACTTTGAATATTTTTTAGCATTGTAGGCATAAATGGAAACTTGCAAATAAGACATAAATACCGTGTCTGCATCCTTTGTAAGGCAGTGTTTGCTCGTCATCGAGTCAGGGATGATTCAGTGTGTCTTGCGTTTGGAATACGATCTAGGGATCGAGTCCCTGCCAATGCCAAAAACTTTTACTTAGAGTGTGGATGGTTGCCAGCTCTCTGCAATTCCCTAAATGGATCACGAGACGTGGTCCCATCGAGAAAAAAGACCAGCATACTGCTAAATAAGCAAAGCTTCTCTCGTCCTAACAACTAGCTTCGGAAGCAGCAAATGCAAATCCAGTTTGATTATATTGCCTTTCTTCACTATCTTTCCATATGTACAAGCATAAACCGAGGATATTCAGTTTGATCATGCTTATTATTCATTTCGTTAAGGTCAACTATGAAAACGATCCACAGGCAGCTCTGATTCAGTTTGCAAGCAATGCCGAGGCAAGACGGGCCTATAACTCGCCCGAAGCTGTGCTTGGAAACCGCTTTATCAAATTATTTTGGCACAACAAAACTAAGAACTTGCCGCCAACGGTACAGTTTTGTATATTTTTATTTGTAAGCTATTTTGGAGAGATGTTATTGGTAAGCAATTTAGCCTTGATAATGACGAAATTAACTACATATTTTCTTGAAGTGTATAAACTATCTTTGATTTGTTTATATTTTTAATTGATTTTGAGACATAACCTTTTAGGCTGATCATCTATTCTCCAACCATCCTTCAAATTTGAATCTAACATCAGCAAACTTTTCAGTGCTCCAATAAGACAAAGTGAAAATTTGTACCATGCCTATACCTGACCAGGGTTAAGATGAAAGCCTGTCTGCTCACACAAAGAATAGCGTGTTAAGTTAGTCACAGTAACAATATGAAACCTGTTGTAAAAGTTATTAGCTTCATAGCGGTTAGCTTAAACTTTCCCAGTTATTTAAAGGTGAACTCTTGCATATCTTTAATTTAAATTCGTAGATTATCCAAGCTGTCACAAAAGTGGCTCATTTGAAGCACTTCAATACAGTGTATCATCTAATGTTTATTACCCATAGGTGACCAATAGAAGGGGATTGTAAAAAAGCAAGGGGGTTGGAATCTCAAAAATGATTTGAGCGGGTTGGAATAAACGAGGGGATATTTATTTTTCGGAGGGTTTGAAATAAAAGATCCAAATGTACAAAGAAGAACATCGATAACCAATAAGTGAAACTCTGGAGGATTTGACAGACTGGGGGATTTATAGGAAAAAATTTTCTCCGGACAACCTGCAAAGTCAATGGCCAAAAATATAATAAAGCGGTTGTTACTAGAGTGGAGAGAGAGAGGGGTTGTGCGAATCTTGAAATATTAGTGAGCGAGGCCCTTTTTATAAGGCACCCTAAATTACTTTAGTTAGGTTTGGTTGTTTATTTTGTGTTTTTTCCTCCAGTCAAACCAGGCACAGCTTTCTGTATCGCACAATGCCACTTCAAATGTCGCTTCTACTACGGAGTCAAATATACCGCCCACAAGTGATATTCAGACTAAACGGCCTAAATTGCCCTCCACTGGTCAGACAACTTATGTCAACCCACAGAACACACCAGAGGCATTACAGAAGAAACAAGCCGAGATGAAAAAGGTAACGTGCCCTTTCACGGCCTGGTCAAGTCAAGAACTTTGCATTTTTCAGGGTTTCCCAGAGTTTCTTTCAGAAACGGTTTTGAGTTCAGTACAAAATTTCTTTTAAAAGTCTCGAAATGCAACGTGAAAACTATCTATATTTTTTGTAATTTTTATGCAAATCCTTAATAAAAGAGTATACGCTTCCTTAATCATATTTATACGCTTCCTTAATCATATTTAAACATTTGGGAGTTCTTAAGTGTGACGTTATAAAAATTTATGTTTAGAATTATTGACTTTTAAACACATAACCCGAGAGATCATCTTTAATATTGCTCAAAGTTCAAAATCTGTTAAATATATTTAATTGGGCGAGACTTTGATGGAGAAAAAGGCTTATGGTCATATGTCTCATCTAATTTTCAGCATATTTACCACAGTCAAAGGTGTTTCATTGTGCTTTTTCAGGTTACTCGATCCGAATTCACAATTTCTAAACAAGGTTTTTATGACGTCATCAATTAAGAACTCAGTGGTATCACTTAAGATTTTAATAAGCTTGTTACCAATAAATTTCTTTCCACTACATCATCACTTTTTCCCAAGGATGACATTTATAACATGCTTTATTAAATACGTTGCTGAGCCCATTTTTAAAGATAGAAAGCAGAAAAGTAAACTTAAAATTAAAGTGAGATTTGCAAAACAGCTACTGTTCAATGGCTCACTAATAATTCTTTTCTCTCACAGGAAGCTTTGAAGAAAAAGTTAGAAATTCAGAAGCAAAGAAGATTGCTTCTTGAAAAGCAGATCAAAGAGCAAAAGGTATTAATTTGTTGACTGACATTTACATTCCATGACATTTACATATTTTTTGAAGTAACATTTGACAACTTTTGTTTAGATTTTTCTCCATGTACTTGGAATAACATTTCAGATCAAGTGACAAAATTACTGTGTCTTTATCCACTCAGGTGTTGATAACAAAACTTGAGAAGACGAAGAACATGAGTGCCAGCGAAAAGCAGCTTCTTATGACTGTGAGTTTAGAATTTCTAAATCGATAAATTTTAAGAATTTACAAGCCCTTCACATTTTTAGGTCTCTTAGATACTATGTTTTCCCTTGTATCAGTCACAGATTTTAGCTTCTAGCCGATTTTAGCTTTTACCCTTTCAAAAGATTTCAAAACACTGAATGTACATTAAGTGCATCCATATTTCGAAAATATCAGATAGCAGTAACTGCAACTAAGAATGGTGATCTGATTTATGTATGATATAACATACTCATTTTGTTTATATACTCAATATACAAAATGGTAGAAAAAAACATTATTTCTGTTACCAAGACTTTCTTCAAACCGCAAAGCCCCAGTTCCCATCTTTCTTTGTACCTTAATCTTTACCTCGGTATTCTTCCCTCAAGATTTCTTACATTAATTGCCGTGTCTTATCATCTATATAATTTTTTAGGCTTTGAAAACGTTAACGATTAGCATTGAGAAACTTCGAACAGATTTAGAGTCTCAGACCAAAGCCAGCAAACCAATGTCCAAGGAAGATGTAAGTTGATTCTAGGTTTTGTTTTATTCTTGAAATATACCCTTGCCATTTGTGTACTTCAATCCTATTGTATAATTTACTCCATATCGTGGTTTTCTATTTTGCTCTGGGGTCTTAAGGAAAATTACTCTATTTACCAATTTGTCAAATAGTGTTCGCTTCTGAAAAGGCAGTGCAGTGCATGCTTTGGTGTATAGTACGCCTCGGTTCTAATTTCCAACTCGATTTTCGAGCTTTATGCAATCATGAGACAACTTTTCCAATACGTGCTTCGATTATCAGAAGCATGTGAGGTTCCCTTAATTTAGATACCTTCCACTAATGTTTTTTCACTAAACTGTACATCTTCATATCAAGACCCTCACATTTTATGAGCCTACAAGATATCATGTCCTTTTTTGTTTGTTTGTTTGTTCATGGAAGCTTAAATTCAAAACCCGAAGATTTGAAATCCACGGCTTCAATATTGTCACGCCTGCTTTGCACAACCAATTAATGATAACCAACATTAGCGTTTTAAACAATAATATGTATTTTTTTTACTGCTTTCAAACCTAAGTAGCCGAAGATGGAAAACTATTTTCACTTGCGCAATTCTTATCTCAAAGAAATGACGATTGCTAAGAACTTTTATGTGACCTTTGAAAAGCCCCTGAATAATTCGATTTTTTGTCTAATCCTTTTCCTTTCGAATTTTCCATGGATTTTTTTTCTGACTCTAAAAGCCTTCATTGTAAAACTGGCCTACTTTAACTTTTACTGCTCATAACCGTAGATGCAAAAAGAAATACTAGACCGTGATATCGAGCTTTACAACAAGCAATTCACCGGAGAAGATCCAGCTGTTTATAAAAACGCTTTGGCTGAACCACCAATGGAGGTTTGTCTTGTTAGTGAATTGTTATCCTATACAGCTATGCACACTCGGCGACTCTTTGAGTTCGCGACACAGTGATTGAGTTCTATTGTTCGTTAGCTTCTTCAGATCGCGCAGGTGGGGCAAACCAGTGAATAATTCATGGAGGCTTTCACTTTTTTCGGCCGTAATACTTCTCTAGAATAGAGAAAAATCCTTTTAGAATGAAAATCTAAATTTCGTTGATTAGCAATGGACCTTGTTTGAGCTACAGAAGAATTTACAAATCTCGATGGCCAAGGCCGTCATTGTAGTTATTGCAGATTTTGTCCGAAATGAGCCATGGCTTGACGAACTTCGAGATGTCTATTATGCAGTGGCAGGCAATTTAATTTGTTTCATAGTTTAAACTATTGCTTCCTTTGTTGTTTGAGGGCAACAGTCTGTTGTTATTCTCTGTTTTTGGGGTACCTTTTCACCCTTTGCACAAAGTGCCTGCCATAGTTTGTTCAGTATGTTAGGAAGATACCTTTTAACTTCTGTTTCTTCTGCTATTATGTATCTCTATGTGGATATGGCAAATACATCCTCAAATGTGGAACCAATAGTTTTATTGCTGAGTTGCTGGATTTCATGAGATTTCTCTTTAATTGAAGTAGTAGCTTTATGACGAGATTTAAAACCAATTAGGAATTTTACTTAATCAAATTTTCTTGTTATTAGTTCTTTTCGTTTTTTTTCATCTATCACTATAAAACTATATATACTTGGTGCCTTATTTCATCGTATTTTATTCTAGTTGCTTGCAACTAACAAAAAAGTTTCCAACAATTTGTAAACTTCTTATTCCAATAATTGGTTGTAAAATCATCGTCAGTTTCTTGGGCCTTTCAAAATACTTTAATCATCTGCATTTTAGGGTAATAGCCATCTGGCTTCAAATCAGAGACCTCCTGGAAGAGGGCGGGCCAGAGGAAGAGGCAGGGGTGCATTTGCTGGCCGTGGACGGGGGTTCAATCCAAACAATATGAATCAATCAGGAACAAGCGCAGTCGTGGATAACCGCCCAAAACAGATCCTTGTTGCAGGATTTGAAGAACAAGATAAGCAGGCAGTTGTAGCACAGTTTGCAGTAAGTATCCCAATGGCCCCAACTCTGTGTGTTCTTTTTCTTTAAAATTCTTTGAGCTGCTACCAAACATTTCTTTTGTGAGCATCACTAGTCATTGTGGCTTTTTATGGACATCAAAATACCTGGATTCGTAGGGTCATCGTTACAGTACCATTTTGGCTATTCGTGACTTGACTAATAGTGAGCTCGTCCAGCTTTCAATTGACTTTTCTACAGAACAATTTGTGCTGTTCCACAAGAGGTTTATTCACATGTTTGCGTTTCTGTTAAGAAAAGTAATTGAATTGTCTTAAGTATCAGGTCTTCGAATTATCTGCCTATTGACTCTAGCACCTTTGGTTGATTCTCTCAACGGCCTCTTTATCCCCCGTGACTTGATCATGTTTAATCGATATTTGTTTTATAGAGCTATGGTGAGATAGACAAAGTGGATGTGAAGCCGGGTGGTAAATTAGTTCTGTCATTCCATACACGAAAACAAGCCGAAATAGTAAGTTTTTTTATTTCAAATTGATTAAGGGAACTGTTTTTGAATTTTATAAGGTTTTTTCAAACCATCTTTAAAAAACGATAAACATTTTTTTCAAAACCTTTTCAAATTTGAATTCATACTTATTTCAGCAATTTTTTATAATGTCTCTAGTTAACTGTCAAGAGAAGCAAAAATTCATTTTACCAAGAGTTGCTTATCAAAGTTGATTATTTCTTCTTCTCCCTAGGCCGCTACAAAGGCAGCCCTTTTTAATGGAAAACGTTTAGTTCTCGCTTGGTACAACGCAGCCCAGGCCGTCAAACGTGGCTCTGCTTCAACCCCAGACGATAAACCTGCAAAGGTACAAAAAAGGCAGACCAGGAAATCTTCAATTAACAGTCTGCTTGGTGACGATACCAAGGAAGATAGTTTGGTCAGTATTTTTGCGATGTTCTTCATTTTGCACCCCATTTTCGTATGTTTCGATAGTGCTTTGATGGACAGTTCAATCACGTGAACTTTGGAATGGTTTGGCACATTTATTATAAGGCCAAAGTCAAAAGAATGATTATTTTTTACTGAATTTTCCTGTATAATTTTTACACTGTATATCACTCTAGCTATTGATCACTCTAGCCAGCAGGATTCTCGCTGATTCCAGTTTTTCCAGGCGCTACCTAATGGAATGCAACGATTAAATTAAATTTTATGTTTCGTGAAATGAACAGCAGTGTAATGTTTCTATACGATTATGATCTCAACACTTAGTGTTTTTTTCTGTCTGTTTCGGTGTTGTCTGCAAGGACGTTTTAGGTTTGTGAAGCAACGATTTTTAAATAGGCTCTGTTCCAAAACCTTTAAAGCATGTTATCTGTCGCTGTGTCAACGGCTACATAAACACGTGTAACAACAATGTCTTGCCTTTCTTAGGGTGTAAGTTATTGTTTTGTGTTGTGTTTCAGCTTGGCGATCTTGAAGAACGAGACGCTGATCTGTTTTTGTTGGAAGAAGACGAAGAAGAAGACGAGGAGAGGTCCTGGAAAAGATGAACAAGAAACAGCCTTAGCTCAAAGAACGCTTCAAAACAAGTATATTATCAATTAGTTGTAATATAGTCTTTGGTACTCTTATCGTTGGTGTAGTAAAAACCTTTTTGGCCTACGGTTATGTATGATGTACCTCAATCAACGTAGAATATTGGTTGCTTTACCATTGACAATATTCCATAAAAGCCCAGCTTTGAATAACGAAAACCTTAAGTTATTTCCAGGAAACTTATTCGATCCATCTACTGGTGAAAATGCTTTGTATCATAAAAGAGAAGTTATTAATTTCTCCTGATTGCGTGCAAAAAGGCTTTGTTTATGAAAAGGAATCCATTACTGATTGTAGAGGGAAAAACTGAATTAGGTTCCCTATCTGTTAATTCTCAACTAAATTATCTTTGAAAACATATTGCTGCTGCAGAACAAATGTTTATTTTTGAATGATATTATTTGGTTGAATTTCGGTTGCCACTTTATCTGAACATGCCAGTTATCGGTCCAAGCTTTTTTAAGAATCGTTGTGTCCTTGTACAACATTTACGTTTTGAGGTACTTTGGTTGAACGTGCGTTTGGACGACAAAGTTTGGTTTCATTTTAGAATCTAACTTAGTGCAGCATTTAAGCAAATGCTTGTTTTAATTGTCAGTAGAAATACATTTATGTATTAGCTGTTAGCTGTGTTGTTGTAAGTTATGAATTATTGATGAATGAAACAAAAGAAATAAAAAGTGAGTGCAAATGAAAAGAGTAAAAGATCGAAAGAAAGGAAGTAAGGAAGTGAAATGGTAAAAAGATTCATTAAAAGATATCAAGAAAAGATTTATGAAGAAAATATGAAGATTCAAAATAGTTAAAAAAATCTCAAGCACTCACAAAATAAAAGAAACTGAAGAATGATAAAGATCAAAAATGAAAGAGAGCGAATGAGGAAAGGAAAAAATAAAAATAAACCAGTTATGTATTCTTACTCAAACACACACGATTGTATACCAGTTTGCAAATACGATGGCACAACTAATGGTATTGCTGGGCTGAGAAGAAAATGATCAGGAAGAAAACGATCAGAAAGAAGTTCAAAAAGAAGGTTCTAGAGAAAAAGTGTTTGAAGAAAAGCAAAGAACTTTGAGGGCTACCATTCCTTAACAGCCAAAGGTAGGTGAATAATCTTTTAGATATATACTCCCTTTCTAATGTCTTATTTCGAAGTTGTGTTGAATACCGTGTTCCTTGTGCTTCCGGTTGATGTTTAAGAAAACATTTCACTAAGACTTAAGAATTTCTTTTCAAATAAAACTGCCCGGTAAAAAATAATGCAATGCCACAATTTTCGTCAAAAGGTAAGCCTATAACCTTGAGTAATTAATAACATCAAATAGATACAATAAATGCACTCAAACAAAAAATTAAGTTGCAAGTCCCAATTTTCTAAAGAAAGGCATCCTGCTGAAGATTGATAATTTTCCCAAGGTTATAGGCTTACCTCTGAAGAAAATTAGACGATCTCCGAAAATGTTTCCAATTACCTTTCTTCTTCCTAAAAGTATAAAAACGTGATTAAATGAATGCCCTCAATGCAATTTAACAAGACATTGAGATGAAAGTCCTTATTTTCAGAAGAAAAACATTCTGCTAAAGATAGCTTGTTTTTGCAAGGCTAAAGGCTTAGCTTTTGGCAAAAATTATACCCTACACGAAAATGGTCCTAACCCCAGACCCCTTTGCTAGAAATATGAATGAAACACTAAATAAATTCTTTAAAGTAAATCTAGCTAGAAATATGAAGACGAAGTGCATGTTCTACAAAAAAAATGGTTATGTGAAACTTGCCACGATGCTTAGGCTATAGGCTTGGCTTTTGATGAAAATTATACGAACTACGAAAATGGTCCTAGCTCCAATCTCTTTGCTAGAGGTAGAGAAGGCGTGAAAGGAAAGCCTCAAAATAAATCTAGCTTGAAAGATTGAAGGTAAGTACATGTCTTTTAAAGATTAACATCCATGTGAAATTGGCCAATTTTGCTAAGGCCATAGGCTTGCCTTTTAATAAAAATTATACGAACTAGGAAAATGGTCCTAGCTCAAATCTCTTTGCTAGAGGTAGAGAAGGCTTGAAAAGAAAGCCAAAAAAGAAATCTAGCTTGAAAGATTGAAAGTAAGTACATGTCTTTTAAAGATAAACATCCATGTGAAATTGGCCAATTTTGCTAAGGCCATAGGCTTGCCTTTTAATAAAAATTATACGAACTACGAAAATGGTCCTAGCTCAAATCTCTTTGCTAGAGGTAGAGAAGGCGTGAAAAGAAAGCCAAAAAAGGAATCTAGCTTGAAAGATTGAAAGTAAGTACATGTCTTTTAAAGATAAACATCCATGTGAAATTGGCCAATTTTGCTAAGGCCATAGGCCTGCCTTTTAATAAAAATTATACGAACTAGGAAAATGGTCCTAGCTCGAATTTCTTTGCTAGAGGTAGAGAAGGCGTGAAAATAAAGCCTTAAAATAAATCTAGCTTGAAAGATTGAGTGTAAGTACATGTCTTTTAAAGATAAACATCCATGTGAAATTGGCCAATTTTGCTCAGGCTATAGGCCTGCCTTTTAATAAAAATTAAACGACCTGCGAAAATTATCCAAATTATCAATCTGTTTTGCTTGAGATATAAAAAACGTCAAATAAATACAATTAATGCACTAAAGCAAAAAATTAAACTGAAAGTCCCAAGTTTTTATAGAAAGGCATCCTGCTGAAGATTGATAATTTTCCCAAGGTTATAGGCTTACCTTTTGATGAAAATTATACGACTTCCGAAAATGTTTCCAAATAGCATTTTTTTTCCTAAAAGTATAAAAACGTGATTTAATAAATGCCCTCAATGCAATCTAACAAGACATTGAGATGAAAGTCCTTATTTTCAGAAAAAAGACATTCTGCTAAAGATAGCTTGTTTTTGCAAGGCTAAAGGCTTAGCTTTTGGCAAAAATTATACCCTACACGAAAATGGTCTTAACCCCAAACCCCTTTGCTAGAAATATGAATGAAACACTAAATAAATGCTGTAAAGTAAATCTAGCTAGAAATATGAAGGGAAGTGCATGTTCTACAAAGAAAAATGTTTATATGAAACTTGCCACTTTGCTTATGCCATAGGCTTGCCTTTTAATAAAAATTATACGAACTACGAAAATGGTCCTAGCTCAAATCTCTTTGCTAGAGGTAGAGAAGGCGTGAAAAGAAAGCCTTAAAATAATTCTAGCTTGAAAGATTGAAGGTAAGTACATGTCTTTTAAAGATAAACATCCATGTGAAATTGGCCAATTTAGCTAAGGCCATAGGCTTGCCTTTTATTAAAAATTATACGAACTACGAAAATGGTCCTAGCCCAAATCTCTTTGCTAAAGGTAGAGAAGGCGTGAAAAGAAAGCCTTAAAATAAATCTAGCTTGAAAGATTGAGTGTAAGTACATGTCTTTTAAAGATAAACATCCATGTGAAATTGGCCAATTTTGCTAAGGCCATAGGCCTGCCTTTTAATAAAAATTAAACGACCTGCGAAAATTATCCAAATTATCAATCTGTTTTGCTTGAGATATAAAAAACGTCAAATAAATACAACTAATGCACTAAAGCAAAAAATTAAACTGAAAGTCCCAATTTTTTATAGAAAGGCATCCTGCTGAAGATTGATAATTTTCCCAAGGTTATAGGCTTACCTTTTGATGAAAATTATACGACTTCCGAAAATGTTTCCAAATAGCATTTTTTTCCTAAGTATAAAAACGTGATTAAATGAATGCCCTCAATGCAATCTAACAAGACATTGAGATGAAAGTCCTTATTTTCAGAAGAAAAACATTCTGCTAAAGATAGCTTGTTTTTGCAAGGCTAAAGGCTTAGCTTTTGGCAAAAATTATACCCTACACGAAAATGGTCCTAACCCCAAACCCCTTTGCTAGAAATATGAATGAAACACTAAATAAATGCTGTAAAGTAATCTAGCTAGAAATATGAAGGGAAGTGCATGTTCTACAAAGAAAAATGTTTATATGAAACTTGCCACTTTGCTTATGCCATAGGCTTGCCTTTTAATAAAAATTATACGAGCTACAAAAAAGGTCCTAGATCAAATCTCTTTCCTGGAGGTAGAGAAGGCGTGAAAAGAAAGCCTTAAAATAAATCTAGCTTGAAAGATTGAAAGTAAGTACATGTCTTTTAAAGATAAACATCCATGTGAAATTGGCCAATTTTGCTAAGGCCATAGGCTTGCCTTTTAATAAAAATTATACGAACTACGAAAATGGTCCTAGCTCAAATCTCTTTGCTAGAGGTAGAGAAGGCGTGAAAAGAAAGCCAAAAAAGAAATCTAGCTTGAAAGATTGAAAGTAAGTACATGTCTTTTAAAGATAAACATCCATGTGAAATTGGCCAATTTTGCTAAGGCCATAGGCCTGCCTTTTAATAAAAATTATACGAACTACGAAAATGGTCCTAGCTCAAATCTCTTTGCTAGAGGTAGAGAAGGCGTGAAAAGAAATCCTTAAAATAAATCTAGCTTGAAAGATTGAGTGTAAGTACATGTCTTTTAAAGATAAACATCCATGTGAAATTGGCCAATTTAGCTAAGGCCATAGGCTTGCCTTTTATTAAAAATTATACGAACTACGAAAATGGTCCTAGCCCAAATCTCTTTGCTAAAGGTAGAGAAGGCGTGAAAAGAAAGCCTTAAAATAAATCTAGCTTGAAAGATTGAGTGTAAGTACATGTCTTTTAAAGATAAACATCCATGTGAAATTGGCCAATTTTGCTCAGGCCATAGGCCTGCCTTTTAATAAAAATTAAACGACCTGCGAAAATTATCCAAATTATCAATCTGTTTTGCTTGAGATATAAAAAACGTCAAATAAATACAACTAATGCACTAAAGCAAAAAATTAAACTGAAAGTCCCAATTTTTTATAGAAAGGCATCCTGCTGAAGATTGATAATTTTCCCAAGGTTATAGGCTTACCTTTTGATGAAAATTATACGACTTCCGAAAATGTTTCCAAATAGCATTTTTTTCCTAAGTATAAAAACGTGATTAAATGAATGCCCTCAATGCAATCTAACAAGACATTGAGATGAAAGTCCTTATTTTCAGAAGAAAAACATTCTGCTAAAGATAGCTTGTTTTTGCAAGGCTAAAGGCTTAGCTTTTGGCAAAAATTATACCCTACACGAAAATGGTCCTAACCCCAAACCCCTTTGCTAGAAATATGAATGAAACACTAAATAAATGCTGTAAAGTAATCTAGCTAGAAATATGAAGGGAAGTGCATGTTCTACAAAGAAAAATGTTTATATGAAACTTGCCACTTTGCTTATGCCATAGGCTTGCCTTTTAATAAAAATTATACGAGCTACAAAAAAGGTCCTAGATCAAATCTCTTTCCTGGAGGTAGAGAAGGCGTGAAAAGAAAGCCTTAAAATAAATCTAGCTTGAAAGATTGAAAGTAAGTACATGTCTTTTAAAGATAAACATCCATGTGAAATTGGCCAATTTTGCTAAGGCCATAGGCTTGCCTTTTCCCATTAAAATATTATACCGAACTACGAAAAATGGTCCTAGCCAAACTCTCTTTGCTTAAAGGTAGAGAAAGGCGTGAAAAAGAAAGCAAAAAGAAAATCGTGCTTTGAAAAGATGAGTGTAAAGATACCATGTCCTTTTAAAGATAAACATCATGTGAAATTGGCCAAATTTGCCTCAAGGCCATAGCCTGCCTTTTAATAAAAATTAAAACGACCTGCGAAAATTATTCCAAATTTATCTGTTTTGCTTTGAGATTAAAAAACGTCCAAATAAATACAACTAATGCACTAAGCAAAAAATTAAACTGAAGTCCCCAATTTTTTATAGAAAGGCCATCTGCTGAAGATGATAATTTTCCCAAGGCTTATAAGGCTTTAACCTTTTTGATCGAAAAAATTATCACGACTTCCGAAAATGTTTCCAAATAGCATTTTTTTCACTAAGTATAAAACGTGATTCATGAAGCCCTAATGCAATCTAACAAGACATTGGACTGAAAGTCCTTAATTTTCAGAAGAAAAACATTCTGCTAAAGATAGCTTGTTTTTGCAGCTTAAAGGCTTAGCTTTTTGGAAAAATAATACCCTACACGAAAATGGTCCTAACCCCATACCTTTGATAGAATATGAATGAAACACTAAATAAATGCTGTAAAGTAAATCTAGCTAGAAAATATGAAGGGAAGTGTCATGTTCTACAAAGAAAAATGTTTATAGAACTTGCCACTTTTTTGCTTATGCCATAGGCTTCCTTTTATAGAAAACATTTATACGAGTCAAAAAAGGTCTAGATCAAATCTCTTTCCTGAGGTAGAGAAGATGGAAAAAGAAGCCTTAAAATAAATCTAAGCTTGAAAACAGAAATTGAAAGTAAGTACATGGTCTTTTAAAGACAGTAGAACATCCAATGCCTGATAATTGGCAATTTGGAACTAAGGCCATAGCTTGGCCCTTTTAATAAAACTTATACGAAAAACTACGAAATGGTCTAGCTCAAATCTTCGTTTGCTAACTGGTGAGAGGCCCGTGAATAAGAAAGCCCAAAAAAGAAATCTAAGGCTTGAAAGAATTGATGTAAAGTACATGTCTTTAAAGATAAACATCCATGTGAATTGGCCAATTTTGCTCAGGCCATAGCCTGCCTTTTAAATAATAAATTAAACGACTGCGAAATTATCTCAAAATTATCAATCTGTCTTGGCTGTAGATATAAAAAACGTCAAATAAATACAACTAATGACAAAGCAAAAAATTAAACTGAAAGTCCCACATTTTTTTATAGAAAGGCATCCCTGGCTGAAGATTGATAATTTTCCAAGTTATAGCTTATCTTTTGATGAAAATTATACGACTTCCGAAAAGTTCCCAAATATGCATTTTTTTCCTAAGTAATAAAAACGTGATTCATGAATGCCCTCAATGCCAATCATAACAAGACATTTGAGATGAAAGTCCTTATTTTTCAGGAAGAAAAAACATTCTGCTAAAGATAGCTTGTTTTTTGCAAGGCCTAAAGGCGTAGCTTTTGTCAAAAAAAATTAGTATCCTACACGAAAATGGTCCTATACCCGAAACCCCTCCTCTGCTAGAAAATTAATGAATGAAACACCTAAATAAAATGCTGTTAAAGTAAATCTACTAGAAATATGAAGGGATAGTGCATGTTTACAAAGAAAAAATGTTTTATATGAAACTTGCCAATTTGCTTATGCCATGAGGCTTGCCGTCTATTAATAAAATTATACGAGCTACAAAAAATAGTCTAGATCAAATCTCTTCACTGGAGGTAGAGAACGGCGTGAAAAGAAAGCCTTAAAAAATCTAGCTTGTATAAGGATTGATGAATAAGTTACCATCTTTTAAAAGATAAACATCCATGTGAAATGCCAATTTGTGCTAAGGCTCCATAGGCTTGCCTTTTCTAAAATAAAATTATACGAAAACTACGAAACTGGTCCTAGCTCAAATCTTCTTTTGCTAGAGGTAGAGAAGGCGTGAAAAGAAAGCCAAAAAAGAAATCTACTTGAAAGATTGAAAAGTAAGTACATGTCTTTTTAAAGATAAACATCCATGTGGAAATTGCCAATTTTGCTAAAGGCCATAGGCCTGCCTTTTTATAAAAATTATACGAACTAGGAAAATGGTCCTAGCTCAATTTTCTTTGCTAGAGGTAGGAGAAGGCGGTGAAAATAAAGCCTTAAAATAATCTAGCTTGAAAGATTGAGTGTACAGTACATGTCTTTTAAAATAACATCCATGTTGAATTGGCCAATTTTGCTCAGGCTATAGGCTGCCTTTTAATAAAATTAAACGATCTGCGAAAATTATCCAAATTATCAATCTGTTTTGCTGGTGGAGATTATAACAAATACGTCAAATAAATACAATGTTAATCCCGCTACTAAAGCAGGATAAAAAAATTAAATACTGAAAAGTCCAAAGGTGTGTGTAGTGAGAGAGTTCACGCACACGGGCCAGGCATCCGCCGTGCTAGAATGATTGCATTATTTTCCCGCAAGGGTTTATAGGCTTACCTTATTGATGAAAATTATAACGACTTCCGAAAATGTTTCCAAATAGCATTTTTTTTCCTAAAAGTAATATAAAACGTGATTAAATGAATGCCCTCAATGCAATCTACAATAGAGCGAGTTTGAGATGAAAGTCCTTATTTTCAGACTATGATAAACATTCTGCCTAAAGATAGATTAGTTTTTGCAATGGGGGGGGGTGACAGGGGGAGAGTGGTGGTGGGGGGAGGGGCTAAAGCTTAGCTTTTGGCAATAACCATCTATAACAACCTTACAGCGAAAATGGTCCTAAACCCCGAGACCCCTTTGCTAGAAATATGAGAGTGAAACACTAAAGATAAATGACTGTAACCAGTTAAATCTAGCTAGAATATAAATGAAGGGAAGTTGCATGTTTTAACAAAGAAAAATGTTTATATGACACTTGGCCATCTTTGCTGTATCTTGCATAGATTGCTCTTTCTAATAAAAAATTATGTACCAGAGCTCACGCACACATGTGGTCTAACTCAAATCTCTTTGCTAAGGGGTAGAGAAGGCTTGAAAAGAAAGCCAAAAAAGAAATCTAGCTTGAAAAGATTGAAAGTAAGTACATGTCTTTTAAACGATATTGTGAAATTGGCCACAATATATGAGGGAGAGAATCTATATATATATCACGGGAGGAGAGGAAGTTGCAGTAGTGAGTCCCTTTTATGAGAGGAGAGACTCGACCTGCATTGGTATATTTAGAGCACACAGAGATATCATCGAGTTTCATGATAAGATTGCTACAAGGCTCACGTAGTGTCTTCTTCTCTCACTTAGACAATGAGGATGAACCTAGCATTGTGCATTGGGGGAGCTAGCCTGGATCTACATTAATTACTAGATATGAGTTGGCGAGGAATACTCCGCTGGTGAGA